ACAGCCCATGCCATGTGTGTGCCAACTATCCTTAGACCAATATCACCGCTCGCTGTCAAAAGTAGAATAGGACCCTCTCAAAACACAAGGATTGGTCGTAGTGGTGGGTGGCGCACACACACACAGACACATACAGACACACACACATACATACACACACATACACAGACACACACACAGACACAGAGACACACACAGACACACACACACTTAGACAAATGTGCTTCCTTCCCTGTAGGCTATAGGCTTAACGGTAATACTGTGTCTTAAGCATTTTCTATGTTTAGAAATGAAAGAGAAGAAATTTCTATTTTTAGCAGTTGTGTAGATTAATATTTCGAGCTATTTTACCTTGAGCGTCGATGATCCAGTTCCCGAACACATTTTTACCTACATCTTAAGCCCTGACAAGTCTATTGGATTGTGCATGTCAGGGGGGATTGACTGCAGGTTCTTTCATATCTCAACTTTTTTTTAAATAAATTTCGCAACGTCTAGTCTTATTTGCAGCTATCACTGTATATATTAAGAATGCACCATTGGAGGTTGATTAGATCCTAACTAGTAAATATAGTAAATAAAGATCCTAATATTTGTGGGGTATTTACATGCAGGTTGTCTGAACAATACACTTTTGGGTTAGAAACTGAAGGAGATAATTCATGCTTGTTGCATGATGCGAACGTCAAACAGTTAATTCCCTTACTCCGTGACTTAACAGTTTTTAGTTGCAGCTGTATTATACGCCAGCGGTTCCCAGGCTGTGGCATTATAGGGGACATACACTCAAAACTATCATATGGTTTGTTAGCCATAACTGTCCTGTTTCATGAGCCTGGTGGGCACTTTCCTGAGGGCCCCACTGGCGTATGGTGGGGATGAGCTTTATATAATTGCCAGCTGATTTCGATTGAGCTTTATATAAACGCCAGCTGATGTCGCTCTCCTATAACTGTGATGCTCTGCTGATTGATTTAATGTTGTCACCACTGAATCAACAAAACAGTGATAGTACTGGTGCTAAGAAATAGTTTACAGCAACAACAAAAATTAAATAGATAAATAAATAAAAACAGCGGATAATGTTAGCGAAAAGTCTCGAGTTCGAACCCTCTGACAGATGAAGCTCGATAGCTGGGGACAGCAACTCTCCTAGGAGAGACAACTACAAAATCAAACAACTGCTGCCTTGTAGTTTGTAAAATATTTTAACCAATCACATAGCCTAAATAGGGGTAAAATATTTTAATCAATCACATGATTAAACAATGAAATATCTACTTATACACCTTGCCTATTGGAAGTGTTATGCATGTATAGCTCTTTTCATCAGAGATTCTTCCAGTAAGATCCATGCATCGCTTCGGTTGGGAGGGGGGGCGTGGTCCGTCCCCCCCCCCCCCTCCCCAAGAAAGTCGGCCATCCCCCCTCCCCGAAATAGAATTTATATAAAAAATATATACTTTAACCAGTGTCCGCTCCCCTCCCAAAAATGTCAAGTCCGCCCCCCCCCCCCCTGAGAAAAAAGTCTGAAAGAAACCCTGCTTATCTTTAACCCAAACCCAGACACCAAAACTTTTTACCAGACTTCTTTGAGATCATTTTGTGAACCCTGCCTGGGTGTCTTGAAACAAATGCTGTGGGACCCCTGCTCTACATTGTAGCATCTATTTATAGCCGCCTCGGTTCATCGTCATAGACAGCGGGGCAGACACAGATGAATTAGAGTGTCTGGTCCATCCTCCTTCGGTTGTCTCCCGACCCGGAAGTGGCGACTCCGTACATCAAACTATTCAACTACGTGAAGGCATCCCATCATTTGCGCGAGGTGTGTGTCTTCAGTGCGGCCTACCTAGAGGCTATATGTCGTGTTAGTGTGAAGTTGAGCGAGATCAAGTAAATGAGTATATTTTGTTAATTAACTTCCTTAAGAACTTGCACGCTTGGCATTATTTCTACATTCGATAACGAAACAATTTACTGTTTAAAACGCAAGTCTGCATCATCTGCATGTCACAATGATGAGAAATAATTTTTGACCCACCACCTTCTTGGGCGTCAGTGGCGTAGCGATGTCGGGTGTCACCCGGTGCGGCACTTAATGGTGTCACCCCCCCCCCAGAGACGTAGCGACCTTTCCCGGGGACAAACTTTCAAATTTTCGATTTGCACCCTCCCCCCCCCCCCTCTAACTTTCGATTTGCACCCTCCCCTCAAGTTTTTCTCAATATATTTTGCTATTTTTTGCCTTGGTGTCACCCCCCTAAATGGTGTCACCCGGTGCGGTCCGCACTTCCCGCCCCCCCCCCCCTCGCTACGCCTCTGTTGGGCGTACCCCGTGGAGGGCTTTGTTGGATGGTAGAACTGACGACTACTAACCCGGAAGTCTCGAGTTCGGATCCCGTCCATGTGTCCGCCCAGTTATTACTCAAGTAAAGGAATTTCAGCACTATGCCCAGAATAGTGCTGAAATTCTCTATACTGGATATAGTGCTGACCTTTGTATGCCGAGGTCAACTAAATAGATGAATTCTATTTCCTATGCTCCGTGTGTCTTGGTAAAAATTCATAATGATGAACTCCATTTCGTCGGGTCTACAGCAGTGTTTCTTTCAGACCTTTTTCTCCGTGAGGGGGGGGGGGGGAGGTGGGGGTGAAGTGGACTAAATTTTCCAGGGGGGGGGGTGTGGCAGACACTGGTAAAAGTATATATTTTTATAGAAATTCTATTTCGTTGGGGGGGGGGGGGGGGGGGGGTCAGAAGAGATGCCTGAAAGAAACTGGTCTACACAGAAAGACCTACACACTTCATTACACCTACACACACTTTATCCTACATACAGTCCAAACTCATGCTTTGTTTTAGAGAAACGGCCAGTAGAGATCGTGAATACTTACCAGTAGCGGAACTACGGTGTGCCAAGCGCCGCAATCTGAGGAGGGGGCGGCTAATAGGGGACCCAAAATCCAAGCATATAAAAAAATTAAAAACTCATTTCAAAATTTATTTTTTGTGAATTTTAACCTTGATTATCGTTTAGATTGTTCTTCTTCCACCTAGCTCTACTTTCCTATGTAGTATATAACTAGAAAACGACCGCGAAAGGATTGAAGTTGGATTTCAGAAATTTAGACTCCGTTCAGCTTAAGATTAAGAGGACCGAGAAATGACAAAATAGCCCCTTGACAAAGAGTATCGATAAAACGCCCCGATAAAAAAAAAACGTATAAAACAATTATAATGAAAGGAGAAGGATTAGCAGAAAATCGCCATAATTGCTCCCGACAATATGGCTCATTAAAACTGTGCCTCTTAAATAAGACAAGAGGGTAAGAGTGCCATAGAGGTTTAATGTCCTGCCTATGTAAATGTGTGGAAAGAACTTTATGACAGGTGCTTTATAGTATTAGTAATTTTTATGGAATTGTTTTAATGCAACAGAGAAGTTAATTAATTATGGGAGTTTATATAAGCTAAGAATGAGATTGATTTTCACGCTTTTTTGACGATTTTTACCTCCCCCCTCCACTCCGTCACACATTGTCACAAAAAGTCAGACCCCCCCCCCCCTAAAATAACGTCACACCTCAGTCTACAACCCCGCCCCTTCAAAATGGCTGTTGAATTTTTCTTAAAACATCTATATTTTTCAAAAATTGTGTCAAAACTATTTCATCATAGAGTCTTTTGATCAATTCCTATTACAATTAATTAAAACCGTTTTGTAAAACGCGAAATAACGGCAAAAACTCGTTTTCTAACATTGCTTTTTTATAATGCAAAAGTGTGACGTCACACCATCTGAACCCCCCCCCCCCTCCCCCTCATCACACACCGTCACAAAATTACGGACCCCCTCCCCCCTACGAGTGTGACGTCATTTATGGACGACCCCTAAGCTTACTGAATGGAGGGCGCTTGATGTTCCACTACGCTATATTTACAACTGGGCTTAGTGAACGACCACAGCCTAATATGATATAGAGGGGTGCTTTTGACGGGAACCCTTGTCGAGAACCGTATTGGCGGGGGCCTTCCTATCCATTGGTCGAAAGTCCAGATGAATAGAGCTATTTCGTTGTTACGGGTCAACAAGTGTAAGTTATATTCGAATAGGCTAGAATAGTCCAGAACGTAGGGGAGGGGTGCAGAGTTTCTTCCAGGCATCTTTTCGCCCCCCCCCCCCCCCCCCATCCCCCGAAAAAATTCTACCGCCCCCCCCCCCCCCCCCCGAACGAAATGAAATGTAAATAGAAAATAGAAAATAGATACTTTTAACAGTGTCCGCCCCACCCCCCCCCCCCCTTAAGAAAGTCTACAGCCCCCCCCCCCCCCGGAGAAAAAAGTCTGGAAGAAACACTGGAGGGGTGTGTGTGTGAGTTGAGTTAACCCCGGTGTGTTTAGGTATTTTTATCCCAAGGTCGAGTGCAGGTATAAAAGCTGGGAGTGAACTATTGTAAGGGGCTTTTACTTTTTAGTTAGTAGCGGCTAGGGACGAGGCATTCAATAAAAATACGCTCTTTGTTGGTGTGGTGATTCATAGATATATATATATTTATTTTAAAAAATGGAGAGGTTGTGGTCTATAGAATTGTCGTATGTGTTCGGTACAGAGTTTCTTCCATGTATCTCTCCGGGTGGGGGGGGGGGGGGAGAAAGTCTACCGCCCCCCCCCCACACCCCCCCACACACCCCATTGAAATGGAATTTATAAAGAAAATATATACTTTAACCTGTGTCCGCCCCCCCCCCCCCCCCCCCGAGAAAAATGGCTGAAAGAAAAACTGGTTGTGTATTGTTTTTTACTTTAAGTTTACTTTGTTATACGTATGCTATATATAGGCCATATGCCTAAATAGCAGGCCTATAAAACAGGGGGAGTGGGGTAAGCCAAATTATTTGTTTAAATTACCATATGCTAAAAAATAAGGGATTGTGATATTTGAGTTGAGAACCTTTGCTTCAGCTCTAGGATCATTATTATATAAAGAAGGGGTTTACGCTGTCACATGATCTATCACATGAGTAAACAAAATGGCAGCTGCCGTTTGTAAATTAGTTTTTCTACTAGTAACAACAACATTAATATTGACATCAATAGAGCAGGTGGGCTAAACCATTAAATAGGATTTCCATTACGAAAGCCAATGCTTGATTGAAATTATTACAATTTACCGGTCTATTTTAATTAATATTTACGATGTGTCGGTAAAACTCCATAGCGTATTTTATTCCCCGCTTCCAAGTAATTAGTAATCCAAGGCTTCACGTTCACCTCCAGGCTCCAGTTGAGCGTATTTTATTATAAAAAACTAAAAACACACAAAAACGTTACCAAAACATTGGGCTTATTTCTTTATGAAGTTTTGATTTAGTTTTGATAATTTACTTTTGTCAAAACTTGAGAAAAATCCAAATTTGGAATATTGAAATTAAATGCTATAGACTATAGGCCATAGGCCCTAGGCCTAAATAGTAAATATTAAATAAACTTTTATGAACCCCAAAACTGAGGCAACACCATTTCAAATAGCTATTGCCCAAGCTATGATGTAGATCTAGATCTATGCTGATAATTAAAGTTAGTGTGAACTCATGTTGAACCAGTGTTTCTTCCAGACTTTTTTCTCCGGGGGGGCACTTGAAATTTTCGGGGGGGCGGTAAACTTTCTTCGGGGGGGGCGGACACTGTTAAAAGTATATATTTTCTATATAAATTATATAAATTTCATTTCGTTCGGGGGGGCGGTAAAAAATTTTCGGGGGGGCTTCGCCCCCCCGAAGCGATGCCTGGAAGAAACTCTGTGTTGAACCCTTGACCGAATAGGGATTTTTCTCCCGCTGACGATCACACGCTATTTAATTGGAACTGTCCTAATGCTTTTTTATGTTGTTTTTTTATTTACCTTTTCTAATTAAAACTCACATTCATATATTAAACCATAAATAGATCTAGACATCTAGGTTCTAGCACTAATCCTAGTGTTTTCCTAATGTTTTTGTGTGTTTGGGTTGTGTTTATATTAAAATACGCTCAACTGGAGGTGAACATGAAGCGGGGAATAAAATACGCTTAAAATGGAGTTTTACCCGATGTGTCTGTGTACTAACTAACAAGTATTAAGTAACAACACAACAAGTAGTAAGTTAAAGTAGTAGTGAAAGTAGTGGTACTAACTACTACTTACTTACTAACTACTACTTACTACTAGTACTACTAGTAACTAGTTACACACACTGGACACAGTGTAGTAGCTCAGTTGTGTAGATCAAATTACTTAGAGTTAATAGTATATAAGTACTGCTATGACATGACCAATGACTCAGTACTGTTCAGTGGTTAGAGTTACATTGAGTGTAGTCTATAGTAGTCATACTGGATGATATTTAGAATCGACCCTTTGAATCCCGGACAGATCGTCCCCCCGGCGTGGCCTCAACCAACCGGCGGGCTCGTTGCATTGAGTTAAATATAAACTCAAATTGATTTATGCTTAATTGTTACTTTAGTTTAGTAATCTAAAGCCATTATTGTCAAATATATATATATATATATATATATATATATATATATATATATATATATATATATATATATATATATATATATATATATAATTGTTACTGTTCTCCTCTATTTTCAGATCAATGGTGAAAGAAGATTTGAGATAGATTATTTAAACAATACTTTCTTAAAGGATGGTGTTCCCTATCGTTATGTATCAGGGAGTATGCATTACTCCAGGGTACACCCAGGTTACTGGAAAGATCAGCTGATGAAAATGAGAGCTGCTGGGCTTAATGCTGTACAAGGGTATGGTAAAATATTAATAAAATGCAATTGTCTCTTTACTATATCCTAAAATGTATAAATATAATTAGTAACTTTACTTACATAAATTTTTATCCAAAAAATTGGTGTGTCTGTTTAACTACAAAGCTTGCTTTTAATTCTCCTTTTGAAATACTACTAATGCACATTTTATAAAGTGATTTTCTTCTCATATACAAGTATGCAATTACCATAACATCAATTCCTTTCAGTTACGTTCCATGGAATGTTCATGAACTTACACCTGGCAACTTTACGTGGAGTGGGGCATCAAACCTAACTAATTTTCTAGAATTGGCCCAGGAAGCTGGTCTAGGTGTGCTTCTGAGACTTGGACCTTACATATGTGGAGAATGGGAATTCGTAAGTAGTCTGAATATGTAGAATATGGATTGTGTAAAGTGTAATCCTACTTATGTTGAGTATGAGAATCTGTAATTAGTCCAAATATGTTAATTATGGGATTTTGTAAGAAGTGTAAGTGTAAGCTTGCTTATGTTGAGTATGAGAATCTGTAAGTAATCCACATATGTGGAGTATGGAATTTTGAAACTAGCTCACATATTTGGAGTTGTGATTGAGAATTTGTTAATTTAAATAGTAAACTGTGGTTCATTACTGATATCAAATGTGTTTCAGGGTGGCTTTCCAGGCTGGCTTCTAACAGAGGACCCAAACATGGTTTTTAGAACCAGTGATCCATGTGTGTACAATTTTTTTTGTAGCGAATTTTTTTTTTAATTAAATATTAAATGTTAAATATAAGATCCATTTATTTAAAAAATAATATTCTATTTACAAAACTATGTAACTTATGTTACTCTTGTATATTTTTGTTACAGCCTATTTAAAATGGGTTGACAAATGGTATACAGAGCTTTTAACTAAAATAAAACCATATTTATACAACAATGGTGGTCCCATTTTAATGGTACAGGTATGTATACTAATTTAAAATTATTGCGTTTAAAATTATTTATTTTATATTAATGCACTTAATGTTCCATACAAACCTATTTCAGATAGAAAATGAATATGGAAGTTATTTTGCTTGTGACCAAGATTACTTGTATTACCTTCGTGATAAAGTGAGATCTATACTTGGTAGCCAAGTAATAATTTATTCTACTGATGGCGGGGCTGATTACTTTCTTAAATGCGGGAAAATTGATGGGGTGTATGCAACGATAGATTTTGGAGCTACAGGTAAGAATCTTTATCCAACACAATATTCTTTTTTGATATCTAAAATAAATTATATTATAAAGTAAAATTATAAAGTAAAAAATAATGCATTTTTAAATCTTGCAATGCCGTATTTGCATTTTCTAGCAAATATTGAGGATAGTTAACAGGTTAAATATGTAATTAAATGTATATGTAATGTTTCTGATTTTTAAAACTAAATTTAAAAATGTTTGCACTGTAGTCTATGATTTATAATCAGACGTGATGTTGGTTTTCAGATGATCCTGTGGGAGCATTTCAGTCCCAGAGAGATTATGAGCCGTTCGGGCCACTGGTACGCACAGAATATTTTTGCTATTTACTTAAAACAGGATAGATATTACATTTTATTGATTAAAAATTCTTTATTTTTACAACTGTTACATGAATTGAGAATTTGATCTCATGTTAGGTAAATTCAGAATTTTATCTTGGCTGGCTTGACCATTGGGGAACACCACATGAGACTACAGATGCCACACCTGTTGCTAAAAGTCTTGACAAGCTATTAGCATATGGAGCTAATATCAATATGTATGTCAGCATCTTAAAAAACAAAGAAGGCCAACTTAAAAACTTTTACATCATTTAAATTCTTAAAAACTTGCACATCAATTAAATTCTTTGTGTAACTGTACTTATTTCTAAACTGAATTTTAAATTTCTAATGTAGATAAACTTAAAATTTAATTTTTTTTTAATTTTTAAGTACACATTTCATAAAATCTGCATTAAATTGTATCAAATTTAACTATACTTACAATACATGCAACCATTATTTAAACACAACCTTTTTTACTTTCAAGATTCTTCCAAAAATGATTGCTTTTACATAAATCTGTCTGTCTCAGGTATATGTTTGTTGGAGGTACCAATTTTGGCTTTTATAATGGTATGCTCCAATATTTTCATTATATTTTTTTATTCTGAGTTATGTTGAGTAATACTTGATTAATATGAGATCAAATCGATCCATGTAAAAAAAATGTAATAATTAAAATAACAGCTCTCAATATTTCAAAATCAATTACTTATGATTTTTTTATATTGTATAGGTGCAAATATTCCACCTTATCAACCTGTACCAACCAGTTATGATTATGATGCCCCAATCAGTGAGGCAGGGGACATAACTCCTAAATTTTATGCAATGCGTGACATAATTGCCAAGGTGTGGTATATTTTTTAAAATCTTTGGTAGTTTAATATATTAAGATTTGCTATATAAATATTTAACTATATTCACAGCAATAGATTTTACATCAGTTATTTGATTAAAAAATAAATATCTCTATTCACAGTATTTGCCACTACCATCTTCACCTATTCCTCCAAGCACTAACAAGACCAAATATGGAGAAATCCCAATAGAATTTGTTAGTTGGCTACTCTTTTTAGATGAATTACTTCAATATTAAAACATTTCTATTATTCTACACAATTTTAATCAATCTTTTGTTGTTGAATCAAAGTTTAATTTCTAAATACTTCAAACAGTATTGGCTCTCAATATAATTTTAGAAACTTTTATTACTTTTTATTTACTTAGACTGTCTAATGTATTGATTTACAAAATCTCACTCTGATGTTTTTAGTTTTGGTGTGTTCCCACCTAGGTCTGTACAATACAAGATGCGCTGCCTCATCTAACACCAGAAGGCCCAGTGAACCTAATGTATCCTGTGTCAATGGAGCAGTTGAAATTTGTAAGTAATTATGGGATGTTGGTACATCCTGCACACTTTAGGGCTCAACTTCATTTAAATTTTAAAAAGAAAGACACATTGTCTAGATAATAAAGAATTATGGCTAACCTAATCATATATGGGATGTTGTGGTTAAACATACCATTACTAACTCAAAAAAAGTGTTCTTGGACTTGAATCTGTAATATTTTATTGAGTCCACCCAGTTCTAATCAGTACCTGACAAGCTAGGGAAAGTAATTGTAGCTGGCCTTACTATACTTTCACATGCCAAAGTCAAAGAGACAAGGTCAGCTCTACTTCATCTGCCTTATTGACTGACAAGTGTCACTTTTTTTTACTTTCCATAATCAAAGTTGTCTTTTTTTTTTTTTGTAAGATTTATGCTTTAGATTATTTTAAAACTATTTATTATAAAAAAAAACACTCTCTACGCTATATATAAAATATTTAATTTATATTATAAGTGACATAGTTGATGACAATTCAATTTTAAGTAATTGAAATTAACCTGAAGTGTTTTTTTTTTATTTTGTCTTGCAGTACAGTGGATTTATATTGTACAGATTTGTATTGAATGAAACATATAATACACCAACTGTCTTGTCCACTAGAGGTGTTAGAGACAGAGCTTTTGTAATGGTGAATTCAGTAAGTCTTTACTGTTGAAGTTTACATTTTCTGAATGAATGTTTAATATTGATGTCAAACTATTTCTAATATGCTTTTAATATTGTCTAATATTATATATCATCACTAGGCATACTGCCTAGCTTCGCTTAGGTTTTCGAAAAAATTAAGGAATTGAATAATTAATTAATAGGTGATTGGTTGCTATCGTAAATGCTTAGGGCGTAAATTTATACAGTGGAGTAAATTCATGATGCTTAAATATTGATGGAATATTCGCAAACTTATCACTCGCACGGTTATTAGAACTGCAAGGGTTTTCTCAATAGAATCAATCAAATATTATAAAAAATTAATTTCGCAATTAATTTTTACAATTTCAGTACAATGCAAAACTTAATTTATAACAAAATATTTATTTAAAACAATGCTATATTTTATGATTTTTGTTTTTTTCTTGAAAAGAGAATACAAATTTTTAAAAAATTATTACATTAAAAAGTTACTTCCCCTGTTCATAGACCAAATGACCAAATCTCGTATAATGAGAATTTCACTCGCGGTCACTTTTTAGCCCTCGTCGAGGGCTTTGAGTGAAACCGACAGGTTTCCCTAAAGGTCAAGCCATTTACCTAAGAGCATGCAAAAAATTAGCCAGATGTAAAGACGGTAAGTGCCCTCAAATCCGTTTTGAAATCACCCTCTGTTTTTCCCATAAAATACAAAGATTATATAGGGAAATACGACTGGTCAGTTTTGACCCATTTAATGAATTTTCCCGGACATGGCGAGTTTTTTGTGACACCATAAGGCGTTCTCCTACCACCTCACAAAATTTCAAGGGGGGTCGTCGGAGGAAATTTTTTTTCGTAATAGAGCTCATATAAAGAGAATTTCACTCGCGGTCACTTTTTAGCCCTCGTCGAGGGCTTTGAGTGAAACCGACAGTTTTCCCTAAAGGTCAAGCCATTGACCTAGGAGCATGCAAAAAATTAGCCAGATATACTGAGCTTAAGTACCCTAAAGTCTGCGTTGAAATGACCCTCTGTTTTTCCCATAAAATACAAAGATTATATAGGGAAATACAACTGGTCAGTTTTGACCGCTTTCCGAAGTTTTCCCAGATATGCCGAGATTTTTGTGAAACTCCTAGGTGTTCTTCTACCACCTCACAAAATATCAAGGGGGGTCGTCGGAGGAAAATTTTTTTCGTAATAGAGCTCATATAAAGAGAATTTCACTCGCGGTCACTTTTTAGCCCTCTTCGAGGGCTTTGAGTGTAACCGACAGTTTTCCCTAAAGGTCAAGCCATTGACCTAGGAGCATGCAAAAAATTAGCCAGATATACTGAGCTTAAGTACCCTAAAGTCTGCGTTGAAATGACCCTCTGTTTTTCCCATAAAATACAAAGATTATATAGGGAAATACAACTGGTCAGTTTTGACCGCTTTCCGAAGTTTTCCCAGATATGCCGAGTTTTTTGTGACACTCCTAGGTGTTCTTCTACCACCTCACAAAATATCAAGGGGGGTCGTCGGAGGAAAAATTTTTTCGTAATAGAGCTCATATAAAGAGAATTTCACTCGCGGTCACTTTTTAGCCCTCTTCGAGGGCTGTGAGTGTAACCGACAGTTTTCCCTAAAGGTCAAGCCATTGACCTAGGAGCATGCAAAAAATTAGCCAGATATACTGAGCTTAAGTACCCTAAAGTCTGCGTTGAAATGACCCTCTGTTTTTCCCATAAAATACAAAGATTATATAGGGAAATACAACTGGTCAGTTTTGACCGCTTTCCGAAGTTTTCCCAGATATGCCGAGTTTTTTGTGACACTCCTAGGTGTTCTTCTACCACCTCACAAAATATCAAGGGGGGTCGTCGGAGGAAAATTTTTTTCGTAATAGAGCTCATATAAAGAGAATTTCACTCGCTGTCACTTTTTAGCCCTCTTCGAGGGCTTTGAGTGTAACCGACAGTTTTCCCTAAAGGTCAAGCCATTGACCTAGGAGCATGCAAAAAATTAGCCAGATATACTGAGCTTAAGTACCCTAAAGTCTGCGTTGAAATGACCCTCTGTTTTTCCCATAAAATACAAAGATTATATAGGGAAATACAACTGGTCAGTTTTGACCGCTTTCCGAAGTTTTCCCAGATATGCCGAGTTTTTTGTGACACTCCTAGGTGTTCTTCTACCACCTCACAAAATATCAAGGGGGGTCGTCGGAGGAAAAATTTTTTCGTAATAGAGCTCATATAAAGAGAATTTCACTCGCGGTCACTTTTTAGCCCTCGTCGAGTGCTTTGAGTCAAACCGACAGGTCCGCCCTACGGCCAAGCCATTTACCTATAAGCATGCCAAAACTTAGCCAGATGTAAATAGGGTAAGTGCCCTAAAATCCGTTTTGAAATGACCCTCTGTTTTCCCCATAAAATACAAAGATTATATAGGGAAATACGACTGGTCAGTTTTGACCCATTTCCCGATTTTTCCCGGACATGGCGAGTTTTTTGTGACACCCCAAGGCGTTCTCCTACCACCTCACAAAATATCAAGGGGGGTCGTCGGAGGAAATTTTTTTTCGTAATAGAGCTCATATAAAGAGAATTTCACTCGCGGTCACTTTTTAGCCCTCGTCGAGGGCTTTGAGTAAGACCGACAGGTCAGCCCTACGCTCAAGCCATTTACCTATAAACATGTCAAAAATTAGCCAGATGTAAACAGGGTAAGTGCCCTAAAATCCGTTTTGAAATGACCCTCTGTTTTTCCCATAAAATACAAAGATTATATAGGGAAATACGACTGGTCAGTTTTGACCCATTTCCCGATTTTTCCCGGACATGGCGAGTTTTTTGTGACACCCCAAGGCGTTCTCCTACCACCTCACAAAATTTCAAGGGGGGTCGTCGGAGGAAATTTTTTTTCGTAATATAGCCCATATAAGGCGCCGGTCAGTCGAGGTCAGTTTTGACCCCTTCTCCGTAGACTTTTCGGCCAACCGTCACCGGCCTTCGTGTTCTATTGCCCGAAGGCACCATCGTGCCAAATTTGACGCGCCTGCGGCGCCGGGAAGTGCCATATCGGGCACTTGACCACTTTGCTTTATATATATAGATCATTACCCATCATCCCTGCTGGGGTACAGGCCCCCAACCAAAGATCTCCAGAGTCCTCTATATGCTATTTTCTCAACCTGATCCAGATGAAACCATCTTTGTGGTCATGTCACCAGGTTTTCTTGGTCGACTTCTTTTAGCGCTTTCCTTGAGGGTTCCCATGTCTGCTTGGTGCTATTGGTTGGCGGTCTGCACAGTGTGTGCTTTATCCAACTCCATCTTCTTTTTGTTATTATATACGTATCACACATAATTTATTTTTTTGTATAATACTGAAATTAATAATTATTATCATCAATAATTTTTAGTAATAAAATTCATTATTGAATATTAATTTTACTTTTAGGTCCCATTTGGAATTCTGTATAGAGAAGATTCAATGCAAGTACAAATAACAGGCAATAAGGGACATGTGGTAGACATTTTGGTTGAGAACCAGGGCAGGGTGGGATTTTCTACTGGTATGAATTTCAACACAAAGGTTAGATCAATCATTTCTTTTTTTTTTTTTTCATGTAACGACATTACCAGTAATTTCTTTTATTTGATTAATATTTTTTTACCTGTAAATGTTTACCTATTTTACAGGGTATAATTGAAAATGTAACCCTTGGAGGAAATGTTGTCACCAACTGGCAGATTTATCCTCTACATTTAGAAAATATCAATTCAAAATTAGTATCTGTTATGAAATCAAGGTTGGTATAATTTTATTGATCAATATTGACAAAAAAAATTTTTATAAAAATGTCACACTAGTTTGGAGAAATTGCACATGTTCAAGTTTTCATGTAAAAAGATATTTTCAAATTATGTCATTTAGTAACGCGCGATAAAAAATGTAATTAACATTACCCATCTCCTGATTTACGTTTTACTCATAGACATCTCAACTTTTTAATAGTTTTCCCCTAAAATATTAAATGCAAAAATATTTATAGTAGGCCTATATTAAAATATATTAATTCCAAAGTAAACATTTTAACATAAAATATACCTGAATTTATTTGATTGTTTCAGAAACATTGTTAATAAACCAATGAAGTCTCCTAATTCAAATCTAATGACTCCATCCATTTATGTTGGTTCTATAAACATTCCATCTTCTCCTGATCAACCACAAGATACATTCCTTGACCCACGCCCTTGGGGGAAGGTATACGCCTTGACTTTCATACTATTCTGATAAATATTTTAAGTTAAATTTTGTTTTCAATTTATTTGTTTAAGAAAAATAAGTTTTTTTTAATTATAAGCATTTATTAAATATTTTTTCAGGGACAAGCCATCCTTAATGATTTTAACCTTGGTCGGTATTGGCCAGGTATGGGTCCACAGGTTACATTGTACATTCCAAAATTTGCATTTAACAATCAAGGTGGGTTGAACCAAATATATCTCTTGGAGCTGGAGAATTCTCCTTGTTTCATGGACCAAGCACAGAATGATTGTTCCATTACATTAACAGATACTGCTTATTTAAATGGGCCTAATGGTCCAGGCAATAAACATAAACTTCCTGTTAGACAAGGAAATCCTGATTATCATTTATTACATTGACATTGTTTCTGTTTAAATGATGAATTGATGTCATCAGAGTGCAGAACATGAGCAATCATTTTCTTATTATTGCAGTTATCCTTGTTACCACATTAAAAATAGCATTTGCATTATGGACAGCATTGTATTAATTTGCCTTTCCAACAGTCAATTATCAGCTTGAAATACTATTTCGATATTTAGATGAATATTCATTGCTGAAAAGCAATACCTGGATATTTTCATGATTTTTTTTTAAAATATATCCTACATTATTATAACTTAAAGCATGTTAACTTTAATTTTTAAATTACATTAACATCATTCAAGGTTAATAACCATTCATTTTAAAACAACATACAGAATTTTTTGTATTTATTAAGTCATTTTTAAAAACTTATGATATAAGAGTATAAACAGGCATATCATTTAAAGTATTCATGTATGTTTTTGAGTTTAACAGAACAAAATTGATTTTGCACATAATTAATATTTTATTTTTATGAGTACTTGAACTTTCAGGCTCATTTATTTCAGTATTTTATAATTTTTTCTGGTCATGTGATAATTTTTTTTTTTCAAAAAGCACTGTAAGCCATCCATTTATATTGATACATCATCACTATTGATTATATTGTTCTCTTTTAATTGCTAGTAATACATTCTATATATTGATAAAATATGCATAATTTACCCGGTTGTCTTTATATTTGAGAATACAGTTTGATAACACACCTTTTAAGGAAGTAGAAAATTCTTGCTCCTGGCTACTCTACAAATAATCTACAAGACAATATAATGATAAATAATTAGAAAAACATGTAGTCTATAGGTACGTAGTTTATTAAAATCATGAATGTACACTTGTGCCTTAAAAATTTTACATTCTCAAATTGTGTATTACTTTTATGCATGTGATATTAAATAAATCAACTGGCAAATTTTTAAAATGTTTTGTTCTTTTATACTTTTTTTCCAATGTCTTTACAATAAGTTTAGAAAATAAAGAAAATGTTGATTATTCATCAAATTAGCAATAAAATGTAGTAATGTTTGAATGTGTTGTGGTTCTACTACTCAAATTGTTTTATTACAGGACATGGCTGTCCTGATCCATTAAATTTAACAAGCATTCAAGTTTTTCATAACTCATGATTAGTTAAATTTTTCTCATGATTTTAATTTTATCTCATCCTAAACATACATCTTGACCTTTGGTCAGTTTGAACAAGGTAAATATTTGATACTTCAGTACAGATAATTAATCTGGACAAGAATGAGTGTCACAGAGCCAGTAATAGTGATAATATATATGACATTTGTGGTAGATTTAGAATATCTATATTTAATGGTAGGTAAGATAGCAGGAGACTTACCTCAGGTGAGTATAGATGAGAAATTTAATTTAGCTAAATCTAGATGATTCTTTTAAAGTGCATTTTATATTTGTTGTATTTTTGCCTAGTTATTTCATGACACCAATTTTTAATTATCACTGTATTTTGACTCTATCATCCTATGAAAATCTGTTTCAAAATATAAGGCGTGATGTTTAAACAATGTCAAGCAAATAAAGGAAAAATGGTTTGCACTTTTGGGGAAGATGTGTTACATTATGATTGGGATGGGGGTGTAATGAGATGTAATGGCGTAGTATAAAATTTGAAAAGCTTTGCTAATTTTTGCTAGATTGGTGATTTTATTTTCCAGTAGTTTTGGGTGGTTGTATTTTTGTGCATTCATTTCAAGCTGAAATCCTAATTTCAATATATTCTAAAATCCGAACCTCCATGCTTATTCCATGTAACATCAATTATTGCCCAAAGTACAAACAGTAGCCTACATGGTTTATCCTGTAAACATTGTTGGTTTATTACAAGCTTTTATTTGAACTTGCTTCCTCGGTCTGTCGTCATAGATTAAAACGGGCAAGCGAAATTTCAAGCACTTCTAACTGACCAATTTGTTTCAAACTTGGCATGTGAGTCAAGAACCGATGACAATGCAATCTGACATCAAATTTGACTTAATTGGATGACTAATTAATGTTAAATTTTCTGAAAACAGGTGTCCTACTATCACGCACTATTAAACGCGCATTATCATGTTCATTTGGTGCGCAATAATAGTTTTTTTAGTCAGGAAACTTTATTGTATTTTTTACTTTCTCGTATATACGAAGTATAGAGAAAGTCTTGTAATCGTGCAAAAAAAACATAATTTTGCAATCTTGTCCGTATGTATGTGTGTTTGTCTGTGTGTAAACACGATAACTTGAGTACCGCTACAGCTAGGTTGATGAAATTTCATATATAGGTATTTTATCAAAATCGTAGATCCGTATCAACTTTTGAGCGATTTCCGATAACCGGAAGTGGTACTTTTTCTACTTTGAATTTTTCAAAAGTTTATAACTTGAGTACAATTTCAGATAGATAAATGAAATTTCACATGTAAGTCAAAGATCTAACTCTCTACCTTCTGTAAAATTTTGAGTAATTTCCGTTGACCGGAAGTTCTAATTTACGCTATTTCCGATTTCTCAAAAAACGCATGTAAATTTATAAAGTACTAATAATATGGTGCACTATTATGCACATCTTTATTTGGCGTTCACTTGGTGCGCAATTCTTTTTTCTACGACATTTTATTCTATTTTAAAAAGTTTAAGTATTTAGAATGGAGTTCCCATCCCCTGTTGTTTTATATAAGAATATTCGAGAAAGTTTAGGGGAGATCACTCCCGGTTTATTTAATTAAGTACTGAAATACAATGCACAAAAAAGTTTTTATAACAAGCTTTTATGCAATAATGCACTAAAAAAGGAGAAAGTAAATTATTTTCTTTAAACGTATAATAATACACTACCATTTAAAAACCCTAAAGAAAAGCGTGGGTCTCTTCCTAATTATTTGTAAATATTAGTAATATATATTATAGTGACCCCCGCTTTTCTTAAAATAGTAGTGAATTAATATATATTTAAAGAAAATCATTTATTTCTCCTGTTTAGTGCTTTATTAACAAAAACATGTTATTAATACGTTTTTTATGCATTTTTTTTTAAATATTTTTAATCCTCAGTCCATCCTGGCATTTTGTCACAAAGTAGTCACATGATTTATAAAATGGCTTACTTCCCAACAACATTTGTTTACATTTGTATAGTTGTTTTTACTTTACAAATTGTACACACTACAGTGAGTATAAAATTTAAAATTGTTCAAAATTATTATCCATATTATTTGTATTTAGTTTTCAAACAGATTGTGATGCACCACATCTGTTATTACTAATTATCTAAGTCATTCAGCTGTGTCACTAACTGTGGTGTGTGTGTGTAGCTGTACTGTAGTGTGTACTCTGCAACTACTACACACTCACAGACACTACAGTACAGTACTCAGTAGTGTGACAGTAGTCAGTAGCAGTTGACTGATTACACTCTACTTAGTACTTAGTACTTAGAGTGTGTAGTCAGTCAACTACAGCGTACTGTATAGTCAGTAGTGTGTAACTTTACAGTACACTCAACACTCACAGTGATGAGTCAATGACCAGGATGATGTTATTAATAATTAATTAATGTATGTGAAATATAAGTTGTCCCTTTAACATCCTGGTCAGAATGTCGTCTTACCCCCCCCCCCCCCTGGCCTCAGCCAACAGGCGGGCTTGATGCATTGATTTTAATATAAGTAGTTGTTATTATAAAATTAAATAGATCTAGTTAAGTATGACAGTGGACCACCTTCTCCTCTTCAATGAAAGCTATGGAGGATGTACAATATTAGGTCATCAATTAATGACATCAGACTCAAAATATGGGAGGGGTAAAATAAATTTTGTGTTATATTTTTATAGAATAAAAAAATTATGAAGAACTTGTTCATTTTTGTTAGAAATTGTGATTTAGGGTTGACTGTGTGAGTTCACATTGCTTTAGATAGCAGCATAATAGGTCATAGTTTTGACACTGGCTATTTGAAATTGTGGTGACGGCACTTTTGGGGTCATTGTAAGTTCACTTAAGTTTATATTACAGGGCATGCAAGATACTTGAAACAAGTAAGGTTTGTATTTTACCCATACCCATGAAAATCTTAACAGAAACATAATTTTTAAGTGTAAAACAGTTAAATAAGACACTTTTAAATTTTATCAGATAGGAATTTTCCACGTTTTGACAAGAATACCAAAAAAAATTTATAAAAAATTTATAAAAAATAAAGAAGAAGTGTTATCCTAACATTGTTTGTGTTTAAAAAATTAAAAGCTTTTAAAAAATTACATTAAAATTGAGTTTTACTGCTGTAGTCTGTTAATAAACTCATAATTAAGTATTGAGGCAGTGTCAGTGAATAATGTACAATTTTTAAAAAGTTGGTGTTTTAAGCTTAGCAAAAGTTGTATGTAAACTTTAACTTTAAACTGTGAGCATTAACTAGGACAAGGTCATGAGAGTTAACAACTCTGAGCTCCCACTTATGATACACGAAATGAGTATTTCGGAGGTGGATCGCTTCACATAAGTATGAAGTGTCTAACCAAGGATGGGGGGGAGCAGAAGATACTAACAAACTTCAGACTTTCATTAAGGCAAGCCTGCATCACATATTGAACATTACGTGGCCACAAAAAATTACCAGAGCGAACTGTGGTGAAAACTGGGCAAGACCCTATTCGCAAATGAAAAAAACATGGATTGGACACACCTTGTGTAAACCAACTAGCAACATCACCAGAAAGGCATTAGATTGGAATCTCTGATGATTGAAGGTACAGATGTCCAATAATAGACTTCCAAAAATTGTTTGTTTGTAGTATTGAAATCTCTACTAGTTTTATGATCAGAAGTTAGGGTTAGGGATAGGATTAGCATTGATGTTATTAGCCATGTGTATATTTTAGTTAACTACCAGTAACCTAACGCCCCTTTTTTAAGAAGATTCTATTATTGGACACTGGTATAAATAAATCCCCCGGAATCCCCAAGGAAAGAGGAGAGTAGGTAGGCCAAAACAAACTTGGAAAAGATCAGATTTCAGTGAAGCAGCCAGAGTGTCATGGAGGAATTGCCCAAAATCAAGTATAATAGAGAGGTGTGGTTGCCTCACTATACTCCACAAGTTGTCCATCAGAAATGCTGATAATGAAAACTAACAAGTACTAGTACAACTTCTACACTACACTAATACAAGAAACTACAAACATCTCTAGATCTAGTGTTATTTATCAATCAGTTGTAAGTAGTTGCTAATCTACTTCTAAATACCTTGTGATATAAAAATTATCTTTTCCACTCTTAAAGACAGTAAGTCAATGTTGTATCTATATTTTCAGGCAGCAAGGACGTTTCAGATAGATTTTACAAACAACACATTTATTAAAGATGGAAAGCCATTTCGCTACATTTCGGGTAGTATGCATTATTCTCGAATCCATCAAGATTATTGGAAGGATCGATTGCAAAAAATGAAAGCTGCTGGATTGAATGCTGTTCAGACGTAAGTTTATTCATTTATTGTAAGTTTTTATTTTTATTTATATCCATGTTGCTCATGATTAAAAGAATTTTATCTTTGAAAGGTATGTGCCTTGGAATGTGCATGAGCTGGAACCTGGAGTATTTTACTGGGAAGGCATGTCAGATTTAGAAAAATTTATACAACTTGCCCAAGAGTCTGATCTGGTGGTGTTGCTTAGACTTGGGCCATATATATGCGGGGAATGGGAGTTTGTAAGTAATTGTTTGTGTTGGCAATCTTAGGACACCTTTGATTATAACTGATTAATAAAGTGTTAATAACAATATAAGAGATCAAGTAAAAAATTTAACCTTCATTTGATGCTAAAGACATAAAAGAAGTTTAAAGTTTATTTATGATTGAATCAAGTCCTTGCAATTTAACCTTATCTGCATAACTGTAACATTAGTTGGGATTCATTACTTATGCTGGTCAAAAGTTTTTTTATTATAAATTCCTAAAACTGTTAAGGTTTGTGGGTGTTTTTTATTTTATTTTAACCATTGTTTTCTTTTCGTACTAAAGATTTAATTGAACTTGAAGCTTGTATTTTTTAGTTTAAAAAACAATACTAGGTTTTCCATATCAGACCTTATAAACACTTATGTTTTGAACTTGAAAGTTTGATTAAACTAAAATAATTTGTTCAGGGAGGATTTCCAGCGTGGCTACTTACAGTTGAACCAAATATGGTTCTACGTACCAGTGATTATGGTAATTATTTTTACTTTATTTCTTAACTTTTAATATTCCTCTTTGTTTGTTTTTCAAATTCACTTGCATAAAATTTTTAATCTCCAGCTTACCTCAAATGGGTGGATAAATGGTTTACAGTATTACTGAAGAAGATTAAACCATACTTGTATGAAAATGGTGGTCCAATAATTATGGTTCAGGTATTGTAGTTCATTACATTTGAAGACTTAAAGCATTAAAAAGTCAGGTAAAACAATAATTCACATAATGCGGTTTCAGAACAAACAAGACACCAACCATTCTGATTTATTCTCTAGCCAAAAACTTTATTCCCTCCACCAATCTGCAGATATATATTTTTCACTGTAACTTTTTTCAATTGTTTTATATTTGTTCCTGTTATTGTTCATCTGTAGATTTCGGTACGAATCTTGATGTTGCAAATATTAACTTTAATTGGCTAGTTTTAATAAGATTTTTTCATTACTTATGTTCTACTTATTTAATATCTTATTGTGAAAATCATTTTTCAAATTAGTTATAGAAAAAATATTTTAAAATTATAATGATTGTACTTTTTAGGGCTAATCTTATTTTATCTAATTTCTTTTTGGTGACAGGTTGAAAATGAATATGGCAGTTATTTTGCTTGTGACAGCGTATACCTTGATTTTCTCGTATACAAAGTAAAATCTGAGTTAGGACCAAATGTGACTTTATATACAACTGATGGATGTGGTCTTGGCTACCTTCGCTGTGGTAAAGTCAATGGTTCTTATGCCACTGTGGACTTTGGCCCTGGTAGTGAGTTAAATAGCTTTAGTTGTATCCAGTCATTTGTATTATTTTTTTTAATATTTAAAATTAACTTTGTAAAAAGAAACAATACAAAGAATTCAAAACTTGGACAAATTATATCAGTGCTGGTATTGAATGAACAAGAGAATGGTGTTTTAGGATAACATCTTTCAAGCAGCTGTTGATAGAGCCTTTCTTTCAGGTGACCCAACTGGATGTTTTGGTGCTCAAAGATTTTATGAACCTAATGGACCATTTGTAAGTCACATATTAAAGTATATTGAAGTTTGCCGAAGGCAGTTACAAATGCATAGGTTTAAAAAATTGTATGAATAAATGTTTATCTCAACTATATGTGTATTTGACATTAGTAAAAAGACTAATTGTACCAAGTTTACTGAATTATTCTATTGAAAACATTTTAAATTGTAAAAAAAACCTACTTGAAAAAGTCTACTTGTATGCTAAGTTTTAAAATCTCCTAACCAAAAGTGCCCAATCAAATGTTCCCAGATCAACTCTGAGTACTACACTGGGTGGCTGGATCACTGGGGATCACCACATGCCAAGGTTGACACTAATTCTGTGAGCAAGAGTTTAGATCGTCTGCTTGAAATGGGTGCAAATGTTAATATGTAAGTTTTGCAGTTTTAAAACTACAAGCTTTTATTACTGATATTATAATTTTTATATATATATATATATATATATATATATATATATATATATATATATATATATATATATATATATGACAGTACTTGTCTTTTAGAAAAAAGTATTAAATTACAGAATTTTTTGTTACATTATTTGTTTAAAAATATGTGCATTCACATTCTTTGGGTCTGTGTTTCATTTTTGTGTTCTTTTTTGTTTTCATGTTTAGGTATATGTTTATTGGTGGAACAAACTTTGGATTTATGAATGGTAAGTCCACTTGTTTTCTTTTTATTTATCTCATAATGAAAATATTAAAGGTAAACAGAAGTTGTTCCTAGTGTTTATAGTGGAATACAAAACTTCTTCAACCAATTCTATTTATGAATTATAGTTTGGCTTTTAATAAAAATTGTTGGTAGAGATTTTAAAAATTATTTTTCCCAGGTGCCAACAGTCCCCCGTATGAGCCTGTACCCACAAGTTATGATTATGGTGGTCCATTAACTGAAGCAGGAGATATCACACCAAAATATTACGCTGTTAGAGATATTATTTCGAAGGTATTCAATTACAAAAAATGTTTTTTTGTTTATGTGTCTTTCTTAATTATTTTATTTAACATGAGATATTCAGTTCAAGTTAGTTAAAAGAAACCTATAATGACTTTACTGCTAATTAATATAAAAAATTTCTAAAGATGTAATTATTTGTTTTTCTTTTTATTACAGTATCAAAAGTTGCCCGATATGCCTATTCCTCCTAACACAAATAAGACAAAATATGGAAACATATCACTAGAATTTGTAAGTGTACACATAGTCACATAGAACCTCCTCAGAGAAAAATTGTATGGGTGCTTGTGGAGCTTGAGAAAACTGTGTTGATGATGTACCATGTTTAGACATTTTTTTTTCTTGTTACTACATTAACTTCTAGCAATGGAATATTAAATAACATTGCTCTATACTAACTCTCTACATATAAAGTGTAACATATTATTAAACAAAATGATAAACAACCATGTCCCTTGTCTCTTGTGATGAAAACTGTCTACAATTCGTATGAGTTAGGATTACTTTATTTTTTATTTTATTAAACACCTGTTTATTGATTAAGAATTTGCTAAAAAAATAAATCAGCATACTTATGTTTTCTTATATTCTAGATCAGCACAGTTCAAGATGCCCTCCCTTACCTTGCTCCAGCAGGTCCAAAATTGTCTACTTACCCAGTGCCAATGGAACAGATAAACTTTGTCAGTCTATTATTTTATGTTTACACTTACAATATTACAAATGTTTAAATGAATACAGCATTTGAAAGGCGAATATTTTAACTAAGAAAAAAAAAATATATTTACATTATATACTTATATATACACACTCTTTTTATCTATTTTGTTAAAAACTGATAAGTAATATCTAAAAAGTAAATAAAAATTATTACTATAAATTATAAATATTAATTTGTGAACTTGTTTTTCACAGTATGCTGGATTTATTATGTACAGATTTGTATTGTCAAGCAACTTTGTTAACCCTACACCACTCTATTCCAAAGGAATTAGAGATAGGGCAGTAGTGATGGTTAATGGGGTGAGAATATTTAACTTTTTGCTAACCAAAGCCAAATTTACTTGATTTTAAAAAAAACCTTAGGGTAATATTAAAGAATTAGACTGATTTTTTAGTTATTTTACTTCAATAAAATTCTTGAGAATGGCTGGGAACCACCTGGTTCTAAACCTAACCCTTTCATACATATACAAGTTGACTATGTTAATACTAATCACTTTGAGTCTTAAGATATGAAAATCTTTTCATGCAAATGTGATATGTTCATTTATTTATATAATAATTTATTCTGAATGTGTAGGTACCTTTTGGTTTAATGGATAGAACGATGACAACTGTAAATATAACAGGCTCTATAGGTCAGGCTGTTGATATTTTAGTTGAAAATCAAGGACGAATTGGATATGGTAAAGATATCAATTTCAACAACAAGGTATTTTTTTATTGCATTTTTTATTTTAATAAATACAATATGTTTCATTTTAACCTAGGACTCCAAAATAAATGTTTTATACTCGATCAATTTTTTTTCTTACAGGGAATAGTTAGTAATGTAACTTTGAACAATGTTATTGTAACTGGTTGGCAGATTTATCCTTTGAATGTAGATAACATTCCCAATGTAACATTTTCATCTCCATCTAAAAGGTAATTGTATAATTCTCTTTTCTTCATTTATTAATAAATATTTAGGGGCCTATAAACAATTAAACTATACTTTTATGGGCAGTTTTTATTTTTTAAATGTGTTTCTTTTGCCAATAAACTGGAATCATTTTTTTTTTAAACTATCAAGTTAAGTAATTTGAAATTTTATATATCTCTAATTATTTCAGAATAGTTTGTTTGATGGGAAATGTATATTTAAGGAAAGCAGTTTGTTGTTAATTTAATTAAAGCCAATATTTATTTGTTTATTTTAACGTTAGGATATTGTTGTTAATATTTGACATTAATTTGTTAAAAAAAATATTTATTTTGTTTTGTGTAGGTCACAACCTTCAAAATCACAAGATGGTCAACTTCTAACACCTTCAATATATGCAGGCTCAGTTAATATCCCCAATACACCTGATCAACCACAAGATACTTACCTGGATCCTAGGCCATTTGTCAAGGTGCTTAACATGTTTAATTTACAAAAAGGGATCTTGTGCTTAAAATATTGATAATACCAGAATTTTAACTTAGATATATACTTAGTCCTAGCTCCACTGAGTACCCAGCATTGGTAGAGGCAGCAGAGGATTGTGCTAGTCATATAACATCCTAGTACTTCATACAATTAGAAACAGACTCAGCCTTATGGACTTTCAGTTACAAAGAGAATTTCATGTTTCTTTTTAACAAAGATTCTTTCTTCACATGAAAAAATTTGAGACACAAGTTAAAACTATTAAGAAATATACTTTATAACTTATTATTATAGTTTGTTTATTATTCTCAGGGTCAAGCATTTGTCAACAGTTTTAACATTGGCCGCTATTGGCCAACCAAAGGACCACAAGTAACTTTGTACATACCCAAGCAAGCTTTCAACAACCCACCTGCATTGAATCTACTCTACTTGTTTGAGCTAGAAAATGCACCCTGTTTGCAGGTGCCTACCTGTCAAGTATTCCTCACAGATACTCCAAATATAGATGGACCTAATGGGCCAGGAACAAAATCCAGTTTTTACACATATCCAAGACGATATCATTAGTTTTAACACCAATTTATGCCTTTTTTATGATCAAACTGTTAAGTTTTTTATCCAGATATTTTATTTTCTATTCTAACATTCCAACAAATGTTTAATTATTTAACAAATGAAACAAAAATTGGGAACTTCCTGTATTTATTTATTTGATATAATTTTTAACCTTTTAATAAATCTATAAACACTCACTTTTTTAAATGGATTGTTTTGCTTTCTACTTTTATCTTCTTTTTAATATTCCAGTTCTTAATTCCATGCGCAAGCCTAATAAGTTTAATGAGGAATATAGCTTGTGATAACTACTAATTAATGCTTCATCTAAATAAAGACAGTAAAGTGTTTTTATTTGGTAGATTGCTGAGAAAACGCCTATGCCTGTAGTAAAAGACACATGGATTCACAAGGCATGCTTGTCTAAGTATTTAATGTTTCACCATCTCTTTTAATTCTTCCTAAACTGTACATCCATCTAAGTTCTAATTCCATTCATAACAGACTTGTTTCATTGTATGAATGACATCAGAAAGTGTATTTCAATATCTGCTGCATTACAAATACAATCCTTTTTTTCATTGAACAAGCATTGCCAGAAGGGAGTAAGTTCCATAGAGATAAAAACAAAAATTTTAAATATTGACTTTTTGAATTGGTAAAAAAAATTGAGGCAATAATTTCAATAGTTGAGACTGTCAACTAGTGGCCTAGTGGTAGAGAGCTAACCTGAAAGTCTTGAGTTTGAATCCAGATTCAAATCATTACAATGTCCCTGAGCCTACCCAGCTCTAATTGGTACCAAACTCACTTTAGGGAAAGCAAAGGCTGGTCATAGTACAGACCACACTATTTCTTTATATGCTGAGGTCGCTGAAACAAATAAACTCTACTCCATCTGCCCCATGCCCATGAGTCTTGGGCACGAACGGGAAAAGATATATTAATATCATATATATATATATATAAAGTGTCTGTTACTTAAAGCTGAATTAGATCAGATATTTGCAGGCAATTAATAAGGAATTGCTCTTGGCAAAGCGGGCTGTTCAATCTAACAGGAAAACTATAGCAGTCTCACTAACTGATCAACCCTTAAAAGTTTTAACTAAACTACACATTTTTAAGAGTGCTTGAACTAGATAGACCGCTTGCAAAAAAACTTAATATTTGCTAAGAAGATAGTCTAACTCTGGTGCCCGGGAAAATACTAGATTCTCTGATATGTTGTGTGAAGATTTTGAGCGCTGTTTTACCTATTAAAGGGACTTAAATGCGTCACGAATTTAAACTTTTATTTTTTCCCTGTGGGGTCATCCATTCATGACGTCAACATGAAAGGGGGGGGGGGGGGGGGGGTCCGAATAAAATCGACTTGTGTTGATTGGGGGGGGGGGGCGGTTCGGGTCAATGTGGACGTCCACATGTGGAACTAAACGAAAAATACTTAAATTTGATAATTTTAAAAAAAAATTCATTTTCAGGTGCGTGTTAATGTTGAGCCACACAAAAAGGTGGAGCAATGAAGAAACAATCATCTCACAATGACAGATTCATGGTGACTGCTAGCAATATTCGAATATGTAGTTGTTTTATATATATATATATATATATATATATATATATATATATATATATATATATATATATATATATATATATATATATATATGGTTTATTGCTATATATTATATTAGCCTACATGTTGTTAATTTAATATTAATAAAAATATAGCGTGTAAATAAACAATTAAACATTACATTTCAATAAACTTATTTACTCGTTACTATAGCAACTGGAAATCCTCCCTAAACAGATACAATTATTTTAATCAAACAGACCCTAATACTAATACAGATAAAAATCACACATTTATTTTTTAAGACATTAACTATTATAACAGATCAAAACTTAACTGTGAATTTTTAAAAACTCACAGTAGCAATTAAATGTGACTTAACTTACAATTTTTCAACCAAAATGAGTAATTGCATTTCTAAAATATAAGCAATGCTAAGTTAAAATTATTTCGCTTTTCTAATAACTGTAACTGAACATCAATCACCCTTTTTTTTAGCCACAAAAGCTAACAGTAAAAACAGCAGACGTAAATTGTAAGAGTTATAACATTGTGAAACTGCAAAAACTTTCAACTACTCACAAATTCCCATTCCCCACACATGTATGGTCCAAGTCTAAGCAACACCAGCAAGTCAGAATCTTGAGCAAGCGTTATAAATTTTTCTAAATCCGACATACCATCCCAGTTGAATTTTCCTGGCTCCAATTCATGTGCGTTCCATGGAACATACCTTTCAAACATAAAGTTATTACATTTTATAATTAATTTTAACAATAACATAGAAGTACAGGTTTGTTAAAAACTAGTAAACATATTGTTAGACACATAGGTGGCAAGGACTGTTGGAGTGTAGTAAAGTAAACTGTAAAGTAAAATCTTAATAATACCTTTTTTATTTATTTAAGTCTTTTAAGTCCATAAGTAATTTCAATAATTTGTTTTTCCAACAACAAAAAGTTTAAACTTTGTATTATTTACATTTTATAATTTCAGGCAGCAAGGACATTTCAGATTGATTTTACAAACAACATATTTGTAAAAGATGGGAAGCCATTTCGCTACATTTCAGGTAGTGTGCACTATGCCCGTATCCATCAAGGACATTGGAAGGATCGACTGAATAAAATGAAAGCTGCTGGGTTGAATGCTATTCAGACGTAGGATTATTTAATATATATCCTGACAGTTATTTCTAAATTATATTTTAATATGTTTTATTGGCCTACATTCCTTTTTGAACTATACTTTTGCTTATAATTATATCTCAATCTTCTAGACCTAACTGAACTGCTATTGAAAAATGTTAAGATTGAGTTAGCAAATAGGGGTCGGCTTGGTCGAGTTGGTTAAGCTCATGGTTGCTAAACAAAAAGTCTCGAGTTTGAACCCTCAGGCAGATGAGCCTCGTTAGCTGGGGATAGCCACTCTTCTAGGAGAGACAACTCCCAAATCAAACAACTGCTACCTTGTAGTTTGTTCTTAGTTGGACAAAAGCTATAGAAGCAAATCCAAATAGAAAAGCAGGCTGAAATCAGAGTCAATGGGCCTCAAAAGCGCATAACCAGTTGACATGTATACTTAATTATGTTGGAGGGGATTCCTTCTCACACAAAAATTAAGAAAGAAGAAATCAGCCTGTCAAGTCTTTTTAAGCCAACCCACATCTCTGGAGGATTGTGTTTTTTTTTTTCTAATTTACAATTTGGATGACTTTTTTAATTTACCAGGGAAGTTTTTAAAAATATGTTTACTAGTTTTTAACAATATGTTTACTAGTTTTTAACAAACCTGTACTTCTATGTTATTGTTAAAATTAATTATAAAATGTAATAACTTTATGTTTGAAAGGTATGTTCCATGGAACGCACATGAATTGGAGCCAGGAAAATTCAACTGGGATGGTATGTCGGATTTAGAAAAATTTATAACGCTTGCTCAAGATTCTGACTTGCTGGTGTTGCTTAGACTTGGACCATACATGTGTGGGGAATGGGAATTTGTGAGTAGTTGAAAGTTTTTGCAGTTTCACAATGTTATAACTCTTACAATTTACGTCTGCTGTTTTTACTGTTAGCTTTTGTGGCTAAAAAAAAGGGTGATTGATGTTCAGTTACAGTTATTAGAAAAGCGAAATAATTTTAACTTAGCATTGCTTATATTTTAGAAATGCAATTACTCATTTTGGTTGAAAAATTGTAAGTTAAGTCACATTTAATTGCTACTGTGAGTTTTTAAAAATTCACAGTTAAGTTTTGATCTGTTATAATAGTTAATGTCTTAAAAAATAAATGTGTGATTTTTATCTGTATTAGTATTAGGGTCTGTTTGATTAAAATAATTGTATCTGTTTAGGGAGGATTTCCAGCATGGCTACTTACAGTTGAACCAAATATGGTTTTACGTACTAGTGATTATGGTAATTATATTAATCCGATTTATTTCTTGTGTGCTTGTTTGTATTTTTAAACAAAAACTTCAAAAAAAATTTTTAATCTCCAGCTTACCTCAAATGGGTAGATAAATGGTTTACAGTATTATTGAAGAAAATTAAGCCTTATTTGTATGAAAATGGTGGTCCAATAATTATGGTTCAGGTAAAGTTTTTAAAATCTATTTCTTATTAAACAGTAAAATTAAAAGTGGATTATGTTAAAAAAAATAATCAATTAATAAATACATAGAAGCATAATTAAAATTAATAGTTTTTTGGTCAAAAACTGATAATTTTTTTTCTATATCAATAATATGATAATTTTTCATAAAATATCTCTTAAAGTTTCAAAGCTTTTCAATTTGAAGCCTCTTCTTTTGATATAATCCTCTTTTTTAGAGTCATGAATGTTGTTTTAAATTTACAAATTTACCAGACGTTAGTGGAGAATTATGAATATAGTAATTTGAAATATAAGTTATAAATTTAAAATGAAGCAAACCACATTTTAAATTTCATAAATGGTATAAATTACAGTATTTTATTAATTTTAATTACAGTAAATTAGGGATTTTAAGGTCTAGCAGTAGATCATGCACTTTCTAATCTGAAAGTTTGTTACTTCTCCTCAAGAACTTAGATAATCCCTCATATTGAAACAGTATGTGTGGTACACTGCAGGAAGAAGTCAATTCAAGAAGCAAAAACCTGGCAGAAACTCACATTTTAGTGGCTGGTAACATGGCTGAGAGCAATGCTAGATTCTCAACCCTGCTTCAGTCTATATGGCACAGTCAAAGTTTGAACCAGTAATAAACACTAAATGGGTGTGGGTGTATGAAATAACATAATATATAAAGAAAGAGATATAAAGATACTGAACTTCAGAACAGCTACTTTACATTTTACAGATGTTTAATCCCTTCTCAAGCCAAAAAATTAACTCTTACCATTCACTATTAATATTTCTACTTTTAAGTTATTGACATTAATTGTTTTGATTAATTTTTAACTTTATTGTCTATTTATGTATTTTATCATACTATATACATCATATTTGCTTTAATAAATATTACCATTAACCCAACTATAGTTATTTTGCGGAGCATTTATTGGATTTGTGATTAAACAGTTTTTTTAAATTTAACATACAACAGGAGTGAGGTGGGCAGTATTCATATTTCAATAAGTTTAGAAAACATATTTTAGTGTCATTTGACTATACATTATTAACAAAAAAAATTCCAATTTTTTTTGTTCGACAACAGATTGAAAATGAGTATGGCAGTTATTTTACTTGTGACAGAGCTTACCTTGATTTTCTTGTATACAAAGTAAAATCTGAGTTAGGACCAAATGTAACTTTATATACAACTGATGGATGTGGTCTTGGCTACCTTCGCTGTGGTAAAGTCAATGGTTCTTATGCCACTGTGGATTTTGGCCCTGGTAGTAAGTTAATGTTTTGATAGTTATATAAATATACTTAAGCAATGCCATTTTTAGTTGAGACCTTATGATTTTGAAGAAAAAAAAATTATTAAATATAATTCTGATTGAATATTTGAAACAATTCAATTTTATTTTATGAAAGTAAGCAACGTACAGAAATTTATACTTTTCCAAAGCAAAGATTTTCAGCAATACCTTACATTAAAATATTAAATCATTTAAGGAATGGAAGCAAAAGTATTGTAGTTATAAATTAGCATGTCCTAAGCAGCTTTTTATATTATCTTAATAATATTTATTTTTCAGGTGACCCAACAGAATGTTTTAATGCTCAAAGGTTTTATGAACCTAATGGACCATTGGTATGACAACTTGCATATTAATACTTATTTACATGTGCTTATCTTATGCAGGCTTCATTTTTATTTTAAAAATACCATTCTTTGTATGAATCTGGTCTTAACTAAATATAATTCGTCAAATTTTAAAACTTTACTAATTGGTAACATTTTGTAAGCAGTAATGTTAATACATTTTCTTTTAAATTTTTAAAATAATGCGTACATTTTTACATCATAAGAAAATAATTTCTGCTAGAAAAATTACAACCCCAAAATATATATGTGCCTAATAAAACGTTCACAGATCAACTCTGAATATTACCCAGGATGGCTAGACCACTGGGGATCACCACATGCTAAATTTGACACTAATCCTGTTATTAAGAGTTTAGACCGACTGCTTGATATGGGTGCAAATGTTAATATGTAAGTCACGAAGTTTTAGTGCTGCTACCTAAGCTTTTATTATTGTTTAAACTATTTTTATCTTCTTATGAATTGAAGCAATGTTGAAGAACTATTTATGTTTTGCTTTAATTTTTAGGTACATGTTTATTGGCGGAACAAATTTTGGATTCATGAATGGTACACATGTTTGTAATTTTATATCACTAACTAATATGCAAAATCAATGTTAAATAAGTATAACAGAATTTGAAATATATGTTAAAATCATGTAACATTAAAATACAAAACTAAACCCATTTATAGTTGACTTTGTTATTATTAAAATTAATTACATTAAAAATATTTGTACTAAGGTGCTAATAGCCCACCATACGAACCTGTACTCACCAGCTATGATTGTGGCAGTCCATTAACTGAAGCAGGAGATATCACACCTTTATATTATGCTCTTAGAGATATTATTTCTAAGGTACTTATTCACTAATTGCAGAATTATGTTTAATTCCTATTTTTCTTTTTCATATAATTTTTCCAATAAATAATATATTTTTTTAGTATCAAAAGCTGCCTGATATGCCTATCCCTCCTAACACAAATAAGACGAAGTATGGAAATATAACATTAGAATTGGTAAGTCTTCACTCTTTTTATATAATTTGTAATTGTGTTTATTTTAAACATATTGACCATTACCATGAGTAGTGTTACTATACTGTTCGTTTAAATGTCAATGCCAATTTGAGTCAGCTACTACTATCAACAGTTGGATTAAAAATATGAAATGTTTTCTTACACTTTAGATCTGCACAATTCAAGATGCCCTCCCTTACCTTGCTCCAGCTGGTCCAAAGTTGTCCACTTACCCACTGCCCATGGAACAGATTAACTTTGTCAGTCATTTATGTTGTACTGTCTGTGAACTTGTAGCATTATTTGTTAAAATGAACAACAGTGCCATTACTCTAACTTTTGAGTTTAGTGATATTGCTTGTGGAAAATATGAGCAGTAGCATACTTCTTTTAACAGTTCCAATAATTAACTAAAAGCTAATATAATTGATGCTTAAATATTTTTCAAATACTTATTGAATCACATTATTTTTTAAAATTATTTTCTACAGTATTCTGGATTCATTTTGTACAGATTTGTCTTGTCAAACAACTTCATTAATCCCACACCACTCTATACCAAAGGAATTAGAGATAGGGCAGTAGTGATGGTTAATGGGGTGAGAATAATTTTTGCATTTTTTGCTAAGTGCTAAATAAAACAATAAAGTATTCAGAATGGATTGATGCACAGTGGTTAAACTGCCCTAACAAAATGACCTGGTCCTAATACTAATAGCCCCGACATATTGGCTCTTGACAAAATCAAACAAGCTCATGACATACTGACTCAAGACCAATGGGGGGTCACAACTTACTGGCTTAAGAAGGTGTCGGCGTGGTCGAGTCGGTAAAGCTCATAGTTGCTAAACCGAAAAGTCTCGAGTTCGAACCCTCTGGCAGATGAGGCTCGTTAGCTGGGGACAGCCACTCTTCTAGGAGAGACAACTCCAAAATCAAACAACTGCTGCCTTGTAGCTTGTTCTTGGTTGGACAACGGCTATGGAAGCAAATCCAAAAAGAAAAGCAGGCACAAATCGGAGTCAATGGCCTCAATGGCACATAACCAGTTGACACGTAATCCTTAATTGTGATGGAGGCAAAAGCTGATGGTTGATAAATTCGAAAAAAGTCTCGAATTCAAACCCTCTGGCAGATAAGGCTCGATCCCTCCCAACACTAAAAATTAAGAACGAAGAAGAAGAAAGAAGAAGACTGGCTTAAGACAAATTGGGTCACAACTTATTGGCTCCTGACAAAATAACTCCCGACAAATAGACTGCTGACAAATCATTTGACCACTTTTGGCTTCATTAACCCCCATGAAGACCTGTTGTTTCAAAGCAAGCACAGAAGTTGTAATGTATGATATCAATGATATACATGATATTTACAGGATGCATGACGTTTTTTTTTTTGATAACCTACATGCTTCATGAAGATAAATGTATGACATGATCTCTCTCCCCACACACTAAGTTGGAACAGCCCACAACCTTAAATTTAAAAACATACCACTTCTAATACTATAAAAAATAACGTAAAATTAAGGCCTGCCGACCAAGAGCTATATACATTATATTTTATTTAAGAGTTAAACTAACTCTGAAGGATTTCTATTGGCAGGGGACATTTTAAATGACTGGGGCTCTTTTGTTTGAAGCTGAAATTACGGTAGCCATTTTGTCAGAAGCCAAAATGACTCATTTGGTCAGGAACACTTTTGTGGAGAGCCCAAATGACAGGAGCCTACATGATAGGGGCCATTTGTTGCTGGCCCTTTTGGCAGTGCACTGAATGGATTAAAAGTTACTTTTTAGTAACTTCATTGTGTTTGACAATGACCGGCTTGCACCTAGCTTTTAATAAGTAATCCCAACTTCACTGAATTCAATTTCAAAAATATTTTTATTCATTGTAAACTTAAGTAATAAGGTTTTAGTTAAATGTTGTGTATTCCTTTATTTATATTGTAATATATACAGCTCATTCTTTTTTTATGTGTAGGTACCTTTTGGTTTAATGGATAGAGAAAAAACAACTGTAAATATTACTGGTAAAATAGGGCAGGCTGTAGATATTTTAGTAGAAAACCAAGGAAGAATAAATTATGGCAAGGATATCAATTTTAACAACAAGGTAAATTTTCTATCTGTATAATAAAATTAAAAAATATTCAGTTATTCAAATTTATTCTATAACTGTAGAATGTTCTTTTTAGCTATGTTTATCTATCATATTATTATACAACCTGAAATATCTTATTATTCTTACACTAACTTACAGGGTATAAATCAGTAATGTCACCCTGAACAAAGTTGTGGTTACTGAATGGCAAATTTATCCTTTAAATATAGAAAACATCCCCAATATTACATTTTCACCTCCATACAAAAGGTATATTAATTTATTACTTATATTTTTTCATTTTTTTCTAAAAAAAACAAAAAAGTAACATGTTTTGTAAGCTTCTATTTTTACTAATATAATAGAACAAACTAACAAGTAGATATTTGCTGATTTTAAACTCCTAAAGATTAGTCTGAAAATACACCCTTTATAAAAACAAAATATAAACAAATATTTAAAATACCCCCTTAAAAATGCACTCTTAATCCCTGAAAATATGTAGGAATCATATATTTAATTCCAACTTTATACTTTTTAAAGGTTAACAATAAATCTGGTAGTGTGTCAGTGAAATATTTTTTTTTGTAGGTCACAGCCTTTAAAATCACAAGATGGCCAACTTTTAACACCTTCAATATATGTTGGAGCTGTTTATATCCCCAATACACCTGACCAGCCACAAGATACTTACCTGGATCCTAGGCCATTTGTCAAGGTGCTTAACATGTTGCTTTAAATGTTGATCATACCAGAATTTTACCGTAGTCCTACTCCAATTAGTACCCAGCTTTGGGAGAGGCAGCAGAATCTGACTTATGGACTATGAGCAGAGGCGTAGCGACCCTTCCCGGCGCCTGGGGAAAAACTTGTCGATTTGCACCCCCCCCCCCTCGAGATTTCCATTTGCACCCCCCCCCCCCTCAAATTTTCGATTTACACCACCCTCAACCTTTCAATTTATCTTTCCAACCCATTTTGGCGCCCCCTAAGGTCGGCGCCCGGGGACATATGTCCCCCTCGCTACGCTACTGACTATGAGTTACAATGAGTGCTTCAGATTACATTTTAATAAAGGTTCTTTTTTAACCCTTTGAGCCCGCCAGGCCGGTAAACCGGCTTCAACATTAGGCATATATGTCCGAAAAGCCAGTTTTCCGGCCCGATGATCTAGCGTCATATTCCTAGCGACGGGCTAAATATAATTAGCGGAAGACTGACTAAAACTGCGCATATGTCTTTTGAGTGCGGGATTATGATTTTAAAAATTGATTTTTAGGAAAAGTGAAAGTATTTTTATTTCGTTGCAAAGCCGCCGTAACGAAAAGCTCAGCCACAGCCGTCGACTTCATCACAAAAAGTTGGTGCAAAAGATGAAGCAAAAAACCGAAATATCAACAAAAGAAGTAGAATGACTGCATCTCAGGCAATACAACTACTTATTGATTCTGTAGAAGAAGATAATATTCCTGGTCTATATTGTGAAGATAGTGACGTTGAATTTGAGACTGAACACAGTGACATTGAAATTGACAGTGACAATGAAACTGTTCAAGTACGTTCTGATGCACGTGGTGCCGAAACGAAAAAAAATGTTTACTGGTGCAAAACATGCGAAGTTTTTCTTTGCATCGGGTCCGGCAGTGAGAACTGTTTTGAAAGTTATCACACAAAAGTGGACTTCTGGCGATGAACTAGTATGGCCAGATATCAATAATAACAAAACAATTACTAAATGTAAAATGGTTTCTTCTATGTTTTATCAAAAGAATAATTATACGTTCATTTTATATACATTGTTCTGTTGTAAAAATTGTAAAAAAATAAAGAATTTCAGAATCTTGCTGCATTGTTGTTTGATCCTGAGTCTGGATACCAAATTTGGCTTGATTATCTCAAACGATTCAAAAGTTATAGGCCAAATTAGAAACAGATAAGTGAAAATTGGTTTGGGCCTGGGAGCTCAGGAAATGGGAGAAATTGGGCCAGGGAGGCCAGGGCTCAAAGGGTTAAAGAATACATGAAAATTTTTATTTTGAAACAAGTTAAAACTTGTGTAAGAAATATAGTGTTAGTCAATCTAATTATAATCTAACCAATTTAAATAAAATGTTTATTTATTATTCTCAGGGTCAAGCATTTGTAAACAGTTTTAACATTGGCCGCTATTGGCCAACCAAAGGACCACAAGTAACTTTGTACATACCCAAGCAAGCTTTCAACAACCCACCTGCATTGAATCTACTCTACTTGTTTGAGCTAGAAAATGCACCCTGTTTGCAGGTGTCTACCTGTCAAGTGTTCCTCACAGATACTCCAAATATAGGTGTGCCTAATGAGCCTTGAGGATGGTACTGGGTGGTTGGGTAACAGCATTTAATTGCTAACCCAAAAGTCCAAAGTTAGATGTACCTGATACTGCCCAGCTCAGTTTGCTACCTGACTTTAGAGGAAAGAAAAATGACCACATTCCATTGACCACACTGTCCTTTTATATTTTAACTTTGAAATTGTTCAGTTTTTACACATTTCTGATATATTTGTATTATCTGATTTTAAATGTTTATTGAGATTATAACAATCCATTCAATGTGATTTATTATTATATGGGACCACTTTATATGGTACTTTCAAAGTATTTTTAACCAAAAACTTTAATAAAGCAATAAATGTAATTAACTGTTAATAGTTAATTATTTTTTTTATAACTATTCCTTAACCATAATAAGAAATTTGTCTTCAACAAATTGGGGTTACCCTTTCAATTTCAAACCTGGCTGGCCCTGAAGAGAGATAGTGAGTCAGCACTATGTCCAAGTGGCCTCTACTTTCCCCAATACAACAAAGGTACCCATTACTGCTAGGTGAACTCTAGTACATATTCAAAGAAGAGACCCAAACATGAGACTTTCAGGTTGGCAGTTTAGTGCTCTAATGCACAGCCATGCTGTGCCATTTAATATTTATTGCTTAAGTCCTATTTTGGGCCAATAGTCAATGGTGCAGATGAAGAAAAGATCTGTTTCTGTGACCTCGCATATGGAGGGGTAGTGAAGTCAGCATTATGCCCAGCCTTTTTCCCCCTAATATTTTAACTGAGGTACCCATTTGAGCAGGGTGGACTCTAGAATGTACTTTGTACTCATGGCTGGGATCCAAACATGAGATTTTTCAAGTTAGCAATCATTTGTTCCACCACCAGGCCATCTCTACAGCTGAAGTCCTATTTTCACTGAGCGACTTTTATGTCTATTACTATTACTGCAAATGTGCTGTCTATCATTCGCTCTTATTATATTACTAGCCGTCGGTACCCGTTACACGTGAATTATTATAGGCCTATATATTTTAATGTTATACGTGTTTGAGAAAAATATTTTATAAAACAGTTATTCGTCAAAACGCAATGTGCTTTACTATTAGTGACAAAGCAAATAAATAGCTAAAAATCTGAAAATTTTAATATAACATAGCCTACCAATACCTATTAGAAAAATTAAAACCAAATTATATACATTATTAGTCAACAGAACACCATATTAAATGCATTCCCTGATTAAGAGACTTAACTGATTCCCTTAAAAACCCGGCTATTCAATGGTCATTATGTTGTTTTTTAAAGTAATTTGTATTAGTTTGATCGAGAAAATTGTCTTGATAAGTAGATTTATAGAATCTAGATCAAAATCAAATGAAATAGTTCATTTCTTTATATTCTAAAATCGGAAGATGACGCCATTAGTGTTCTTTCCACAGTTTAAACATGTGGCATGTGACGTCATTTTTTAATGCCTTCTTGTCACTTTTCCGGTTGCATAATTAAAAATTTGTTTCTGCATTCGAATATGCCTTTATTTTTATTTTTCTTCTTTAAATAAAATTTAGTTTATACATTTAAAACATCTAACATATTATTTTCACCACTAGGCCGTATCAAGTTCTCCATATATCGCTGAAGATTCTAATATTGTAGTCCGTGAAAATATTTTGCGAACAGAGAGACAGAAGTGTGCACAAGAGCTTTTATATATTAGGATAATAAGTTATTTGAAAACTCTTAAACTGGTCACAACCCATGGTTAGTCAAATTCATGATTTAATTAAACAACTTAGGGTCCTCATTTCAATATATATTTTTTTTATAAACAAGTACAGCTGCAACATAATATCAAATTTATAATTTAATTAAAAAATATTTTTTCAAGGTATAAAATAGTAATTCAAGGTATAAAATAGTAATATATTTTATTATTACAAAAATTTATGGAACTTTGTACAAAAATTCTCCATTTTCATCATATACACTATTTCCTACTTGAGATTTTCCAGTACTTTTGTGACCGATCAATTTAGGAATGTAGCCTTGTCTCAGTATTTTGTCTGCCTCCCACTGAATGGTTTTGTGATTTTTACTTAGCTCGTATTTCTTGTTTTGAAGTTCAGCTTGATTTTCTTTTGGTATAATATCAGTGCTAAAGCTTTCTGCACTGTCTGAACCCATTTTAAATTTTGCAGAAACTGCTGCTAAAATAGTAGAAAGTTTATCAAGTTTATTTGCCAATTCCATCTTAATTTCAGCTGTAGCCTCTTTTTTTTCATAACAATCTCTAACAAGTTTTGAGAATGGTCCTTTTGTATTTATCTTTTCAGTCTCCTTATAAGGAAATGGTAAATATTTGATACCACTGGCATTGGCAATAACAGCTTCAGACAGAAATCTTTTCTTAAGAGTTTCATATGGATCAATAGAATCTTGTTCAGGATTTTCCATAGACATTTTTATATCATTCCAGTTTTTTTCTACTTCCAAATCATGTTTGACAATGTCCTCTTGTCTGTGTAAGCGATATTGAGAATTCAGAAGTTTCAGAATGCCTCTTCTATCTATAGGAAAACTCTTAGCCAGTTTGTTTATAGTCCATTCTTTTGGATCTTTTTCATGTAAGTAACGAATTTGCTCTTTTGCTGACCATGTTAATAAATTAGGTTCTTCTGGCTTTCTAAAGAATTTTTTTTCAATAGTCTTAGCCAAGTTACGTCTGCTCTGTCTAATCAGCATCCTGTATAAATTAAGGAAAAATGTAGTAAATGCAAAAAGGTAAATAATGGATCAATCAATATATATCAACGGTTTTGAATTCAGGCCTCATATCAATAAAATTATTTATTTAAAACAACAGGTTTGATTTGATAATAGTGCAGCCGCAATTATAAAAAATCATGATTGATGTATTAGTGAAATCAAGGTGCTAGCTAGAAAATTTGCATGTGAGCTTATTATTTTATATGATTTATCAAATTTTCAAAATGCCAATATCAGTGGAGTAAATGTGATCTTGGAAAAGCAGCATTTCAGTTTAAATAGTAAAACATGAATGTAAAACAATTATTTCGAAAAGCTGAATTAAAATTAAACTTGAAAGAGAGGTCACTGGCAAATTTCAAGCACACTGAGACTGACTGTTGAGCTAACAAGGCTTCTATGGTAGAATCAAGTAATACTTAATAAATATCATTTGTATTACCAGCAGCCCAATTAAAATTATAAGTTTAGCTTCTTTGATTTCACTTAGTTTAAGAGGATATAGATCTTATTATTCTTATACTAGGGACCTTTCTTCTTATTATTAATTTTAGTGTTGGAAGAGATTCCCTCCAACATAATTAAGTTATGTATCAACTTGTTATGCACCATATAGGCAATTGACTCCAGTTTCAGCCTGCTTTTCTTTTTGGATTTGCTTCCTTAGCTTTTGTCCAACCAAGAACAAACTACAAGGAAGCAGTTGTTGATTTTTGGAGTTGTCTCTACTAAAAGAGTTGCTGTCCCAAGCTGTCAAGCGTCATCTGCCCAAAGGTTCGAACTTGAGACTTCAGTTCAGCAACCATGAGCTTTACCAACTCAACCAATGCCTGCCTAATAATAATTAATTATTATAATTAAGCCTACCTACAAGTAGCTAAGCCTAACAAAAATTTTGGGGGATTTTTTTTATACGAGTGTCCGATAATAGAATCTTCTTAGAAAATGGGGTGTTAGGTTACTCAATACTGAATACTGGTAGTTAACTTAAATAAACACATAGCTTACTAATGTCAATCCTATCCGGATCCCTAACCCCAACCTTAGTCCTTCCTACCAAACACTTAACTCTAATTTCTAACCATAAAACTAGTCGGGATTACAATACTTATTACTTATTACAACCCAATACACCTATTTTTGGGAGTCTAATATCGGACAACGGTATCTAAAATCATCCAAAATTAAATTTACCTTTTATTTTCCTGATTTGATACTTGGATGTGTTTTTTACTTCTAAACTTACTCATTTCATGTGCAAATGTATCTTGTTCATCTGGTTCATCCTCATTTAGTAAATATATATTATTAGCTTGTAAATTAGGGGCAGATAAATGTTTATTGTAACCTTTTTCAGAACTGTTCCTACTTTTATTTTTGTCATAATTTTTAATCCGTGAATATGAATCTTGAATTGTAGAAACTTTCAAGGGTTTTATAGATCTAGTATGTGCAGTTATTGAGCTTTTAGATCTAATAAAATATTTTACAATGCCAAAATCCGTCTGTGAATACAGAAGCCTGGAGAATGTGGTAATGTTCGGGTAAAACATTTTTCTTGAATATAGATCTAGAAACATCACACGAAATAAGATCAAGTCTAGAATCAAGTCTATCGCAATTTATCGCAAATTTTTTCTTGAATTTACGATTACTTTGTACTTTAGTTTTTACAAAATAAAAATATAACATAATAGCAAAACAAATTTAACAAAAAAAAGATATATATATATATATATATATATATATATATATATATATATATATATATATATATATTGTAAATCATAATAAACTAAGTATTTTGGAGTTATGTTAATTAATTGGATTTGATTTTTTCAAATAGTAAAAATATTCAGGCCAATATTCCAAGTGTCGGTTACATTTTTCAATTGGGCATGGATAGAGATCTGAGTAAAAGATAAAAAATTCTATCTTTAAAATATTTTAAAATTTTTAATGGTAAAGAATTAGTGAAAAGATTTTTTAAAATTTAATCTGACTAGGTTTTTTAATATTAATCATGTGTTTTTGTTTTTAAAAAAAATCAAGGCGAAAATATTGTGTCAGACTAATAATTCTAAATGCTAATTTGGCAGTCTTTTCTGTTTGGTCAAAGTTCCTGGCATTCGCTCGCTAAAGACTAACCTCCCCTTACCAAAATGTCAACTTGTTTGTTTTGGAAAGCGGAAGATTGATTATGAATAATGTCTCGAAGATTTAAATCATACCTGAATAATTTTGAAATGAAAGAAAAAGGGAAAGCGGTAATGCTCCACTTTTTGTTAAAGCTTACTACAACTACAATATTACATTTTATAAAATATTTAAGATTTAGGGCCTAATTTTTTTTTTATTTTACGCCTAGACTCTAGACTAGAGGCTAGACTAGAGTGAAGTTCCACAACCGGTCACACATAGCGAACTCCCGACTTTCATCGGGCGCTATTTTGTAACCGTTTAACACAGAAACAAACCCAAAGTACTATATTATTCCTCTGCCTTTCTACTCTAAATATGTATCAATCATTTTATATTCCTACGCATTGAATTTGAGATATGTTTTAGTGACGTGCTACTTGCGATATTTTTTTCCCCTCTTTTTTTTCCCTGCGGCCATCTGAACCGGCTTGCGTAACGATCGTGTTTTATACATTTTAATCCTAGTTTAATAAGTAAAATAAATATTTTACACTTTTAAACGTGTTGTTGATTGTATTATTAATTAATAGATTTCAAAACCAAATTAAAAACATGTTAATTAAATTAATTAACGACATTAAAAGTTGACCCAGTGATGACTCAAGGGACGCAACTATAATAATCATAACAAAGGGGCGTAACAACCACTGACAAGACATAACGTAACATTTGCTTAGATATGCTTGTATGTAGAGACACAAACTAGATTTAGAAGAAGTAGATGATCGAAATAATTTAAAACAGCAGAAAAAAATAGAAATTATACAGATTCTAGGCTTAGCTTGAAATGTAGAGCATCTAGAACTAGGCTAGTCTAGCTCAAGTCGTTGGTTACGCAGCGAGGTGAAACCACCCAAATCGACACCCAAGCTGCGGCCACCCCTATTCACCTATCAGGTTGCTTTATTAGCCTTATCTATCGTATGTACAGTGTCCCGCACATATTGTAGAAGCTATTTATAGTTAACCTAGTTATAAAAAGCTTTGATTGGTTGGTTTATTCATCTCATCCGGGACCTAGTGTTTTTCGTACGGGGAACTAGAATCGCCTACGACGTCATACCTCGAAACTTTAAAATTTAAAAACTCGACTTTCAGAAGGAGAAAAACAAAAGAATTTGACCTGGATATATTTAGAAATGGACAGGTTTACAGCAGATATCGGTAGTTTCATATAAAACATCAAAACAAATATTGTACGAAGCGATAAACAGGCGATGGCCGCACTCGGGTTTTATCCGCGCGTGGAACTTTACTCTACTAATAGTAATTTTACTAGAAATCTAGGTCTAGAGGAGCTTACACTTTGCGGACACACATCGCGAAAAAACGCAACTTAAAACTTCCATGCGGTCTCATTCAGTAACCGCTTAACTTAGAAAACAAAAAAAAGTATATCTATCCGCAACCATTCTACTTTAATAATGTGTATTTTGTATTCATACGCATAGAACTTTATTTAGCTATTCTTGTTATAGTGACTGGGGGGTCTTAACATGTGTCTGAACACATGTAATACAATTTTACATGTGTTCGAACACCTTTACCCATCATTACACATGTAATACAATTTTACATGTGTTCGAACACCTTTACCCGTCATTACACATGTAATACAATTTTACATGTGTTCGGACACCTTTAGCCTTTACCCGTCATCGGACAAAGCACTTTTTTTTATATACCATTCCTTGGTATTTACTCATTAGGTTATCAAGCTGTATAATTTAAAGAATCCCTGTATAATGTATACCATGTAGATGGGATGTCATGTGACAGTTTCTGTAATGCTTGATTTGCTCTTTGGATATTTTATTTTAACTTGACTTTACTGTGGCATAAAACAACATAAAGCTAACAGCATTTCAATATTTTACATTTGGATGGATATAGTTAAAGTAGGTTTCAAAAGGGACGCCATATTTAACACTGAAAAAAGACAATAGTACCAACATGTTATTTACAAATCTGAATTGAATACAGCTTTTCATCAATGCTTACACAAGTACTTTGTGAAGCCCTTAATAATTAAGTTTTGACTTAAAAATAGCATTTTATCACCTTAACATAACTACTACCTAGAAATTCATAGTTTTAAATGATGTTTTGAAATGGTGTTATAATTGTAATTATGGAATATATTGTTTTTCATCTGTACAAGATATATGCTTCATCTTCAGAGTAATGATATTTATATTTATTCATTATTATATGTGTTGTAATTAATGCTGAGATCAAACTTTTAAAAATATCAGTTTTCATAGATTCCACATTTAATTTATTTGTTTTAGAAAAGTTATTACTAATAGCATGCATAAACTGCATGCAGATATTTTCTAGAAGAACCATCAATTTGTTTATTGCTGGATTGTTAAAAGTATAATACAGCCAAGAAGGTCTTAATGTCTGTAGTTATTTTTCAACGTCTACATATTTGTATCTTGTCTTAATATTACAATGATGATTTCAAAACAAATTTCAATGGTATTAGAATTTTCTGATGGTAAACATTGAAGTTGGATCCTCAGTCATGTTTAATTCACTAAAAGGAAAACATTTCTTTTTTAAATCATTGTTTGCAAGTATCACCCTGCCTCCTCCTACCCATTTGTTATGGTTTGCCAGAAATTGTATTCAGTAATTGTTTTTGTTTTCTTAATTTAAAATGTAACAGTCTCCATGTAGCTTAAATATTGCTTCTCAGCGTTATGTATTTAAAATATTTTGGATCTTCTAAAATCTTATCCTCATTAATATAGTGTTTAAGAAATACTTTAAAACATTCGCACTGCATTTTATGTCATAAAACTAGAATCAACTTCCCACCTTGTACAGGTAGTAACCCATGTACACTTTTCATATTTGTCTTAGTACAGTTTGCAGTAGAAATTAATTAGTGAACTACAGTTGACAGAAAGAAAAAACAATTTAATTTTATCCTTTGACTAAATTGATGACATTCTTGTTGAGTTTTTAAAGATTGTTAAAAAATTATGTAACATTAGCTATTTAATTTCATTTCAATATTTAAAAGAATAAATAGTATTTGACATGTTTATTTTTTCAAGCTGTTGCTCAAAACAAAAATTGTCATTAACATGATTGCAGAATTAAAATTAGCTGTTTAAAATTACTTAACTCTTGAACTTAAATTTTAATTTCTTTTTTATAGAGTGTTTCAGAGTATGCTTGAATAGAGTTATTGATTTTAAACCAATTAATTCATACCTAACCACCAATTAAAAACACTATTACAGTAGAACTCCAGTTATGCTAGTGTCTGTATTAACATTAAAAATGTAGCTAGTTCAATAGTCTAGCTGATCACAGCCCAGTGGCTGTTTAGAAGCCTTAAATATATAATATTCACAACATTATAGAATTAGGTTGACATGATGTGTTGGTCTTTGGATCATTTCAATAAAGTATATAAAGAAATAGCAAGCTGGCATAAATTAGTGATTATATAAAAGTGGCTATTTTGTTGAAAAAAATTATTGAACAAGTACATTAATTTTATTCAATTTTGTATTAACACTACCAGTTATAAAATCTTGCTAATGGAATTTCTTTTTTATAATTAATATATTGGCATAAAATTATGGTTCTATATTAAAGTCATTATCAGTGATTACCCAAGTTATTGGACAATAAGAGTTCTACTGTATGTTTTATTTTTGCTTCCAATTATTTGCAGTTATGCTTTAATTATTTGCATCTTGATATGCTTAAATTTTACCTACCATCAAAGCTTAGTTGATACCATCTAATCCTTGAACTTGCAGACATTTCAATCTTATATAGACCTCAGTGATGATGAAAATGATGAAGAGGAAGACGTGAGTACTGTATTGACCTATCCGGGAGCTGTTGTTATAATTTCATAGCTTTCGTCTGCTTTGTTAATTCAACTACAACTTGATCACATGACTACAATCTTCACTTTTACTGCAAATTGACAACTTGAGCTTTACTTTTTTCTTTTCTGTGTTCAAATTTAATCTTTCGTTTGTTTACATTCTTTGTTAGTATTCAGTTGGAAATAGATATTTTTTTTATTCATTAGACATCGGTTTCAGTTCCATTCAACTTCTTATGGTTAAAAAAAATGTATACAGCTTATATTGCTTTTTTTATAGTTTTGCATGTAAAGTTGTTTTAAAATTCATATATCTGCATCAGCAATACCAGCATATTTGTTGATCTAGTATAACTAATTAGGATACTTCAAATGTAATCTTAATTCTAAAATTGAAGTATCACTATATGCAATACTAACTATATAAATGTAAGGTTATAACAGCATATTTAAATTACAAAATACTTCTTTAATATAACAATCATAGAATATAATTAACATATCATTAGCTGAATTTAAATTCCCTCAATATGTTTTTATTATTTTCTAAAAATGTTTCTGCCACAATATATCTGGCATCTATTTACTTTAAAAAATTTCATCTTAATTTTAACATTCTCTTTTATTTCTTTTTTTTTTCAAAACATTTAACCTGAGTACAAAAAGTCATTTCTCATCTATTATCATATTTTTATGCATGGTTATTTGTTTGGAATCAAAGGTTGTATTCTGGCTCAGGACTAATAATTGTACATAACTGTAATAGATTATCTCCTATTAGTTTTATTTTTACTGTAAATTTGTATAAACATTAGTACTTTGTTTATTTCATCACTCAAAGCAAGTTATATAATTTTTAATGTAAAAATAATTAGGCAAATTAATGTCAAATTTGTAAATCTTGTTTTGTTTTTCATTAAAATGTTCTAAAGCACAGTAACTAAGATGCTTAGTGATCACATTGATTAAAGTCAAATGAGTTATGATTCTGTATCAGTTTCTTCCAGGTATCTCTTCGGGTGGGGGTGAAGAAAAAAAGTCCGGAAGAGACTGTTCTGTATACGCTTCTATGTATGGTTAAGGGAACTTGCTGCCTCTCTCTGTTAACATGCTTTGCTAAATAACATTTACTGCTTGTGTACAAACCATCAGCATGCTCATTTACAATTTGTAAAGTTAAATTCTAAGTTTATGAAGGAAGAGACTTCTGTATAAGCTCCTATGTATGGCTAAGGGAACTTGCTGCCTCTCTTTGTTAACATGCTATGCTAAATAACAAACCATCAGCATGCCCCTTTACAATTTGTTTCAAGGCAAATACAACTTGAAAAAAGTTAAATTCTAAGTTTATGAAGGTAATGTGTATTTCAGCTGTTTACATATTTTCTATGCCAAACATAATAGTGAGTGTAGGTTTTATTTTAAATGGTTACTAAATGAGACTTAGCTGAATATGTATTGTTTAAAAAAACATTCATTAAATGCTGTGTCTTCAGTTAACTGATAATTATTGTGTGTTATAATTCTATTTCTGTCCTGTTTGTGTCAGTGAAGAGTGAATGAATCACACCCCTCTCACTCATGTGGACTAGCTCTCTGTTTGTCTTTAAATCTTAACCAGGATTTGAAAATATATAAGCAGCTGTTTCTGCCCTAACTTATCTCAAGTGGAAATTAACTACAAGTTTGGGTGGGATTTTGTTTTTTAGTGAAAAAGATAGTATGGAAGAGAGTAACAGCTTCTTGTTATATGAGGCTACAGGGGAAACCTAAACTCTCTACTTTAAACTTCCTAGATCTATATTAAATGGTTAGTTTATTCTTTTGTTTGAATGTTCAAGTGTGTCTAAAGAAATGGCGTGTTTGTTTATATTGTCCTGAAGTAAAGCTGATAAATTTAGAATGAAATGGGTTGTTATTTTTGGTTCTGAGTTTATGTAGAGAAACTATTTGCTTTGAAACTAATCACATGGAGCAGTACATTTTGAACAATATTTTACTCAAATCTTCAAATGTATAAATATATATTTTAATGACAACAAAGGACACACTACCTAGAATGGGTTTATTTACATTCAGATTGTAATCATGAAATAATTTAAAAACCACCCAGTAGCTTCTTAACAAAACAAGAATTTTCACTTATGTTCATATCTTTTGAAACTCATATGATCTGAAGAAATGATTAATATATTATTTAATTAAAAAACTACAGTTTTAACATTGGATTTGTGTCATTGCTTTCTAACTCTGATAAGTCAGCACTGCATGCCATTACCTGCGGCTCTAGGCATGATTTAATTTTCAGGCGTATCTCTTTCAAGCAACTACTAATATTTTTTACAACTACAATTTTAGGTAGACAAATATGTGTTGCTTTATTTGCCTAGAGGTTTTATGTTATTGGTGGAACGTATATAGTTATTAACCTTTTTTTTTTCATCAGACAAGCATTAGTGTTAGTTAATAACAGGAGCTCACTTCAACCTTGTCATATGGCAGTGCCAATGGCTTTTACAATGTTCTTTCAGTATAATTATATTATTAGGAATGTAACGTAAATTTAAGTAGATTGGGTATCAACTTTACCGTTTAAATACAAGTTTCCTTTTTATGCAACCGGTTGGGTATTAAATGTTTTGTTTCTATTTGTTTTAGTCTAATCCTTTTATAACCTAATGTTCTAAACTAACCCATAGTTTAATTTTAGCTTGAACTTAAGTGTCAACAAAAGATTATTATAGCATTAAATAAGCTGCTTTTAAAATAAATTTTAGCCATGGGTAATTGTTTTGTAAGTGCAAACAGCTAGCATACATGTATCATCAATCATTTGTTTTTTACCTTTAAATTATAGGAAGAAGTTGAAAAAGTTGCATCTGCCTTTTTTGACAACTTACATGAGCCCAAAAAGTTACAGGGTATGAGTTTTCTCATTCTTTATATTGATAATGTCCATGCTTGTAATTCTTTGTTGTTTTTATTTTTTTTTTTATAATATAATTTAAAACATTTACTTTAGCTTTGTTTTTCTATTATTTCAATTCTTCTGGTTATCATTTTTTATTTTTTACTTCAGGTGAGCGTGTCATTGCTGGGGCAGACAGTGTGCTCATGTTTGCTCCGTTCTCCAACAGAAAGCAAGGCATCTCAGGGCACTTGTTTGTTACAAACTTCAAAATTTCTTTTGTAACAGCAGATAAATCTTCTTATCCAGATGGAGATGTAGGCATTTATTTATCTCTTCCGCTAAATTAGCCAAAAAAACAGTTACATAACTACATGATAGCTCTAAAAATGTTTTCTTTACAATTTTTTTTTAGAATAACCGCACCCCTCAGAGAAATAAACTTCTTGAAAATACAGACATTCCCCTGACATGTGTAGACAACATATATCAAGGTTTGTACCATTCAATGTCAATTGTTTATTGAAAATCATTTTAATATTTCACTGTTTCAATTTTATTTTTTTTTAATTTGCCTGATTTTATAATCTCCAATTGTAGTAAGTTCTGGAGCTCGGCGTAAAAAGCTGATACCTGGAACAAGTGTGACCACCCCCACAAAATACCTGGAAATACATTGCAAGGTGAATTTTCTTTCCAGATTTAATTTGAATCTTCTAGACATTTTCATAATTAAAAAAATTAAGTTCTTTTGAAATGCTTTTAAAAAAAATTTTAACATATTTATTAAATGATTCATCAAATGTGAACTTTTTTCCGTAGGATTTTCAAATTCATGTATTTGGATTCAAATTTACTCCTAAGGACCAAAATAAACAGGTTAGGCTTCCATTGTACAGCAGATCTTAGAATATTTTATAAAGATAGAGCCTATGATATGTATCAGAATTGTGTCCTTTAATTAACTTCTTTTTTTTTTAATTTATCCTTTTATGTATACATATTCTTACCATACCGCTGTCTCAGTTTCTTTATAAATACCAAATATATGTATACATTTATTATTTAGCTCTGCTTACTTATTCTTTAGGTGACCGATGCAGTAGTCCATTTTTCACATCCATGTAAAGATGATTTGCTCTTTGCTTTTGAATTTGGACACAGTAGTCGTTTTGAAGGTGCAAAATTTTACATTGTAATGATCACAAAATTTAAATACTACTCACTTCATAAGAATAATAGTTTTTTTTTGGTTGTCTTAAAGTTGTGCTAAAATCTGAAATAATTCCAGAGCACCAGTCACCTCAGTTTATGGATAAGGAAGATTGGGACAGAGAGATTGAAAGATTGCAATGTCAGACAATGTGGAGAGTCTGTGATGCTAACTATGGATACCAGATCAGTAATGTGTAAGTGCTATCTCACTCAGTGTGTTACCATACCTAATTAAACATGAATCACTGTTATCTCACATTTTCCCTCCAATGTACTTTGTAGCATACATTTAATATTCACCGAATGTTTATTCTTTCCACAGTCTCCCAGAGTATTTTGTCACTCCAATAAATTTACTGAATGCTGACATAATAAAAGCTTCTGCTCAGTTTGTTGAAAAACGGGTTCCTGTGAGTACAATTCAATTTTTGTTCAACATTACTATGTTAAAGATTACTTGAAAGTTATCAAATGTTTCAGTTTTCTTTATTCAATCAGTTGATATTTTAAATGAAGTTAAGTTAGCTAAAATTTAACAATTTATATGTTTTGCATTCCTCGTATTTGTGAATATGTGCCTTAAGCTAACAAAACTCTTTATCTTATTACAGACATGGTCATACACATATGTAAATGGTGCAAGTCTCATACGAATGGCTCACATACTTCCTGAATCTGATTTCAAAATTCTTGAAGAAAAGTAAATATACCACTTAGTTTAATTTTATATCAGTTAGATATTTAATGGATCTTAAGTTTCCTTTTTAAAACTGGTTTTCTTTGCAGCTACAACATAGTAACTTAGTTATGTATGTGTGATCAATTTAGTTTCAATGTAAACGTTTTTTGTTAATTAGAATCCTCTGTGCAATCAAGGAGTCCAGTGGTAATGAGAAGGATCTTACAATTGTGGACCTGGGTCGAATGTGTCCATCTTTACCTGATATCCGAGCAAGTCTTGAGAAATTAAAATCTATTATAATGACAGGTCATGATCTTGAAGAATCTTAAACAGTTACATACTTCATACATCCAACAAACAAACAAAATTTTTTAATTTAATCTTAAGAATAAACTGATAATATGTTTGATTCATTGTAAAAAAAATATTATTTTAAATTTACTTGAGAAATCGTTGTATTTTTTTAGTTTAATATTGAGAAAAATTGTAACTTGTAATAATTCTTCCAATGCTTTGGCTTACAGATTCCGCAAAAGACTTCTACAGTACAGACTCGCGCTGGCTGACTAACCTAGAAAGTAGCCAGTGGCTGCAGCATGTGTCAGCCTGTCTCAATGTTTCCAACCATGTGGTCAATCAGATCATAAGAGACTCTGAGACTGTTGTGCTCAAAGGTAACAACACACAATTGTTTAGGTTTTTCATATAACATTAATATATTTTATCGGGTGTTTAGTTGATATATCAGTACAAACTTCAAGTGTTTAGTTGATATATCAGTACAAAATTCAGGTGAAAGCATGGATCAGCACATTTTTCTAGATTTAATAAATGCAACATATTAATGACATTTTAATGACAAGTTGATTTCACCCAGCTAGCTGTCAAAAATTTCAAGAATTTAAGGAATCAATTCAGCCAATTCTTACTATTAGCTTTTTAAACTTTAAATGTACCACCAGTAGTCCACACTCTTGTGCCAATAACTTCAAGTTCAGGTTAAAACAATACAATTTTAATATATTTTTCAATGTCAGTGTAATGATAATTTTTTTTAAATTGACACAAACATGATTGTAGCATTGTCAGTGTAATGATAATTTTTTTTTTAAATTGACACAAACATGATTGTAACATGGACTTTGCAGAAGAGACAGGCAGTGACCTGACGTGTGTGGTGTCCTGTCTGGTGCAGCTCCAGCTTGACCCTGAGTACAGAACAATCAATGGCTTCCAGTCTCTGGTGCAGAAGGAGTGGGTGGTCATGGGACACCCTTTTCAGAAGAGGCTTCATTTAGTCTGGAGTCCTGAACCAGCAGCAGAACTGGAGCAGGTGTGTGTTGTTTTTTAGATACAGTCTTAACACAATTAGTACCCTGACATAATTAATGACCTAAAATAATATGTGATGTCATAGCAAGTGCCTTGTCCTGCTTAGTTTGGTTGACAGACTAACATGTACATGAACAATGTCATGTGATAATCTAATCCTAGATATGAGCTAAAAATAACTGTCTTCTGTTATTTTCAATTAAAGGTTGAAGCTATTATTCTAGATAAGAGCTATTAATAACTTCTTACATTAGCTACTAAATTAGGCTATTCCTACTGTTTTCTGGTTTATACATTTGTAAAAGTTTTCTGAAATGAGAACTAAAGTTCATAATAGCTTACTGTGTGATTTAATTAAATAAGCCTTGATTTCCATATAGCTAAGATAGCTCTATGATTTACTGATTGGAAAAAATCTAAAAATATCATTTTCTCATTTGTTTCAGTCTCCTTTGTTTTTACTTTTTCTGGATTGTGTGTGGCAGCTCCTGCAACAATTCCCTTCATCATTTGCCTTCACTGAGACCTACCTGACCACCTTATGGGATACTGTAAACATTGGCTTGTTTGAGACATTTCTTTTCAACAGCTGTTGGCATCGAAAAAAATTCTTAAAAGAGGGCAGAAAAATGACAATCATCTCTTTACCCAGTGCTTGGGACTGGAAGTTTCAACTTGGAGATGAACAGCTGCTTCTCTTCAACAACCCTCTTTACCTGTTACGGACATCGTATAACCTTGACCACGTTGTTGATAGCGCAAAGACAGCCTTACGATTGTCAGGTGAAAAGCTGCGTGAGAACTGCTACGCCCTACTGTTGGGTAATCCGCCGCCCACAGCCGATGTGTTTGCCCTACAGGAGACCATCCTCAAGCCTGAGGTGACTCCGAGCCTGATCAAACTCTGGTCACAGTGTTTTCTGCGATGGATAGTACCAGCACAGATTGTCGGGGGAGGCAACCCCTCACAGTACATGCAGCAGTGTATTCTTGCTGAAGAGGTGGTCTGCCTGAAGCACAAGCTCCAGTCACTCACCCAACAGTTGCATGAGCTGTCACCGCACCAGCAGTCACAAAATGGAAACCTGATGCAGCCACAGTCACGCCTTAAAAACCCCCGGCCACACAGCGGGCTTTTGTTTGGGTCTTCTGGTTACCAAAGCAACCAGAAACAGTTGTCCAGTGTGTACATCACCTCCTCGTTCCCCTTCAGCTCTGGTGTCTCCCAGCACACCCAGCATTCACTTATCTGTGGGCCGCTCTCAAGGTACCTGAAGGACACTGAGATTGATCATGACTATGCCAAGGATGATGAAGATTGAAGTTTTTTAGAAATCACAAGAGACTGGCAATCAGAAAGACAAGAATAAAGAAGACTGAATTTTTTTTTTAGTAATCACCAAAACTGGCAAATCAGACAGGATGATGAAGATCAAAGTTTTTGAGCGAGAGCTAGAAATTCGACCCATTAAGATACAAATGTTTCTTGATCTTTGCTTGGACCTTTTTAGTAAAGTCACAGTGGATAGTTTGATGTTGTTGTTTTTTTTATGAACAAACTGTACAGTAGATACAGGTTATAATGAAATGCTGATCATGTGTTCATATTGTTTCCTGTTTTAGTTCAAACACAGCTGAAGCTTATTTTGAACAGTTTAACCATACTGCTTTAGTTTTAGATGGCTATACTTGGTACAATACCTGCATTTGTACCTTAGCTGTCATCACAACTTTTGTGTATTCAGTTATAAACAGTATTTGTTTAGAAATACCCAATTTTTCCAGTCTATTCTGCTTATTTTTCAATGTTATTTGTTGGCTACTAGCCTCAATATCATTGATGTCAAATATTAACCCAATAATTCCCCCTCACAAGGTAATTGCAGTTAAAACTGGATACTTTTGTTTTTGTATTGTTTTACCTGAGTTGTTTTACATAATTCAAACTGACATAATCACCTGTTGATCATACATGGCCTAATTGCTCAATGCGCAAAGAGCAATTGAAAAAGATTGTTTTATTGCTGGCGATTATATCTTCAGCATATCTAACAATGATTGTGTTAAAATGGTCTTTTGTGATATTACAGAATGTTCCAATGTTATTTAATGTTTTGTTAGACATGATTCTATTCTTCATATGTGTACAGATTGTTAGACTGTTGTGATATGTAAACGTTGGTTCTTATCCCTGGTGATAACTGCCTCTACAAAGCCACATCTCCTGCATTGAAGAGTTCTGGTGCTTAGGATGGGTGTTACTGTACAACTGCTGGTTTTTTTTTTTCTTTTCCCCTTCCCTCCTATGTAAGAGCCTTTCTAGTGCTCATATTACATTTAATGCAATAAAATAATTTCTATTTATTTCATAATAATGTCTGCGTGTATGTTATCTTACGAGTATTTATAATTGTACAGTTGTTGTTTTTCTTCTGTACAAAGTATGATTTTCTAGAAAATTTCCAGTTAAAATGTGAGATGTAAAATAACAAATGTGACTATTTTTTATACCCATTGAATTGGCTCTATTATTTAGTAAGAATGAAGCAAAACAGAAACATTAAATTATATTCAATTTCTTTCTAAAGAATTTTTACAGAAATTAAATATCTTAAATAGAACAAATTGATTCTAATTGTATATCTTTTATAATGCATTTTACATAAAAATTAGTTAGTTTCCTTATGCCTCCCATTGAGTGTTAACCACAAGTGATCATCACCCATGCTAGACATTTTCACGTTTCTAGAAAAAAAGTTTTAAAAATTAAACCATTCACAGCACCTGTTATTTTAAAAGTTCAGTTAGTGATGATGGTGTGCCTTATTTTTACCTAGTAACTTCACAAGCTGTCCATAGACAGGTTTTTAAAACCAAATGTTTGTCTTATTTTCATAGTGCATATGTTGATTGCAGCTTTATTGTAGCTGCAATATGTGCTGACCAAGTATATTTTTACGTTTTGGAATGGCTGATTTTGAATTCTTAATGAACAACCACCTGTGTTTATTTTCCACGTTCACCAGTGTTGCACTCTTTCCCTTCCAATATTATTTGTAATATTAATAACCTTCTTTCTCTAGATTTTTATGTAACTATGCCTCAACATCAGATTACCTTACTCCCATTTTTCTTATGCCTATAAACCCCTGTATACACAAAATATAGTGGTTAGCACATTATTTTGTTTAGTAAACATTTATAACTAGTTCAACTTGTATTGTAGAACATTTTTTTTTATTGTTTATTTGTGAAGTTTTCTAATCTTTACAGAATATATTATCTTCGAACCCCTGTCTGAAAATGGCAGTATTTATATTCTACTTAATAGTACCATTATAAGGTACAATCGGTATTTTATTGTTGATTTTATTTTATAATCGTTTTAAAATTAAATTTTTGTTGAATATGGAATACTATATTGCACATCAATACAACCCAAGTTATTCTTTGTTACATTATTTATTATCCCATTGAATTGAATAAACAACTTCCCTCAATGTTTTGTGTTGAATCTGAATATATAAAAATTTAGATTTAAAATTGGCAAGTCAGTCTTGGCGTTGAAATATCATTTTCTGTTTATATTGCCATTTTAGTAATGAGCCTGCTTCCATTCCCTCTACACATTTACCCTATATACCCATTTAAGGAAGTTACTTCATAGTCCCTGTGTCGTCTGTGCGGTGCAAAAATAGTCCTTGTGTTTATTAGGCCAGCTGTCTGTACCTTTCAGGGTCAGAAAGCTCCATTTTTGTAGAGCTGATTTGATGAAGTGTTTACATGCCTAACTTGATGCATGGAAGGCAAGGTGAATTGGTGCCATATGGATTTGTAGGTCCAGATCTGGTTTGGTTAAAACTGCTGTCTTTATTTGGACTATACTATGTACCTGTCTAATCATGACTTTAAAATATCCCTTTGTTTATAATTGCTATTTAATTTCAGTAATGACACCTGCTTCCATCATTCCTACACAATGTCTACGTAACATAAATATATGACAGCGTTTTTGTTTCTTTTTATAACTGAGTGGTGAAGAAATATTTTATCAACCACAACATTCAAAAATTTTAAAACAAAACTGCAAGATATTCAGTGTTTAATTACATCAAACAAATATATCAGAGCACAACAATATCACTAATAAACAACATTTTAATATGTAAATCAGAATTTGTAAATGATGAACTTATTTTAGGAGTCTAAGTCAATGAAAAGAAATGCAAGATACTAACTTGTTATCTTCTAAAGCTTGTACACATGGTGATGAAGGGAAAAAGTTATTTAGGTAATTAATTTTGCTTGGCTTTGCTAAAGGCAATCAGGAATAAATAAAAACAGTGTCTGGAAGCTCAATACATTCATATATGAACAGTCTATGAGTGGTTTATGACTAGGGTGATGTTTTTAGTGGAGAAAACTTACAAGAGTTGAAATATGAATTGGTGAAACAGTGATGAATTAAAAAAGACAATACCAAAAACAACAGCAATTACAAATTTGCAAAAGATATCTAGCGTAAAATGAGACCAAATTATGTCCAATTAGAATTTTAAAAGTTTCCATTAGGAGACTAACCTATACACAATCAAATGATAAATATTTGATGTGAAAATATACATTTATATAGTTTAATGGTAAGAGATGATTTTCAGGGAATGAAATTCTCACTAACTTTTTCGAATATCTTACAAGAGTTAATAATAAGAGTTATCAGTAGTACATTAACACACTTTTTCATATTCACACAAATGCAAATTTGAGAAAAACCTCAAACACAATAGTTGACATGAAACATTTAAATATTTAGAGCTGTTTCAAACAGTCATCAATCTCTGATATTTTATCTTTCAGGGCTTGCCATTGATCTATACTGAGGCTAATACCTGTTGAATTAAAAATATATTATATACCCTATTTAAAAAATGAACATAATTCAGAAAAACAAAAATAAGCGTTTTTTAAAAAAACATCCACAAGTAAGAACATGAAAATAAATTGTTAATATTATTTCTAAGGAGCAGAGACGTAATTAATTCAATGTGTGGGGGAGAAGGAAGGGGAGCTAAAATTATACAATTCAAGGACATTTTTTAAAAAATTGAAACATTGAAACGCACGTTTTTTTTTAAAACAATAGGCCCATAATAAATTATGGAAACCAAACTGTAGTCTAATAATTTTATTATTATTATGCCCAATTAATCTCCTAATAACCTATTTTCACCTTTGTCAAACCTCTAACTATGTAGCCTTTGTTTAATATAGAAATAATAGCTCAAAATACCTATGTTGACATATTTTTAAATAACAGCACTTGTAAAATAGAAGACAACTATGTTTGCATAGTCATGTAGGTACATTATAATCTTCAACATTAGTATTTTAAACCTGACATTTCCATTTTTTCCCCCATTGGTTTACATCACTACAAACAGAGATGTAACAACTATGTTTTTTTGGCATAGTACATCTCTAAATGGTGTTAAAACATCAGTTGCACCCTTTTTTCTTACCAAACCTACATTCAGATATTACTTACCTTTTTTTCCGGGCCGTAGTTCTCCATCTTTTTCATAATATTCTCTGATTCCTACCATTGCTTTGCCTCTGAACTCACTCACTGTGGCATACCTCATCTTAGCTAGCTGTAACATAATGATGAGAATTATTTGTTCAGACTTAACCAAGAACTAAGGCATTTTATGTTCTTATTGAGTACAGTACTCTTCCAGCACTGCATGCTGCTCAGATAAACTGTATAATTAATATATATATACAAACAAACCTGAAACATAAATTCTCCACCTGATCCTTTAGTTGGACCATCTTTTTTCTCTTCACTGCTTTTAGCTGCGCTCTTTCCTTTGGTTTCTTTGGTTGCTTCTTTTTTCTCTGGCTTCTTTTTCTTTGGCTTAGGCTGGAAAAAAATAATTCTGATAATACTAGAGACATAAGGATAGGATAGATGGATATTTAAAAAAAAAGCTCTGAAAAAGCTAAGAACAATGTAAAAAAAAGTCTAATGTGGACTATAAAATATTTATTTAAACATATTTTCGCTGAGATGTTAAGTGATAATGAAAAACCATCTAAGTATGGACGAGTTGCAGGAAGATGAACAGTAATTATAACATTGGCAGTATAGTGGCAGTATATTTTGCTAGTATTCTCCAACATATCATTGGTCACAACTCAAAGCATAATTGTGATTTTCAACTGTCTAGAACAGCAATACAGACAAAAAACCCTTCCAGCTGGCAGTTATATAAAACACCATGTTATTCAAGGGTACACTGTATGGTAAAACCTTTAAATACCTCAGAATCACCACTTCCTGAGTCTGACTCTGAAGAGCTGAGATATTCTTTAGATTTAGGCATCTCAACTTCTTGCTAGCGTTTTCTTCAAGATACTGGTAATGAAACTAGGCAAATCTGAAAAATAAATTAACATTATTTGTATATGGATGGCTTATTAAGTTTTCTGAAGAGTCTGTAGTTACACAACCCGTGGGGTGCAGTGGTTCATTGAATGTAGTAGCCCACTGTGTCCATAGTGTAGAGTGCTCTTTTAAATGTATATAGATGCCATACCAGGAAGCCGGGGCATACAAATCCTGGGGCTTCTATTGCTGCCCGTTGCAGCTTGTCAGTTGAATCAAGTAGAACAACTGACCTCCTGTGTAGGACACCAACCAATTTTCTTTTGGTGTATAATGGGCATCCCTCTCCATTCCTGACCCTAGCCTGATGCACCTTGGCCACGAAATCGTGATTGTTGTAGCACATCCAGGAACTTTCGTGAAATTGATGTGTATAAATCAGTCTTCTTGACGGTAACTAACCGTAAAAAAAACTAATCTAACTCAGGCCCGTGTATACCTAAAGCCTGCTTAAAGCAAATTACATAATCTAAGAATAAAATGCATCCACTAGTCAAACATCATCTCCAATAATAAAGTACTAGGAGCGATGGAAATTTGTTTTTCACCAGATGTGCGAGAAAAAAAGTTATAAATAAAATAAGTAGGTATATCAGTGGTGTATGTTCTTTTTTAAAAAAAAATTCTTGATCTAGTGACAAAAAATTTTTAATATTAAAAAATCTTAACATCGCCACTCCTATGATCGTCTGTTCTCGGTTCGACAGGTCATTGTGAGTTCTCATAAAGAGATTATTTAGACTATATTTAGATCAATATTTAAAATAAATTCTAAGCATTGTCGCCAGCTTTTTGCCTTCTTACGCTTTCTTGTCTGATCAAGAAAAATACTGCAGTTTGAGGGGTCACAGTCAGTGCATAAAAAACTTGCTTGGGGTCAACAGTGTGAGTTCATTAATCTTGTCAGTGGGAGAAATATTCAGCCAAATCGTTAATGTATGCCTGATACCTTCCACCTTTAAAACTTTGTATAGTTGTAGAAAGCGTGGCGTAGAAGTTAATTCAAAAAGATATTTAAACAATGAAAAATAAATAATAGGCAGCGATAATAGCCCTAATACAAAATTTCTTTCCAACAACACAAGATACAAACAATGTTTGTGGCGGCAGCGCCTCGAGCAAGGTGATGTTCAAAGGCGATGTATCAGACAGCTTCGCAGAAAGAAGTTTAAGCCATGAAATTGTCACGTGACCAGCGGTTCTCGTACCCTTCTTTTGTTACCATTTTGTAATAAATACCCCTCGCCATTTCACGTCTCGCAATTTACCAATTATTACTTTTTAGTACCAACACCCTGCCTTTATCATAGATCTAGATCTACTTGATGTGATGATAATTGACAATTGAAGCTTAGCTAGCTGACACTATGCATATTAAATTATTCTATATTTATTAATATTAGGGGGGGGGGCCTTTTTTAGTATTTAGGCCTAATAAATTTAGGCCGATTCTAGTCGGAATAAGATACGCATGCGATACGCATGCGCAATGGAGAGAAACTACGACTTAGCGGCGATGTTTTCGATGGTACTGCGCATGTGTGTGTTTACAACCGCAGAACCCTAATACCAACCCTAATCCTATCCTTAACCCTATCCTATCCCTAACAATAATCCTATCCCTAACCCTAGCCCGGTAATCTATCGTTTTGGGTACGTAAAATCGCCCGCGGCTATTTATGTACGAAAACGTTACCTCATTGTCAAGGCTTTAATAGAAGTATATTGTCATACTTTTGTGTCAAATATTCTTGATAAATGAATAATAAACCTAAATCAATGGCTAAATATATCGATATAGGCCAGAAATTAACTTTAAACAGCAGTGTATGAGATCAAGATTTGCTATAGAAACAGCAGCCATTTGTAAAATAGAGTGGCTTCCCCCTGAATCTGGCGCTAAAAGCTTATAAAAATAAAACTTAGACAAGATGGCTGCTATAGTAAATGAGCATGGTTGCATCTGTTGGAAACATCGCTAGTCTTCATTTATTACGGAATAGTTTTAATTCAATTGTTTAAAAACAGGTACATAAATGAATCAAGGAAACATTTTTGAATTTTTTAAAACATAAATCCTCCTCAAAATGTGAAATAATTATTAAAATTTAAGGAGTCACCTGTTTTTCCCATTACAAATCGCGGGCGATTTTACGTACCCAAAACGATAGATTACCCCCTAGCCCTAATCCTAGCCCTAAACTAATCCTATCCCTAACCCTAATCCTAACCCTCATTCTAGCCCTAACCCTAGCCATAGGTCACTGCGCATGCGCAGAACTATCTTTTGCCGAAAAATCTTATTCCGAGTAGACACTTCGATAAATTTAATATTTATTTCATTAAAAAAAATTAAAATAGGCCCTATTTTATAGGGCCTATAAAATTTATTAAAAAGAAAGCAATAGGCCTAGGCCTATTTTTTTTTAATTTTCTTATTTTCAGTGTGTTTAAAAGCTCATTATTACCACTAGGGATTTTGGTAAAAAAGCACTAATCATCATATAAAAATAAAAATTACATATTCTTGTAGAGCTCAACAAAATGAAAACAAAACAAAAAAGATTTTCTGTCTAGCTCAAATAGTTTTTTTTTTGCGAATTTTTTTGTGAGGGGTGGAATCCCCTTACTTTTGCATTGGCCAATTGTGACAAGTCATGGTATACCTGAATAAATTGAGCATAGTTATTTTAATTGCAGTTGTATTGTGTTCATATTTGCAGAGTTTAGCTAGAATGATATATAGAACTTGTAAATGCTGTTAAAATGAATAAAAATAATACAGAACTTATATTTTTGTGTTGGCTTCCTCCCATAACCCCAAAAAACTGTGTGCTGCGCAAATATGAAAATGTTTCTAAAGCCATATTTTATATAAATACAGCAAATGAAAGAACTACAAAGTTTGAAATCTAAAGTAAATGACTTGAACACTGTTATGTGCATATAATATTATAATTGCCTCATTATTTTGGGCAGGTGAAGTAGAGTCCATCTTTAAGCCAATTTGTTATAAAACTGCTGCGCAAATATGAAAATGTTTCTAAAGCAATATTTTATATAAATACAGTGAATGAAAGAACTACATAGTCAGAAATCTAAATGACTTGAACACTGTAATGTGTATGTAACTGCCTTGTTATTTTGGGCAGGTGAAGTAGAGCCCATATAAGCCATTTTGTAATAAGTGAAATGAAGTTATCAGATCAATGTTTTTATGTGTGAATTGTGTGTGTATGGATTCTGATTTTCAGCATATAACTATATCTAAGGGTAAGTAGAACTTGAATACTTAAAATTACAGTTAGCACAATGTTTGTATAGCAACAGACAGGTAACCTAGATCTAGGTCTGACTCTTGTCAGTCTAGTCTGACAAAATTGGATTTTAGGAAAAACATTCTGCAAAACTAGAACTAGAGCTGAAAAAATTAAAGATGGGTATGTAAATATATTTTGAGATAAAAAATTAGGAGATTTGTTTGCACATTCCATAAGAATGCTGTTGTTAGTTGATCAAACTTAAAGGCCGGAAGATCGGGATGAAAAAATATAACAATGGTGGCAACGCGACCTACATACAGTGACCACCTCTAAACGAGTATATCTAATGTCAGAGTCAAAATATCCAAAAACAAATATCATTTCCACATATATAAGATATGTCTGCTCAGTAATCTTCACTCATCTAGAATAACCTTTTAAAAAATCGTGATTCCAACGTATTTGAAACTAGCCTTCATACAGGGGGAAGACCAAAGCAGAGACAGCGTGCAATCAGATCGCTAAGCCATCAAAACAATGGGAAAACCATTCTACTTTTCATTTAACATTAGGAAATGACCTTTTAAACTTAATTAATTACCATAAATTAAAAACTTATTAGTATGCAAAACCAAATCTCGTGCGCCCGGTATCAGAAAGTAATGGGCGATTTCGGGTCATGTTTTTACCGCGATCTCGGCCGATACCGACAACCCTATTACCACTATCTAATTATAGAGGGTTTTTATGATCTAGATCTAGAGGATCTAGTCTATTTCTAATTTTATTTATTTTTTCTGCGAGACCCATGGGCCATAGCCTACCGTAAAATCCCGCGAATAGTCAGGTTAGTACTTTACAGCGTAGGCTTAGATCTGTTTCTCCGAGATATAAATTATGAATAAAAATTAATTCGCCTTTTTAATAAAAATAAACTAATATAATTATTATTATTCTTAATTTTGCGTTAAAGACTTTTTATATATCTTGCTAATGTCAGTGCATACAAGGTGGCCTGGATTCTAGATCTAGACTAGATCTAGGCTATATATTAAGTATTAAGTATAATATATTGTTTTTTACCTCTACTTTAGTAATTGCTCCCCCCCCCCGAATGAAGTCTACCGCCCCCCCCCCCCCCCGAAAGAAATCGAATTTATATAGAAAATATAATAATATATACTTTTACAAGTGTCCGCCCCCTCCCCCCTGAAAATTTCAAGTTTCCCCCCCCCCCCCTCGGGGGGAAGAAACACTGGCTAGATCTAATGGCATTCAAATTAACTTTTATATTTGTGTGCTTATAGTTCGTCCATGATTGACGACATGCTATTCTGGTCAATGTACCCCCTCCTCCTGATCGTCATAAAAAAGTCAGCGCCTCCGCCTAAACAGACGTCCAATACGTCATCACAAGAGAGTGGGGTTTGGACATGACGAGGTAGAAAACGAAGCTCAGTCGAACTGAAAAATATAGGACTATTGTCATTTTTCATTTATGAAACTACTTGAAAATTTTAAGTTTGCCTTGAAAATCAAATCTAGATCTAAATCATTTTGTATTTGTGTCACTCTTTCAAATAGCTTCACCAGCGGCGGCAAGTACCAAAAAAATCGAATTGGTGACGTCATGAATACACCGTTGTCGAATCACAGACATCGTACATATATATATATATATATATATATATATATATATAAACTAGCGTGTCCGTCCCCGCTCGTTGCCACGGTGTTAGAAGAAAGTACGAGGATAGCCCGGTGCAAATTACACCCTACCGGAGCTTCGGCGGACAAATCTGATTCAGTTTAGTGCACGACTATAATGCCTCGTTGTATCCATAGTCTATCGTACTTTTTAAAACGAACGTATGCGCCATTGCGCTCAAGGGAAAGCCCGGGGAGCCATATAGATTTCTAGCACCCTGCGGGTAGCGGAGGACGCGCCTGATTCTTTAGTATATAGACTTTAAAAAAAACGAACGTATGCGCCATATTGCTTACATTGAAGCCAGGGCGCTTCAGGACACGCAATCACATGATCGCCGGCGGCTGCACCTGTTGCAGTTTTACCGGTGACGGGGATTGCGTGACTCGAAGCGCCTCGGGCTCCTCTGTGAGCGCTATGGCGTCTACCATCGTTTTTTTTTTAAAAAGGCTATACATTAAAGACACTTCTTCTTCTTCTTCTTCGTTCTTAATTATTAGTGTTGAAGGGGATCGAGATTTATCTGCCAGTGGGTTTGAACTCGAGACTTATTAAAGACACGATAGGCAACAATAACCTTTTACCATATCGAATCAGACACATCCGCCGGCGCCACGGCAGGGGCAATTTGACGCCCTGGGCTCACCCATGAGCACTATGGCACCTACCTCTGTTTTAAAGTGTGCGATAGGCTATGGATACAATGGATTGCTATAGTCACTCACTAAATCGAATCAGGCGCGTCCTCCAGCGCGTCCTCCCTCTACATCCCTGACACCTGGGCTGTCGCCGAGGTGTGTTCCACCTCACTATTACGGAGAGTAAATAACGTACATTCAAGACTTTCACACACCACGCCCTGTCGCGTGCTAGGTAAACTTGTGCCCCGACAAAGATGATCCAAAAAATAAAGCGTCGAAAACAAGGACACACGTCTTAGAATATAGGATTGATAGCGAATTGACGAAACCCTTTTAAAATATTTCGACAGACTTTCTTCTAACACCGCGGCAACGAGCGGGGTCGGGCACGCTAGTTAGTAATATTATACGTGGTATCAAAAGAAATATAGAATCGCTGGTAACGATACTTCAAACAACTTTAAATCTGACTTAACAATCTATGACTAAAAGCGTTTAGTTTATCGTGATACTGCATGTCAAAAATATTTTTTTCTTGAAAATGTGCAGGTTTAAAGCCAAAATTCAAAAAAAGTTTATTTTGAGAAGATTTTGCTACAAATTATCTTTCCACTGATTCAATAAAGAGAGTGGATAATAATCGAGACACTCTCAGATTCGATTTGTTTTTTAAAAAATCTGCCTATATTGTAAGCCACTTTGCCGTTCACTTTTTTAAATCCTGAAAAATATATAGATCTATACATTTTTAAAAAGTATTCGCATTTCTATAATGCATTCTTGTGTTAGAAAGCTGAAAATGTCATTCTCTCCGAAAATTGCTATAAAATCACATTTATCAACAAAAATATTATATTTTTATGTAATCACTATGAATCAGTATGTAAGCTACTAAACTGTCGTAAACCTGGTCATCAGGCCAAATCTAGATCACTGAGCTGAGAGATATATCCTCCGTCGTGAGGGACTTGTTTTTTTATTACCCATTTTTATTTCATCAAGCCACAATGACTAGTAAGTATTTTTAATAAATCATCAAGATTCAAAAGCTTAAATATGAATGCCCTTAATAAAATCGTGATGCTTCATAATCTATTAAAGAATATAACTTAGACTATTCTACTTGCCTGTCACACAACACATCACAAAATATTTTCCCCCGTCTTGTTTGTGTGTAAAAATAAATGTAGGCCTATAGGCCAGTGTTTACCTTTAGAAAATGACTGTAGTAGAGAGGCGTTACCTTTTTTTCCTGAAAATAAGCGTGTTACTGTTAGTAGGGGACCAGTTAGTAGAGTCTATTATTAAATAATTATTAATTTATTATTGTTCCTATTTGGCCATATGATTTAGTTAGGCTCAGGTGGGGGTGGGATGTTATTTTGTTCTTATCAATTCTCATGGGGTCATGATAGTGTTGGTTGGCTATTGTTGACGTTAGCAGTAAATTTCAACAGTTAGAAATAAATATGGAAAGTTCAAACGTTTGAACTGATGGCTCAGCGGTCTGCTAAATCTTTTCTCTAGGTCGAACATGATCTAAAAAATAGGTTGTCTTATTACAATTTTTTAATTAAAATTTTCTGTCACTTATCATATATCATTACAAACCATATCACTTACTGGTTAATTTGAGATCAAATTTAAGGGTCTAGCTTAATTAGGGGCCGAGAAAACAAACAAAAACAAAATGACCTATTAACATCTTAAAATGCGAAACTCTTTTTCGCCATCAAAAGATATCAAAAAGTTACGTTGGTTTGTGTTTTCCATTCGTAGCATGATGTCATAGCAATTACGACAACATTGGGTATTTTAGTTACCAAAAAAAACCAAAACATTTTGTTAGAAATAAAACTTTATATTCATTATGTTTATTAAGGAAATATCAGACATATTTATTATAAATTCTATGTACAATGTACAATTTAAGACATTAGGCATTCCATGATGAATTGAACAATCAATACCCATGAAGATGACAATAAAATTAATATCCAAAACTAAAAATAGATCTGACAGAAATCTAGATCTAGTCCTTCTAACTGTAACGACAATACAGTATTATTAGGTAACATGATAAATAAACTTTTTTTTTAAGTTTAAAATTAAATACTCTATAATTAATATTCTCTTCTGTAGTAGCATTAGGTTAGGCGAAGTTTTTTTTTTTTTGTTTTTTTTTTTACCAGCTATGCGTAGTAAATCTACAGTCCTGTAAGCTTGCGTGAACTTAAAATGACCCTAAGTTGATTTACAATTTGCTTGGTTTATGAGGGGAGGGGTGGGATTGCCCACCGACGATCTCTACCAGCAATAGTTAATGCTGTGACGTATATATGGTAGGCCTGCTGAACTCACGGTGAACCCTCGACCGTATCAACATTTTTCTCCCGCAGACAAGAAAATGTAAGCAGTCGATCTCGCGAGCGATGCGAGCGACGATGTTTGGAAAATTTTGAATAATTATTTTATAAAATATTATTTCGTTCAAAAAATTTTTTTTTGAAAAAGAAAGAAAATAAAACCGCTCGTGGCATTTCCCATGTGAAACAATAAAATAAAGCACAACTGATTTACGTCGGATTCGAACTCGGAGATTCTAGGTCACCTACCGCACCGTTCTGTTTACTCTGCTACACACCACGATATATTGGAAAATAAAATATTAGACATTTTGTATCAAAAGATTGCTAAAACTAAAAGGAAATAATTACTACTTCATTTATTGATATCATTCTACGTAGTAACTGAGTAACTGCGTAAATTTTACACACAATACCTATATTTTTAACTAACACAACAGCATTAACGAGGTTGACCAAGTCTAAAAATAAAAAAAAAAAAGCCAGTAGGCCTAATTAGATCTAGCACAAAAAGGCTCGGAATGAGCATTGTTTAAAATACAATACTAAGGCCTAATTAAAAACTACATATAATTTCATATAAATGATACAGTCGGGTAGGCCACGAAGTATTAATATTAACAAGGTTAATGACCGGTCACGAATTATGTTCAATGAAACTAACAGTGCAGTCGGCCTACTTGGCTTGCAGTGAAGAAAAAAAATCAATATACTTATAAAATTACTAATACTTTAATACAATAATAATGCCCACAATTTCTGCACATGCTAAAACTGAATTATAATTAAAATACTAGACTTAACAGTGCATTCCGCAAAAAACAAAAATTAGTTGTTTCTATCTGACAACTAGCGTAACAATGGCGTAACGTTGCTAAAAATAGCAGCGGCATGGTATTTCTATGGGGAATTGAATTTAGGAACGAGGGAAGCAGCATCATTGTAATTAATCATGGTAAATATCTCAAATATATATTTATCTAGGAGCTGTCGAGCGCTGATGCCCGGAGGTCGGTCGTTTTTCGTTGCAGTTCAGTTCCTAATGAGAGTGCTCTATAAGAAATGCTTGTATTAATTATTACTACATATCTCGCAAATGTTTCTGGCATTTAAGCCATAGTATCCATTTCCTTAGCATTTCGCATTAAAATAGTGATGAGATATTGCTAGATTAGCAGTTTTTTCGTTTTTTGTATATAGGACCCCCCAAAAACACTTAAAATGCGAAAACTAAAAGAGCATGACGTTTCAGGGTCAGGTTCTGACTTCCGGTTTTGGTAAGGAGATCGACTACTAAAAAAGTAAAAATGGATATCAGGACTGCCCGATTATTTTCGTCTTAGCTTCTCAATGTTTACATACATAGGTTAAGTGTTTTATTTCAACGCCTAAGGTAGGTGTAGGTTAAAAAAAAATAATAGAATAGAATCTAGATCTACTAGGTCAGATGATATCATGATAGGCCTAGATCTAGCTAGATCAAACTGTTGTTTAGTAAATTATTTTTACCAATATCTAGGATGCTAGGTAGTAGATCTAAGCCAATAAGGCATAAGCCTATATATAAGAAGGTCTGTTTTTCAATTTGCTTGAATGGGGGGGGAGGGGGTCGAAGAGAAGTGATGACACTGACAATCTCAAATAGAACTTGTGTTCATTCTATAGACCTGCTGAACTCATAGGACCCTGCCGACCGTGGTGGGAAAACATAAGCAAGCAATCATGAGAGTGACGATGTTTGTAAATTTTATTTAAAAATTTCTAAAAATCAAAACCATAGTGACATTTTCAATATGAAAATAAAATTGTCCAAAGGCACTGATTTCCAGTTGTGCTAACCCCGGGTTCAAACTTGGAGCTCCAGAGTCATAATCTTCAGCTGCCGCACTGTTGGCTCTACCACTCCAAATGTTCTAGCAAATGAAATATTAAGCATTTTCAAATAAACAATGCTTCATTTTCTAACAGCAGGTCAAATTATATATATATATATCATAATTCCAAACATAATATAACATTTACTTATAAGTAGTATATTATCTATTACTGGACCTGAATTTGTATATATAGTTTATTAGTTATATATGTAGTTTATTAGTTATATATGTCCCAATGGGGACATATTACATAACAAGATTAATTAGCTTAGATCAACCAATCAGGTGTGAACTGATCTTGAACTCCACTAAGGGGCAAATAAATGTGATTTAGATTTAGTTTCACTTCGGGATTAATAGCTTTTTCTTCCTCTTTGTTCTAAATTGTGATGTTGGACCGGATTTCCTTCTACACAATAATACAATAAGTATTGCTTGTCAGCTTGTTATGCACCATATAGGCAGTTGACTCAGCTTTGCTATCTGGATTTGCTTCCATAGCCTTTGTCTACCTGAGAACAAACAACAAAGCAATAGTTGTTAAAGTTGTTTTTGGAGTTTTCTCTAGATGGGTTGCTGTCCCCAGCTATCTATCCCTATCTGTCCAGGGCAGTTTGAACTGAGGACTTTACCGTTAAGCAACCATGAGCTTTACCGTGATTTTTTTTAATCATAAATATTGGCTTTATAAGTATCTTAACCCACGAACTGTCAAGTGCAATGGTTCTGTGTTGTCAGCCGTTTTAAGAGTTTTTCATATGCCAGATAAAATTGTGTATTGAATGAAATCAGTGGCCCTTACGTCTATATATTTCCTGAAAGTACATTGAACACTAAACTTGATACACAAATAATTTGTTTTTATCTTGTGTATGTTGATAATGACTTTTACAGGAACAGTAAAATTTGACTACTCTGTTTACAAACCACCCTAAAACATGTCCAAACATTTATATATGCTGGAAGTCATTAGCATTTAGAAAATTAGTAGTTTTATAAACCACTGTTGAAAAGCGATTTTTGTTTGAGTGTTTTCATTCATGACTTTCACATTGGGCTCACTCAAAAAAGACATTAATTCACATTATAAAATCTAATTTTTCATTAAAAATATTCAATACTGAAACGAAGACCACAAATATAAAAGTCTAGTCATCTCTTTATTTTCTCACTGTAACTGTAACTAATCATTTTAAGAAGTTTTAAGGTTATTTTCTAATCAAGGGGGACCATCTGCAGCTTTAGACAGACATTTTCTAAGTAAAATTACTGAGAAAATGTTCTCTTCCTTTTTTAAAACAAAAATAAAAGCTCACGTACAAACAGAAAGTAATCCAATACCTGAAACGGTAAATTCATTTTTTAATAGTTACTTCCCCTAAACCAAAATATATTTATTCATTCACATTTCTAGTCGTGATTTTAATAATGGCGAAATAGGTGGGCCATAACACCACAGATAAATGGCAGTTATGACAGTTCGTGGGTTAACATTCTCTAAATAGGGTACTTAAAAGTAGAAAACATACTGAAAGTTTGACAAAGCCTATCACCATGTCTGCTTTAACAACTTGATTTCTGAGAACTCTAAGAATGAGCTTATTACATTTAAAAACTATTTTTGTTGTTACTATCATTTAGCTATATTTATTCAATTTTATCTATCCTTTTTTTTTTTTATAAAAAAAACTTACCATTTTAATTGTAAAGTTGAATTATTGATCATTTGATGGTGTACTAATTCTTTTTTCAAGGAGGCAATCAGCGTGAAAAAGCTAGAGAAAAAAGCTTGAAAAAGCAGAAGGAACAGGAAAAGAAAAAGCATTCTAATTTAAAAGATGGTAATAAGGGACTGTCACTTGAAGAGCGCAGACAACGGTAATCTTTAATGGATTATATAATTTTCATTTCATAATAGTTGTTTACACTTCTTTTCTTTGTTTTTGTATTATTGAATGGGATTACTCTCAACACAATAAAATATCATGTGTCAACATCTTATGGGCGATATAGCCTTTTGATTCCAACTTCAAGCTGTTTTTCTTTCTGGATTTACTTCCATGGCCTTTGACCACTCAAGAACAATCTACAAGACAGCAGATGTTTGATTTAGAAGTTGATTTTTCCTAGTTGAGGACACATCTGCCAGGGGTCAAACTTCTGGACTTGTATGACCATGCCTTCCTTGTCTTCTAATTAAATCTTTGAAGCAAGATCTTGACAGTCCTCACAATTATTCTATAAAACTAACTTTTCTTTTCAGTTAACACATTTTCTTCTACATTATTTAAATTAGCAAAAATGTATTTGTTTGCAATGGTTGTATTTAAGGAACTTGCTAATTTTAGGTCAGTATTTCATATATTTATGAAAAACTTTAAATACTTTTAATATTTAGATTTTAAATTTTTTTTCCAGTGATGCAGAAATAATGCGCCAGAAGCAAGATAAAAAAGTAGCTGACAGTGGTGCTGGCTCTAGTGGTGGCGCATCTGGTGGTGCAGCCAAATAACAAGATATATTAAAAAGATGATGGAATCAATTAGAACTGATCAGATACGTTTAAGATATGTTTGTTTTGTATCAGTTTTTATATGTTAACATTTTCATATCTGATCAGTTTGACTTTTTTTTTTTTTTTTTGAATCAGGGACTTATCTCCCAATTTTATTTCAGCATGTCTAAACATTTGTCCTGTAATAATTGTTTTCTTAACTATATGCCATTTTCTGTACATATGTGTATTTTCATGACTATATATGTTCCTCTTGGAAAACTACATCATCATCATAAAGACGTAATTGTGTATTTGATCTAAAGGGCAGTTGTCAGTTTAGCAGCATGCTTTATTGGATAATGCTAGCGTTAGCTTCCTGTTTATCAGAGAAACTTTAGACGTGATTGAATAAACTTAGATTGTGCAAGTTCTGGAACATGTATTTTATACTTGTTGCTCATCAATACAAGTCCAGCATTTGAAGCATACATTGTTTTTCAACTGATTTTTCTCAGATAAAAATTTATATTCTGTATAGTATCTAAATAATAAATATTCATTTCAATCATGATTTAATTGAACTGAATGCAATAGGTTTTTCCTCTGTGAAAAGTGATATTCTCTGTAAATTATTTGCAATCACGTCGCCTGTATATTATTAGGAAATGCTGTCAATTTTTGCCATTTTTGTATCGGACAGCATTCTGAACTGAGTTAAATCTTGAGCATGCATTCTTAAAAAAATAAACACATTTTAAAAAAGTTTTCTTTTTTTTTTAATGAGTTTTAAGAAATGTGATTCTTGGTCAGCATGCCATGCTGATAGGACTACTTGGATTCTAGAATTAGAATTAATCATAAACAAAAATATTTGTACCTATTGTTATAAATAGCAGATAGATTTATGAGTCCCTAAGTTGAAAGTGCTAGTATGAAGTTGTTTTAAGTATCCACTCAAATTTTTGGGAAACTAAGTACTAGTTTCATCACCCTTTAAATCCTCATGGCCACATACAAAATCTATTAGGCTTCTAGATTTAGTAGTAGTAGACTACATTTCAATGGGATTGTATAGTGACACCCAACTCATCAAACATGGCCATCTATTGTACTAAAACTATTGTCAGTTTGGAGACCTTAACATCTCCGACGATGTCACTGTGTCTAATATATATATATATATATAAGGGGAGGTTTCTGTTAAAAAATAAATTTAATTTCGGAAGGGCTGCGCCCCGGGAGGTTGCGAGTTTTCTCCAAATACGGTATTTATAAAAAATAAAAATCGGATGTGGTTCGATACCGATCATCCGAGTACCATGAAACTTTGGGGAGTAGATGAGAATACTTCCGCGTAAATAAAATTAAAATGTCTTATTTAGGATTGGTAACGCATTGATGAAACCCTCCTATTAAATTGTATTTCGTTAGACTTTCTTCTAACCCCGCGGCAACGCGAGGGGACAGACACGGTAGTTTTGTATATAACTGTGAAAAGTTAGTAAACAGGGTAAAACAGACTTTCCCATTTAAATTCGGGAGGGTTTTATATCACGATGTATGCGCATACCCCTCCCCCCCCCCCCCCCTTCCCACGGTTGACTGGTGTGATTAAAAAAAAGATAAGTTTTTGTGAGAAAACGAGTGACAGCTGCTTGAAATAAGATTGTGGTTCCAGACCGCAGTTTCATATTTCATCTGAATAGTTTATAAATAGCTCTCAGGGTCGATTTGCTTGATGGGAAAGTGCTTGATTGTGCTAGCAGAGTAAAAATAGCGCCAATGAACCAAGCGCGACAAAGGCTACGTGTAAACTGTGGCTAATCATTGCTTGCGTCCACTTAATTTTTATTAAGGCGTTCCTTGTAACCTACGTGGTTGTTATTGGGTAACTGCATTATCAATACTTGGTGTGTACTCAGGCGCTGCTGTGTTGGCACAGAAGAAGTCGAGCTGGGGAAAATGTCAGCTGTATCAATCAACACCAGTTGACAAGTCATCGCAGATACATCATGTTTTCCGTGACTGTCTGTACGTAGTGTAAGGGAGGGGAACAGGCCATGTGTGATGTCCCATCTGTCTGCAGAAAAGAGAGTGAGACCCCAGTGGAGACTGCCATATTTTTTTAATGTTAGCCCCTTTTGGTTGGTCTTGTTACCGGAAGTACTGTTCGAGCAACTTTTATTTTAAGTCTACATTACATAAGTAATCTATCTTCATCGTGTTTTAACGAAACTTTTGTGCCATAAACGTAGAAATGTTAGTAGTAGGCTACGAGACAGTGTCATGCTCATGGCTATACTTACAGGACTATATAATTTGGTTACATCGTGTACACCGTTTATATGGGGAAGTGAGTGAACCATTACCGTTTGACCGTAATTTAATCAAAGCGGCCAGTGACAACGCGGCCCCGACATAAGAGCCCCGCCAAATCGGCGACAAATGAACCCCGTCATATAGGCTCCCGTCATTACAACTCACGACAAATAGGCTCCCATCATTTTGGCTTCCCGACAAAAGGACAATTTCAATACGTCTTCCGGCGAAACGGTCTCATTGAATAGATACATGCCAGTGGTACCCCTGCAACAATACTTATGACTTAACTTAGCCAACACCCTTGTTTGGCAGGCCTTATTTTAAAATAATTGTGGTCTAGAATAAGAAATAGTATATTGTAAATGTCTGGAGCCTGTATGTTGCGAGTCAATATGACAGGGGCTCATATATCGGAGCCCTTTTGACGGTGCATCAAACACTTGAAAGTGTGTGTGACTGTTAGGTGTATTTATTTAAAAGTAATAAGTTATTTTGCTAGTTCTCTCCCGTACTTTGTCTTTTCTTGTAATATTATCAGTTTTCTATCGTGAGTTAAGATACGCCTACTTTGCTATTGCAAGAATACATGCCTACTTGATCAAGTTGTGGAAAATAATGTATTTTAATTTTGAAATTATTTTTTTTAAAAGTTTCTCCAAAGTTTGCACACACCAGGGTAGTCCTGCTCCGACTTTCACTGGATTGCGGACATCACTGTGTGTATGAAACAGCAATGTCTATGTTTAAACAGTTGTCCCTGAGCCTAAGCTGTTTTAACCTCAAAGATTCATGACTCTAATAAGCTAAACTGTCAGATCCAAGAAAGCGTTACTGTAAAAATAAATGTTTATTAAAACAAAAGTGAATAGGTACTAGTGTAAAATTTATTTGGCTCTTTTTTTTTCAGTGTTACAGACGGCAGCAAAAGTAGAAATACAAGCAAAAACGTTTTTAAAAATTTGTTTCAAGAATGTAAAAATGTATTTAAAAACAAAACTGTAAGCCTTCTCAATTCTGGCGGACTAAACATTTTCATTAGCTCATTTTAAAAATTATGACAACCATTAATTTTTATTACCTACTACCCTCCCTTTAAAAAAAAGCGTGCACTTAATTACAAGAACAGATAACTATTAGTGGTTTCAACACAGAAAGGCAATGATAATTGCAGGTTACTTCTGTGACAGATATGGCCAGATTTCGTCACCGTTATTTAGTGCCATTAATTTTACAATGTAAACTAAACTAATATTAAAGAATGCCATTATGACTACAGAAGCTTGTTTCAAATGACTAGATGTTAAAACACAGAAATACTTAAAATTTCTGATGGTCATAAGAGAACAAGCAGCAAGCATCTAAGGAAAGGCTCTTGTTCACTTGGCTGGTGTAAAAAAAAAACAACTGTGGTTTAAACAAAGTATAAAACTATTAAAAGTAATTGAAGTAAAACAAATATTTACACATTACACTCCATAACTATTTCAGTGAAACAAACTATGTGTATGGCCTGTGAGATCACCAGGATAAACTTATGTTTCCTTAACATAAAAAATTTGGCAGGTCACAGTGTTGAAGTGAAAGTAAAAAAATTCTTTTTGCAACTCCATCTTTAAAAAATATACAGATTAAAATGTGAACCATACATAGATTCTAAATGCATTCTTTGAATGAACTACTTTAAATTAATTATACAACAAATATGAAATCTTATTAATAAGGCAAAAGTGCAACTTGTTTGATCTGTACCAAGTTTTGTGGTAATAAAAGTGCTTTTAAGTTGAAGGGATAGCCTAACAGTTTTGAGATCAGAAGAGTTTAAAAACAGCACACCCTTTCCACTGTTAGAGAACACAAACACAACCAGTGCTGCCATGAGACAAAAATATAAAGAAACAGTCAAGGTATGCATACACTGTCTTTAATTTTTGCTGAACATTTGTATAACAAATAAATGAGAACTGCTTGCACTGAAGTCTTAGTAGTGCCATTATCAACTACACTAGCAAGAGCAGAAAGGTTGCCTACCTTAATTTATCTTCATATATATGGAGTTTTAAATAATTTAAAACATCAAAAGGATGGCTCTCTTCATCTTATTGAAAATCTTACTAATATAAAAATTGCATTATATTAATGTATATAAGCATTTTAGAATGCATAAAAATTGTTTTTAAAATAAAAAAAATAAATAAAAAAGACTTAAAAACAATTATTTTAAAAATGACCACAAAAGATCAATTAGCACTTGGTTCAAAACACAAATTACCTAACAGCTGAAAGGTGATGGAATATAAAAAAAAAAAATTGCTAGAGCAAATGTGTAAATGAAGCCGACTGCTATGATAAGATTGTGCATCACAGAAAGTAAATACAATCTAAATTACAAGTGTGGCATAATTGTGTATTAACTAATATTATATAAAAGTTACAGCAACCGAATAGAATCTGGTAAACAAGATTCAACTACAAGTTTTGTAAAACATTTCTTACATTGCACTTTCAAATCAGGTATAGAAAATAATGGAATTTATTTAGAGACATATTTACAAAATGTTTACTACAAACAAAACATAGAAAAGCATATGCAAGCAAGGACTACCACAAGCCAAAGTGATAGAGAATCTATACTAGAAATACCAAAAGCTGGTCAGCAACAACACACACAACTAGATCCTACTGATCACACCTACTCCCTTACCCACAGAAGACAAAATTTACCATCAACCATTATTTTATATGGCACCAGTAGTTAGAAAAAGGTAACACTGTTTGGCAGGACAGTGTCAACCATTTTTCACACAAATACCTTTGAACATAAATACATTGAACAAATTAGAATGACTTGTAAGTAAGCTTTAAAGGATGATTGGGGAAAAATTGTATTCAAACATGGGATCTACTCATTTCTGTGTGAAAGCTAATCACTTAACACAAGGGTACCTAATTCATTTAAGAACCATTGCCACTATTTTGTGATTAACTTCTGTAGTCTCCACAACCCAATTTTTTTTTTAAATTTTATTTTATAAACTAGTATAAATGTTTTGTAAAAAAACCTGCATTGACAAAGTTGTTGCCAATCAAGAATTTACGTCAATCATTGAGATTTAAATATATTCTAGTGTATTTACATGCATAAAGTTACATTTCAATTACTAGAGTTTAAAAAATCTATAGCTTTATCATTTCTTAAGAATCACATGCAACTATCTTCTTGTGTGTTTAAGTATGAGGAACTACTTAAAGTTTTTGCCTGATTTCCCTTAAACATACATTGTTTACACAATTTCTTTGCACAACTATCACATCACATAGATTATCTCATCCTGGGCGAAAGTGAAAAAGCGTTCTACAAGAAGTCGTACTCAGGAATAAATAAGGATGAGACAAAGTGATAACGAACTACCATTAGCAAACGGAAAGGCTGTGCCACAGATTACTTAGTGAAACCTGACAAAAACTGCAAAAGGATAGGCTAACAAGTGAACAAAATACGTGATCTTTGAAAGAAAGGGATTGTTTTTAAACAAATAAGTATTGACATTACTCAATTATCCTATAGAGATGTTTTAGGATTTCCATACCCATGTATTGTAAAAAAAATCATGGAAATATTTTAACATGTACAGCATGCATTTGATATTTAGTTACAAGTTCTATCACCACTGGTTACTAGTTAACATTAAACTATTTTGTTATTGTTGGATATGGTGTTAATAGTCAAAATAGAAGATAGAAATTTCTATTGTAATCTAATCTCAAATTTTTTACATCATGACCAATTACACTTCAATATCTCATGGCAAACTACAATCAAATAGGAATGTAATGCCACCAAATAACTAATCATGGTTAGTATTCTTTGTTCCCATTTCTCTACAATATTTATTTAAAGGTAATGAATATCTTTGTTCACTGTGAGATTCAACATGAAGAAATCATTACCACATAATGGAATAAAAATATGCGCAAGATGATTACACTTACACACAAATAACATCCAGTACAATTATTCTAAGACAAGAAATACTGAAATCATAATTATCATTCACAACTAATTCAGCTGTGGATACTAAAAAGGCAATGTTAAATGGACAAAATATCTTATTTATAGAAATAAATATTGCTTAAATCTGTGTTGACCACCTACATTACAAGTGGGGAAAAGTCAAACAATTGAGCAATTTCATTAAGCTTTGACCAGTCGTCTGCTCAGCTAAGACTTACAAAATACAAACTGAAGATATTTATAAAATCATTAAATGTTACAATACATATATTTTATTCAAATCAGGCTCTAAATTCTTCTGATTCAGGATTAAAGTTGTCTTTCCTAGTTTCCTTACTGAGTAGCTATAATTCAATATTCATTGCTTAGTCTGTTCACTTGTAACTATTTTATTTAATTAAATATACTAAAAAATTTAAAATCTCACTGATAAACCACACAAACAAATAAGAGTATCAATGATGTTAGAAATACTTTCACACCAACAGTTCTGAGTCCATATTAGTTGTCATTTTCAGCTTATAAAACAAGAATGAAAATATTGTTTTTGTATACAAAAACGTAACAAAAGTTTGCATACAAAAAATGCATTACAACTAAAAATGACAACCCGAGAATAGCACTCATTATGTGACATATTTACTTACTCTAACCTTTAAAAAGATTGAATGAGAAAAGAAAATATGGTAAACAAAATATTTACAATACACAATCTAAAATGTTGATATAAAAAATAGGACTTTCCATTACCTTTAAAAAGGAAAATAAAAGGAATCCTTTCACCTAAGAAATTTGTAATCAAAACAATAGAAATAATTTATCAACAGAATAAGAATTTAAATAAAAGATCACAACAATATAACGGTTAGAGTAAACCTGGATATGCACTGTCTTTCCATCAGAAGATAAAGACTGGGTTAACATTCGGATTATGAAAGTGATATGATATTTTAAAGTCCTGCTGATGGCACTGTTTATTTCTTGAAATAGCTGACCAGCTGATTGGTCTTGTGCACTAAAACATCCTTGACTGGTTCCAAAAAGACAAGATTAGCTCTCAATTTAGCAATCAAAGGATGTTTGAAAGGACTGAAGAATACCACATAGAAGAGGGCCAAAAACAGCAGTAATGTGAACACCAGTGACAAAACAGTGACCTTCAAGCAAACTGTACTGGATTGTTTAGGTTTTTTAGGAACCTCAGGGACTACAGTTGGAACCAACTGTGGTGACAAGTTGAGTTCTTTCTGAACGACTGGGTTGATCAATTCCTCTTCTAGCATCTTGATTTGCTCATCTAGACAGGGCTTGTTCTTATTGTCTTCTTCATCACTATCCTCTACAGTCCTATTTGGTTCATAGGGAAGTGTTTCATCTATACTTGTTTCCAACACTGCTGGTCTTTCCTTAACAACCTAGAAAGAGATTATTTTAATTAATTAATTTAAAAACTTGATTTATTCAAGCTAACCATGGCTGTATTAAAATAAAATGTTACACCACCTGTCCATTCTCTTTGTGTAGTACAGGTGGTGCTGCTGCAATAACAGGTGATGAAGTTAATTGAATCTTTTCTTCAAATGCCTCAACTGCTGCTAGTGGAGCTTTAACTTGAGGTCCTGTTTCAACTACCTCTTCTATGGTAGGTGTTACCACAGGGCTCTCATTAGTGATGATATTAGGAACATCAACAGCTGCTTCTGTAACACAAAGAGAAGACTGTGTCAACAGAAATTCCTGGATATATTGACATCAAAGCCAATAAATAAATTAATTTATAATAATTTATTCTGATTTCAATTTTTTTTTAAACATGTAGAAATGTGCAAGCAAAACAAAAATTCTTTTTATCAATTAACTCTAATGTTTTGATTAAACATGTTGAAGGTACACTAACATTATTCAGAATGTTTATTCACATATACAATTTAAAAACTTATACATTTAACATTTATGGAGTAATTGTTACAAGCAAATAATTAACACCCATTAACTGGGCCCGTTAGTAAAAGAATATGATCCCCAAGGGTTAAAACAGTCTAGATTCAAAATAGAAAAATCATTTTGCAACATTTTAACATATTACAGACAAGCATACTTCACACATCAATTTACTGAACGTCAGCAAGTAACCAGTAATTTAAATAAAATTACAGCTTTTAAAGCCTTAAACTAGTTTATGTTTTAAAATGTTACTATACATGTATTTACACAATAGAACTTTTTTAAAAATGCATGGTAGACCCTTAGTGCAATAGGAATGGATCAGTTGGATAAGTTTAAAACTCCATTCTTTTATAATGTTCAACATTAAACAATAGAAGTACTACATATAATTTTTTTAAATGAACAGTTTAGACAAGGCTTGAAATGCCAAATAACCACTAAATAGCTGGGGAAAATAAACTTACCCGTATCTTCAACCAATTAAATTAGTAAACAAAGCAATATTTTACAGTGGGATAAGTTAAGTAGGGCAGCCTCAGCGTTAACAGTTTAAAAAGCCAACAGCCTAATAAGTTTTCTAACATTGCTTAAAAACATTTGAAATCTATTTCTTTTTGGTTTCTAACTCACCCTCCCTCTTTATAAACTCAAAACAATCTTTATGTCTTAATGCAATCTTCTTCAACTACACACAAGACACTGAACACAGATGTAAAATCAATAGGGTAGTGCTAATACCATTTTACAGAATAAAAAAAGTAGAACAACAAATCTGGTCAACTATGTAAACACTAGTGCAGTTAAACATTGAAATCAATATTTCAATAATTTGATCAGATCAACTTTAGAGTAAATTGGTCAATAATCTAATTCACTGAATTTTTACTAGCCCAAATATATTCCATTATAATATAGGAAGCTTCTTCCAATATTTAACAAACAGCATTGCTTATTAAGTAAAACAATTTTCTTCATTGCCAATGAAACTAGTGATTTAAAACTAGGTACTATATATTTAAATTTTTTCCACAACTTTCTAGTTTTATAAAATTAATATGACTGAATATTTCAATAGTGATAAAAACTGATTTACAAATGACACACAGTCATCTACTCTAAAAAATCATATGGGCCATTACCAAATTCTTTTACCTTTTTAGTAAATAATTGTTATTAAAAATGGTGTTATTTATAATCATGATAAAAAAAAGACAGAATTTATTTATAAATCTTTTAAAAGATGCATAAATCAACAACAAAATATATTTAAAACATATTCTAATAAAAATATAGAGCTCTGCATTGACATGTCATGCTAACAAAAAAGGATTGGTTGTTGTGGGAGGGGAGGAGGTGAATAGAGAAGACAATGTGTTTCATTAAAACTTTGACTACTGTTTAATTTGTGAATACAAAATACTTATTAAGTAGATACCACTCAATTTGTTTTCTACCTGCTCATTTTTATTAGGTTATTACAATAAGATGTTCTATGAAGCAAGTAAATTAGTAGGAGTGCTCACTTCATCATTTAAAACTAAAATTAAACCTGTTTAGGTGCACTTTCTACTTAAACTATATCAAAAAGAATATTACATATTTTAGATTAGTTTTTTAAGCATAAAATGTTAATTGAAATTATATTAATTTTAAAAAGTAGTTTAAAATTGAAATGTTTTAACAAATGATAGGATTTTGCTGATTTTTCTAGGGGATATGGGTACATTTTACCTTCTTTTGCTTTGCCTGGTGCTAGATAAACTGGAAAGTTCACAACATGTTTAGTTACTAAAAATAGTGTATGCCAATTTATTGTTCATAGCAGTATTTAAGGACTTAACCACAAAATAGCAATAATTTCTTATTACCATTTCAATGTTTTTTTAAATCAGTTTTTCATATTGAAAAATTTATAAATCATAATTTGCCTTTGGTGAAACCATATAAAAAATGACTGCTAAAGCAATTGTGAGATTAAAATTCAAATGACTTACCATTATACTTTCTGCGATCTAGTTTAAGGAATGACACAAAAAATAACTAGTTAATCAAATATTTTTTAAAATTAACTTATTAATTTTTTTTACTAATTACTAGGAGGATGGTTTTCCTGTCTTCAGTTACTAGTTCTAGATGTATTTCACCATCAAATTTTTTGTTGTGTGAAAAGAGAACTTAGTGGTGGATCGATGCCATATACCTTTTCAGCAACAAAATTTAAGAATGTCCACAAAAAACCAATTTAAATGACAAATATATATTTTTTTAACAAGACCTGTAAGAACAGAAATACTTTAGTTTTCTATCAATAGGTAAATTTGCAAGCACACAGAAGGCTATAATTTTGTGTAAGTCTGAATGAGTGCCCCACCTCCCCCACCAGCTAGTATTTCAGAATGAGTGCCCCACCTCCCCCACCAGCTAGTATTTCAGAATGAGTGCTCCACCTCCCCCACCAGCTAGTATTTCAGATTGAAGCAAACAACCTTGTGAGTGGATCCAGTAGGCTGACAACAAATACTAGCACAATAGTTTTACTTAAAATGTCTTCTAAGATCTAACATTTAATGACTTGTTCTATATAGCTGAAACTAAATTAAAGCTCTGGATATTCTCAAACTGCATTTTTGAATCTAAGTGGTGTAAACTTATTAAGTTAATGTTGTCAGGACAAACTGCTGTTTTTAAATGTAGTCTAACCAGGTTGTCTGTTATTACAAGCTTTTAATTAGTTCGCAACGTCAATTTGTGGGTTTGAGGCATATCTTGTAGCTCAATTTTTACCCTAATTAAATTAAATTAGTCATTAAAAATTAATTAAACGGTTTTGAAACAAAGGGACATAATAAGATTAAATGCTAGAGATCACTTGATAGATTACTATATATCAATAACAGAAAGGGAAATAACTAGCTAGACGCTATCGCCCAATCAGTCTGATGAGCTGTGGTTCATGCCGAAATTGTGGAGCCGGGTCACTATGGGGACTAAGAACTATTCTTCATTGTATCAGCTTGCTATTGTCTGTAAATTGTTGTCATGGACCACTACTTTTCAAAGAGCAGATAATCATCATTTTGATAGTGTGAGCTACTGATGGTGTTTTAAAGCAAGTATTTTTTAGTCATGTCGGCTTCACAAATATAAAAAACCTTTATAGCAACAAGCTTTTAATGCACTGAAAATAAAGCTAATTTGCTTTCTTAAAAAAAAAAAAGCTTTGGTTACTCATGAGATCTTTTACATATTTTAGCAACAAAAGCTTTTATTAAAGAAAGCAAATAAGCTTAATTTTCTTATTTTCAGTATTAAAAAACTTGTTGCTATAAAGTTTTTTTTATATTTCTTTTATTTTTAGATATGTAAAACAACTGTATTTTTTAAATTTTGAAAAAATCAATTTAAAAAAAATCAAACTCACTATGTTTAAATTATTAACTTTAATGTAGATTAATGTAATATTTTTTTAAAACAATGGCCTAGTTAACCTTTTTGGCTTAATTTAACCAGAATTAATTGTATTATTAAAAAATAATGGCCTAGTTGACCTTTTTGGCTTAATTTAACCAGAATTAATTGTATTATTTATTTAAACTGAGCAAGTCTACATTATTTTTATTTAATTATATCCCACGTACCTTCTTAATACACAAAAGAAAGTATACTAAGTGATGATAAATTTTAAAGCATTCATTTTATCAATACTATTAACTATTTGCATTATAAATTATTCTGATATGCACACACAGTACATTTCCAAAAGGTGGGTAAAGCACACAAATTTGAAAATGTTTACCATTATTTGAAAAAAAAAGAAGTCAGTATTGTCACTTGGATAAATACAACATAAAACAAAATACATAAAGAAATACACAATGCAATGCTTGCTAGTATTAGTATTATGTGCTATAAGGATTTAGATAATCTGTCCAAGGTGTAATATTGTATCCATTACGGAATCTAAATGAATGGTAAATTACTGGTCATTAGCAGCAATCCACAGTAAGTGTCAAATACTGTTCATGCACAAACTCATATTATGTTACTCTACTCCATCAGTCTTTTATAGGTTCATTCATAAAAAAGGAGTAATGTGATGAATTATTCATTAGAGGTACAACTCTAACTCAATGTTTATTTGGATTTAATACAAAGTTAGGAAGAAGAAATTAATTTTATAGCTTGAGTAAGTCAAATGATTCTCAGCAAAAGAAAAGACTAAGACTTTAGCAACTCTGCTAATAAAGCTATGAAAAAGATAAAGGAACCTAATTTTTAAAAATAATATCTACACTCACCTTCCCTAAAACTTTCTGATACACGATTTTCCTTGAGAGTATTACTTTTACCATCATTTGAATGGCTTTTTTTCCCAAAGTTGGGCAAGGATGAAGTTCTGTTTTAAAAAAAAAAGTTACTTAACATATTTACATAACCTCAATTAGTAATAAAGAAATATCTATGTTGTGTTAATTGCCCAAAACTTATATACTTATATAAGTTTTCCTCGTTACTTGCCACCTATAAGAAAAAAATACTACCTAGCAAAAGGTGGTTCAGTTCGCCGAATGTTTTCACTGGCTTCATAAGCTTCATTTTGGCATCTACCACTATTAAGTAAAAGAAAGAAATTATTAAAAAATATAATAGTATGCAAAAAATTATGTATAAAAGTTTATAGAACTAAGTATCCAATTTTTGCATTTTAAGTGTTGGTCAAGACACTAAATAATAAAATACTAGACTTTACAACTCTTTCAATGTTTACGTTAAAAGTTATGAGATACATTAGATAAAGTATCTGTATTATCATTATCGAATAATACTTTTTTTGTTTGAGGGAAAAATCATTTTGACAGTTCACTTAAAACAAGCAAGATTAAAACAAAAACAATAAAAGAGTGTATTTTATTTGTGTTAATAAATATACCTAAATCGAAACTTGGATCCCCGTGAAAACAGTCCACCACCAGATCGAATTTTTGGTGCTGTTAAAGATGATGACAACCTAAAAAAAACATAATCATTAAAAAATAATTTAGCTATGCATCAATACACTCATCAGGATGGAAGAAGATTAAACAAACAAAAGTTAAGTTTAATTTAGTCGTATTTTAAAACATTGGAAAAGTTTAATTTAGTCGTATTTTAAAACATTGGAAAATTTTTAAATTTTTTTTTTTAAGTTGTAGCTGGAATGATTCAATGTTATAGTAGGTAACTAAACACATGTTTACAAAGTCAAAATCAATTTGGTTGTTTAAAAATGATGAGAATCAGTGCTGAACTAGGCTCATGGCTTTAAAAAATTAATTTTATTTAAAAATTGTATTGGCAAAGTTTTGAGTACAAATTACTCAAAAAATTGTATTGTTTATCTTACAAAAGGGTAATTTCAGGTAAAAACGGGTTTGATGAAAATAAACAGAATTATAGTCTTAAACGCAAAAATTATTTTCAAGTTCTCTGGATTTGCATATTTTATAGCAATAATTCTAAAAGTTTTTAATTTCTGGATTTATTTCGTGCTTAAGTTGTTTTTTTTACTGCCGCTTTGACATTCTACAAAAAAAATATTTTTTAGCCATGTTAACAAAAATGATGACACCCAACTCATCAAACATGGCCATCTATTGTGTATTGTTATTGAATCATTTAAAATACAGTAATTCTTAGTCTATGCCACATCACTTACACTGCTTAGTAATTTATAATAATAGCACTTTAAAACACCTGTGAAAATATTATTGAAAGTAAAATAATTCCTCAACCAAATACGTACGTAAAAAACAACTGCTGTTCTACAGCACATCTCCATAGATACTTGGCACCAGATGCTGTCAAGCACTTAAATCCAATAGCTTGATGTTTCTGTTTAATGATAATCATTTTTTAAAATACAATACATTACAAAAATCAGATGGCATTGAAAATATGTGATTAGAAAAGTCAATGACTTCATACAACCAAGTATTTTTTACATATGTTAACAATGGTAATTACTATTATAATCCATTGTGAGATGGGAACTTATACCCACATATTTTGGCTAAAACTAAAGATAAAGTACAATTGGTTTCACTGTAGGTAAGTTAAAAAATAAGTGAAACTTAAATTTACATTTGTGAGATTTACTTTTTTCATTATCAAGTTACTACAACTTGTATTTTTACATAACTGCATATTTGAATTTGTGTTGAAACCATCAATAAAATATGTATCAAGTTACATTTAACACTAGGAGTATTACATTAAAATCACACAGTTAAAAATTTAAAGTTATGAATAACTTTAAGGCAAGCTTTTATGAAATGCAAGTTAAACTAATACTTTGGTTTAACAATAATCATTACCTTTAAAATAGAATTTTACAAGATTTTTCAAGGTGTTCAGTAAAGTAAAAGGTGTCAGCATATTAAAAATGGAAAAAGCTAAAAAAATCTTGCATTAAAAATAATTTCAGTGGGATCCACAAATTAAATTGTTTAATATTAAGGCCCACCAATAAAAAAACTTAATCAGTAATTTAAAAGCAATTTAAGAAGTTCACTTATTCTATATCAATATAATTTGATCAAAGCGATAAAAACGTACAATAACTTTCACAAAAAATGAGAATTTCTGACATAGAATCATGCAGTGCTCTCTCATTAAAAATTTGTCAATCATAAAGTAGTGTTAACAATATATGTACAATGGCTGTTATGGTTATAAGCGAAGATTTGCATCTGCTGTCCACTTCTCTTCATTTATTAAACTCAGCTTTTATTACTAACAAATACACTGGTAATGATTGTTATATCTTGCAGGTGAATTAACACAATTCCAAAATACTGGAAATTTTAAAAAAAAGAAAGAAGTGTTAAAAAAAATGAGTGAGAGCTGCATTTAGATTTTTGTTTTAAAACAGATAATCTGCTCAGGTTTAACAGAACTATTCCAAAACAAGTAGAGTAATGAAAACAATTTTGAATCACCTTCTTTCTCTAGAAATAAGGAAGCATTAAAGAAAATAAAATGTGTTTAAAAACTGTAAATCTAGCAATTCTAATCTTTATCATGCATATATTATGTTATGAATCACATGCATCTTTTATGAAACATTTAAAGAGTTGGAATAGAAAAATAATGTGGTGTTTAAAAAAAGTACCCTATACCTAGACTGCTTAATATCTAGTTGGTCAAATAAACATGGGTACTAAAAATAGAAAGATGCACTAATTGTATTACTTTAATGGCTTTGAAGCACAAATGAACCTGCAAAAATACAGGACCAATTTATCAAATCACTAAGTATTTTAGCTTAATTAAGTAAAGAGGCATATTTTGAGTATTAATCAATACAACTTATGTAAGCCACTACAATATACTATGTCACCACATGGCTTAATTGTCTGTACAAAAAAAAAAGAAAGCTTTTAAATGAATCAATTTTGTTTTGAAATGTATATTTTTAGTGTTGTCAGCAGCTTATTCCTTAGCTGCATTAGCGTGGACGATAAAATATTAGATCTCTTTGATCTTTGAATTATGTAAACAGTCAGTTTGAATAGATTCAATTTAAAATGTATTAAATAAAAGCAGTCACACAGAGAGTGTGAAATAAACCTCAAGGCCTATATTGTCTAGCAATCTGCAAAATATGAACAGAGAAACAGGAAATTTATTTTGAAACATCACACCCAGTTATTTAAACAATCTAATGAAATAAGAGGTACTGAAAATACAAAGTGCTGAGTGGTCTTTTTATGTGCTGCAGGAAATGGTATATTATTTATTTAAAACCATATCTCAAATATTTTGCTGTAGCATTCCAAATAAGTAATAAGGATTATTTGATATATTTCTTACTTTGACTGAGAAATAAAAAAAACATGCAGACATTCTATAGAATGCCCACATTTCTTATTTTGGCAGTAGCATATGAGATACATCTTATGTAGCCAACATAATAGAAGTTAAACTAGCATTGCAAAACTATTTTTCTACAAGTATCGATTTAGCTTTATAATTTAGTGTTCTTTGTTGTTTTCAGCCTGTGTAATTAAGGATGCACTACTTGTTTTTACAGTTAAGCAAAGAAAAAAACTGTTTCAACTCTCTCATCAAATTAAATATTCTGAACATAGCAATTGCATAAAACCAAGACATACAATGCAACCATGTGAATATATCTAAACCTGAATTATAAAATATTAAAATATCCAAGTAATTGTGAAGAAATGTTTTACAATACTACAAATTGTCATTCACTCCATTGAATATGCGTAGTATGCAATAACAATGGCAAGTCCAAAGACATAATTTCACTCGTGGGCTGATTGGGTTTAAATGTAGACAATTACCTAGTACAACAAACATGCGATGGATAGAAATTTTCAGGTTCAAAGTCTGCAAGATGCACACACTAATCAAAAATGTATTTTCAAGCCTGTCATCAAAAACAGCTATTGTTGAATAATGAAAGATGAAATCTTTCAACATGCAAGCATCCTCTGAATGGTAAGTTATTTGGTACAAACAACATTTAAAACTGACAAACTGCAAAAATTCAATTCAAAACAACATAATAACAAATAATACTCTTACCGCTGTAATACTCAGTTCCTGTGATTAGTTACAAGAAATATTTGTTATTGTAAATGACAAGCTACATGTACAATAAGATGTTTATTTATATTAAATATAAAATTAATAAAAATGTACCCATGCAAAGGGCCTTGAAAATTATTCTACTGAATATGGAATGAAACATACTAGCACAGTACTGAAACAAATGTGTCAAAAAAATGACAAGCTATTTCTTTTGACAGTAATAAACCATCACCGCAGTGCATTAACAATTTGAGAGCACAAATATGGCTGTGTAATGAAGCAGTGAATGTAACCCCCAGTAATTTTTGCTAATTATTATTATCATAGAATTAGAATCTTAAAATTACAGTTGTAGGAAACTGTTCATGAAATACAACACACAAGAGGCTATAGGTTGTCACATTTGTAATGTTTCAAGTATATATATGTTTTATTTATCAAGGGAATAACAATATTTACATTGCTCCTGTATTTATTTGCTCCTGCATTATTTTTAATAAATTTCCAAATTACACATTTTTATACTTTTGTGTTTTAAACATTGAAAATCTTTAGGAACCAATAAAATAAAGTGTTAATTATAAAGGCCCATTTCCTTACTAATGTGTAAAAATAAAACCATGCATATGTAATATATATGAATAGCTATAACTTTCTAATATTAGTTCTCTAAGATTAGCTTATATAATGCAAAATACCATAATCCCCATGATTTAAAAGGCAATATTTGTTGAAATACTCTCACCTTTTTAGAGCTAGTGGTATCTTCATCCTGAAAAAAATTTAGAACTTAGGAAACTGTCTAGTTTAGCATTGTATTAGGACAGATGATCCTGCTGTAACTGTTGAACTAGTGAAGAATCTTAGCTATCAGAGTAGTTTAATATTTTCTCATCTTATTTCTTGAGTGATAAAACTAAAAACAACACAAAAGGGCATTTGACCACTTATATTTCAATTTCTGAAGCGATTTCTTATTCTTCCACAATAAAATAGAGCAAAATAAAATCACAAACTTATAGATATAAAAAAAAAAAAACAGGAGCAATGTAAAAGAAAATTATCCCTTTAACTTAATAAAAAGAAGTAGTAGTTTTCATCCTTATATAAAATGCAAGTTTTAAATTATTATTATTATTTTAAAATTATTTGTTGGTCACAATAATCATTTCTATAATATAGCCGCATCACCAAACCTTTTGATTAAGAAGCTAAATTCATCCTATACAGTTTCATGACTCCATTGACTGTATGACACATTGTTACATTTTTGTTCAGATAAGTTTAAGGTTTCAAAAACACATTTTGCCTGCTCACCTCTGAAGTACTGTGATTTATGATAAACATCTTCCCTTCATATGCTATCCTTCTGATCTGACTCCTGAAGTTAAATAGGTTTACCATTATTTGCTTAATCTTAAGAAGAACAACTATATCATCTCCAAAGTTACTGAATTTGTTATGATTTGTGTGAGGGTAAATTTAACTAAAATAATACTATGAACAGAACAGGTTAAATGTGAATCTACTGTATTTACCACTTGAACAGCTGGGTTCTCCTGCTCCCTCTAAATGTCATTATGCCTAAATGTGTCACACCCAAATACAGTGGATCACCTCGTTGATCCTGTTTTTAAAAATAAATACTCAAAGCATTAAACAGATTTCAAATAACTATGCTCAAATAACTATGCTGAAACAATTTTTTTACATCATATGTATGGTGCAATATCGAGGGTTAAGAGAGAACAAAAAATACTGAGTTATCTTAATTTTTAAACATTTCTGTGAACAAACAGAAGCAATTAAGAACATAATTCTCACTTTGACTTGATGAGGATCTACCCCATACGTGTCCATACTTGCAGCTTTCCTGAGGAAATTAGCCTCACAATCTGCTGGCACTTCACCACTACATGAAATACATCAAACATGAAATACAATTTTAAAGACTAATTTCTACTACAATACTTAACTGTTATAAAAATTATATTTTATTAGCCAGTTTAAGTATTCAGTGATAAAAAGTACATTAAATTGTCAACTTATTATTTAAATGTACAGCTCTTATAGAAAAAGTAGTATTAAAGAAAAAACATTCAAAATTATTGGAAGGCCCTCTTAAAACTTGCATGCTATTCTATTATAATGAATGATTATCAAGCAAGCAAGAGTTTTCCTAAAATGAGTATTAATTTAAACTTCTTCACTAAGCTAAATGAAAAGTGGAAACACATTGTGAAACATTCTCCTAATATAAATATGCTTACGCCAAGGCACTGTGTGCTTCCATAATTTTCTCTTCATGTTTAGGGGTTTGCTTTGGTAGCATTTTAAATTCAGACACATATCCTGGTTGATGGTCTTGAGGATCATAATCTCCAACTTCAGCTAAATATACACAAAAAAAAAGAATAAAGTACAAAATATTTTGATTTTAAATCTATTTAAATACTATGATACATAAAAATGTAATATTTTTTACATTGTATGATATAGGCTGCAAGCTGAATAGATTCATCATGTGGACACAAAAGTCGCCCATGGTGAAGATCTCTGCGCAGTTGAAGAAACAAGTAGTATCTAGAAGAAAAAAACATTTATTCTAGTATAAATTAAAATGATAAATTTTTAGCAGTAGTGATTTAATTTTCAATGGGGTTGATAAATAAAAATAAAGATGCTTAAAATATAAAGAGAAAAAAGTCTAAACCCTTTGAAACAGCACTTTATTTTAATCTGTCATCTTAATACATGCCCCAGAAGACTGATTTTGTCTTACACATATTACCCAGGATCAACAGCCATAAAAATGCAATAACTTTATTAATGCTTGTTGAAATAATATTAAGATAGTTTATTAAATATGTGTATTTTAATCAACTGCCTGTTTTGTATACATTTTCATCAGAAGCTCAAATAGTTATGAGGGCAAGCCTACATTAAATTTAATTTGTGCATAAATATAACCACAAATCCCCATTATTAAAATTTTAAAACATGTACCACCTTGTAATTTCTTCATGCAATTTCATAGGATCTTCGGGATAAAACTTGACTCGGAAACAAAGAACCATCTTGTTTAAACCTAAAAAAAACAAGTGATTAGAATGCATTAACAAAAATAATTTCTCCATGTTGAAAAGAAATGGCAATATTGACATACTGTTTTTTCTTCTTCAAAGATTAAAGGTAGACAGGCACGGAATATAGTCATTATACAGGACAGTTAGAGCCAGACTGGATGTAAAATTTAGAGATACTCCAAAATTGGAATTATAATCTCAAAATATCTATCATTAATTCAAATACTTTATACTCTGTACAGAGAAAGTAAAAATGTAACTAAAATATCTAAATATTGTAATCATAATTTTGAAAATGCCAAACCATGTGTTTTATCAATGTTAATTAAAACTAGTATTTTACAAATAACTTTCACATACAGAGAGTATTCATGTTATGTAAATATTAAGCAACATTTAGTAAGTTAATACAATCTGCAGTAAAGATTTGTAAATATAGTAACTGCATCTTATCAGTAATGATAAATACCAAGAAGAAAAAAGATTCAAACAGCATTCCTATCTTGTATCAATAGTCAATAAAAAGGATGAATCACTATAGTGGAGTAATTCTGTTTGAGCTGACATCTGTGCACATTTTTTTTGTATGTGCAACAGCAGTTGTGTCAAAAGTATTATAGTGTTCATATATCCAATCTTACATAAACTATTCAGTTTATAAATGCATTGTATCATACAAGTGCACTTTAATTAGAATTTATCATTTAAAGTAGTTTCATTAAAATAATTAAAATGTATAATAATGGTTATAAATCAAAATGCCAATTTAAAAAATGTTTTACCTTTAAGTTGTTTGTAGACAGTCTTTAAAGGATCTAGCCAGTGCTGGAAATATATGTTTGATACTATAAGTTGGGTTTCACAACAATAAGATTAAATGGTTACTCATGACCTTCTCTAAATTAAGTGAGTATGGTCAAAACAGAAAAACATGTGCAATCCTAATACATAATTATGAATTACAATTAGATAAACTTAATTACAAACACCAATTATACTATAAACATAAAGAACTTAACATTTCATATGTGTTTTAAATGCAACAAAGATTTGATTTGGTTACCCTCTGATTCTCTGCATCTACAAAACGTAGTCCAAAATAATCCTTTTCAACAAGATTCAATTTTTCACAAACACGGTCAAACAGCCATGCTCCAAGTGTGTCTTTCTGTTTGTTAAAAAAAACAAAAACATAAGCACAAAGCTATAATAAATTGCACACCAAAAGCTAAATTTTTAAAAAAAAAGGCTGTTACTTTTACCAAGCAGATTTTCAAGTTTATAGCACATAGTCAGTTGATAGAGTAACAACCCTAACTCAAAACAGGCCTTGTGAAGATATGATAATTAAAACAACACTAGCCAATAGATCTACTGTGTTGTTAAGAGAAATGTAGGTGTAAATATGTTATGGCAATTTTTTTAGCCACACTATCATCATATATTTTAAGCTTGGATTACTGATAAACTCTTAGCAACAAACCCTAGCCCTTAGAGCACTTAATATCTGCTGATCCAACTTGGCTACTTTATAAATGAAAACAATGCAACATGTTATTTAGATAATGTGGGTATGGTAGAGCCTAAAGAACCATGCACATTTTATAAAACAAAATTTAACATTCAAAGCCCTTGAATGTTTTAAAAATTTTTTTTATCATAATGTAAAAAGTGTTTGTTAAACAACTGCTGTAACCAAATGTTTATTATTGAAGATGATAAAAAATCACAACATTGTAAGTATATCACCAATTGCTTTATTTCCTCAACACTAGTCAGGTAAAAACCTAAACTGATCACTGCTGGACACCACAGATCATTTTTTAAAAATTTAACATGTTTCAGGGTGTTAAATAAATCCATGTGTTAATAGCTAATAACTATAGAGAAATTAGTAGTCACACCTAGCAGTTCTGGTTGCCATGCAAACCAAAAAAAAGTATGACTCTTAACACCAATTCTTCAAACCTCTACAGCTTTGCTCTCAAGAAAGATTTTACAAATCTGATATAGATTTACATTTTTGAACCTATTTATACATTTATAAATTATTTTTTAATGTGATAGCTAGTATACAATTTTAATACAAATTTTTACTTGAAACAATATACAAAAATATGAGGGTGGTGCTACATAAATATTAAGGCTTAATCGCTTGTGGAAAGTTTCAGTCTTATAAGTTATATGACAATGGGCTCCAGAGCCTTAGGGATATGAATTTTAAATAAAAGGGTGGAGAAGGCTCTTATTAATCGAGTGTTATTTTTATTTTAAGAGCAACTATTAACAGACCATATTAAGTTCTAGCTTGCCTGTCTTCTCACTACTAAAATTTTAACTTACACAAGTTTATTGACTCTTGATAATAGCCTGTGTTCAGTGCTTGAGGACAGACATGCCCCCCCCCCCCCCCCCGCTGGTGTATGAAGATACAATGAGCCATAAATTACTATTGTTCATTAAACTGTGAATAACACATCTGTGTAGTACTACGTTTCTGTACAGGCCTAACTAAGTGAATGCCTATCAGCAATCCATCTAGTATTTATTCATTAACAACTGCTGTAAAGTCTGATATATATACATTCAAACCTATCACTTTGTGTAACAAGATTATAAGCTGACTGTTGGTTGACTAGCAAGCAGGGGATGAACATTCATCAATTTTTCAACCTGACAGTGACACTTGTTCATTACACACATTATTTCAGCTTAGTTTAAAACATACTAAACAGTATATTATTATAATAGTATTCCAATGATAAATTAGATAATCAACAGCACATTTCTTGAGAAAGTTTCAAATATCAATCAAAATGCTGTTAGTATATACCAACAGAAGTAAACAAAAAAGACAAGCAATAGTTTTTGTTTGAGAGTAACAGGATGGCTACCTAACCCACATGGTTAGTTGCAACCTATTGTGAATTGTTTTGATTTCCTGTACTGCAACATGATAGGTAAATCGTATTGATGAAGTTCTTCCTATTTATTATTTTTACATGCATGCCTGCATATTGAGATTGACCTCAAAATTTACTTTGTATAAATCAACATTTATGTCACTTATTTTTAGTGACAAAGGAAAAGGTAACTACAACAACTTGCATTTGAGCAATAAATTGATGTACAATTTAAGATGCTTCGCTAGCAATATGTAATATTATGTAATATACTCTTGAAGATAGCTATTATGTAATATACTCTTGAAGATAGCTGTCTGCGTAGTAGTTTGAAACTTTGAAGGGAGTTTCGCATCATAATTAAAAGATAACAGTGAGCTGTAGTAATATTTTTATTCTCTAGATCTAATAGGCCTATTTTAAATTATTCAGTTTTACAACAAAAATCTAAAAATAGAATACAAGTCTTGTTTGCTGTAGATCTATCTATAGGCCTTATAGTACTTATACATTTAAATTATTTTAAATACAAACTGCAAATCTTAGTGAAATCCTAGATTCTACATGAAGATCTAGATTTCTAGAAATCTAGTAGGGCCTACTTGTGTGTTTAGATTTAGTTGAGTTGACAGATCAGGCAAAAAATGAACACAAAAAACTAGACTTTACTAGACTACTGATCTCTAGATCTAGATCTAGATATTATATCTAGACTGTCAGCTAGTCTTGTTGGCTCTAAAATCTGGACTTATTATTAGTGTAGAAAGAAGTTAGAACCTAGATCTAGATTCTAGAATAATCTAGATCTTGATAAATTTTGCTTTGATTATTAACAAAAAAAAATGATTTTTAAAGAAAAAGTCCATGGACCACTCAGCCACAGTCATCTTGAACAAATCAATATGTTGAATATGTGGATTATTGGAATTTAAACCATTTTTCCTGGCTAAGTTTTAAAAATCTTTGATTCTCCGGGGTTCAGATCTAGCTAGATTTATTAGATTCTACATTCAAAATATAACTCCTTAAAATGTAAACCTTATTAAATTATCTTCGTAATGTAAAAAAAACCCACTCCAAATCTAACAAGCGACAATTGGTCTTGGAGACGAACGCTAAAGTAGGTCGTTACCGGTCTTTTCGGCTTCCACATTTTTTTCGATTGGCAACAAGGAAATGACAGATCACAAAAATGTGAGTGAGCTCCTACCTTAAATGTTAGCTGAATCGTCTCTGAGTCGTCAAGAAAACGAATGCTGCAAGAATACTCAGTTTGAGCATCACTTTTGCTTCTTTTTCTGAAAACAGACATAGTGATGGTAATCTATTTTATTCGGCTCAAAGAATGATTATCCCACTATGACAGTTCTCTGACGCCTCGGCTTTGGAAGACGGCATCCACCCGAATCACAGTTATACGAAATGTTACAAGATGGCGCTTTATAGTCACGTGACATAAATAAGTTTTTTTTCTTCTTTTTTTTTAAACCTAGGCCTACATGGAAGCAGAATTAGACTGTTTATTTCGCCAATAAAGATAAGAGTTTATAGATTCCATTTACGGATACCTGAATCTTTTTTTAATAATCTAGATCTTGAGATATAATAATGTAGATCTAGAATCTAATAATAATTAATAATTATAATGTTAGGCCCTAGGCCCAACAATTTTTAGTTTTTAATTATTTTGTTTTTTTAATATATGCATTTAGAACAGATCAAAGGCCATGGTTCAAAGTTTATGTATACAACATTTGAGAGTCTAGGGTTTTCGGTACAACAGGATAGTGGATTAGGACTAGCCCAAGGGACTTAATCAATTTACCCTACTGTTTCTTCTTTTAGATCTAGATCTAGATCTAGATCTACTTCTAGTTTCAGGCTATGATCACATTGATAAATTAATATTTAAAAAATATCACCAAGTGGCAAGTAGGCCTAATTCATAATTAAAATTAATTGATTATGGTGGTTTACATTGTAATGGGTGTTAGCGGCTGTGGAAAGTAAGAATGTAATTTTTTTCTATTGATTAAGTTAACTAATGTATTATTAAGTATATTATATTATATTATTAGGCTAATATTAATACAAATGGTAATCTATCGTTTTGGGTACGTAAAATCGCCCGCGGCTATTAATGTACGAAAACGTTACCTCATTGTCAAGGCTTTAATAGGAGTATATTGTCATATGTTTGTGTAAAATATTATAGATAAATGAATAATAAACCTAAATCAATGGCTACATATATCGATATAGGCCAGAAATTAACTTTAAACAGCAGTGTCTGAGAGCAAGATTTGCTATATAAACAGCAGCCATTTGTAAAATAGAGTGGCTTCCCCCTGATCTCGCGCTAAAAGCTTATAAAAATAAAACTTAAACAAGATGGCTGCTATAGTAAATGAGCAAGATTGCATCTGTTGGAAACATCTCTAGTCTTCATTTATAACTGAAAAGTTTTAATTCAATTCTTTAAAAACAGGTACATAAATGAAACAAGGAAACATTTTTGTATTTTAAAAAACATAAATCCTCCTCAAAATGTGAAATAATAATTAAAATTTAAGGAGTCACCTGGTTTTCACATTACAAGTCGCGGGCGATTTTACGTACCCAAAACGATAGATTACCATACAAATATAATATTATGTTTATTATTATAATAAAAATAGTAAATACAAATGAAATATTGTTTACTATAGTTACACTATAGTCTATAGTAAATTAATAGTATTACTATTAGGCCTATTGCCTACTATTACTACTAGATCTACTACTAATTGTACTATGGTTACTTTACTATTGTGATCCCTGGTAGTGTTTTTTTTTTCTTCACTAGATCAACAATCTCAAAAGAATTGTCTATGCAGGTTTGTATTTTTTTATCTATATATAATTAATAATATATAATTCTCTTCTGGGAGCTGTTAGAAAACAAGCTGCAAGCGCCTCCTTGCAGTCCCCTCTCTTTTTCTCTATCAATATCACTACCACCCCCACATTGTCTGGTGAGCTGTTGTCACGCTAAATGTTTACAAAGCTAAATGTTTACAAATCGTAAAGCCGGGTTTCTATTAGGGGCAGATAATTTAGTTCGATTTTAAACTTACAGGAGGTAACTAAGAAATAACTAAGAGGAGGCTGCTTTCACGGGGGGGGGGGGGGGGGGTGTAGGGTTGGAGTTAGGGGAAAGGGGGGGGTTAGTGTAATTAAGCAAATATTTTCAGTGGCAGCATTGGTACTGTCGAATTCACAAATTATGAATTGCTGAAAAGTAGAAAATAAAACATCTAAATAGCGGCGTATGATACGCTGCGGGTCGGCTCGTTTATTATAAATAAGAAGAACAGACCATCTGTATGTTTTCATGGTATATTTAATATTTATAATTATATCATGTTTATGCTATAGAGTAGACTAAATAATAATTGAAACATTTTTAAAAAACATTAGGGCCTAATCATTTTATTTGTTCAATTTATTATTTGTAAAATTTGTATTGGCTTTTCTCCTTTAGCTTCATTGTGTTTATAGAGATGCAGATGAATTTCACAATGAAAATAATAAACAGAAAATGTCTCAAGGAATAGCATTAACAGATGAGGTACTTTTTTCTACAATCCATATTTGCATAATTTGAAAACTTGTATAACATGTTATATATGCATGGCATACAATACATTAATTTATACTTTATGTTTGCTCCATTGCTGTATGTGCTTTTTATTTAGAACATTATTCATTATGGCTTTGCTGTCAACTTTCATGGGTTAGTTATTAGTACATATTTGATTGTTGAGTTGATTGTGGGCTTCATTGCAATGTTACTTTTATCACTTTGTTTGATAGTGATACCTAAGTGGATTAATTTTATTGAATTTTTACCATTTACTCAATGCTACATCATGTTTTGTTACAACAGCTATCTGGTTTGACTGTTGCTCAATACTAATAGTTTTAATTTATAATCACATTAAACTTTTATTTATTTACAGGACAGACATCCATGGTTGGTGGCTATACATACATACATAGAAAGGTGTATTGCTTTTTTTACTCACCCAACACCCCATATAATATTATATACTTTCAATAGACCTTCATTATTCTTATTTTATAACAAATTCAGGAAAAGCTTTATTATCCGACACTCCACTAGGCACTGTGATGACAAGAACAAATAGCAGATGATGCATTTCTAAAATACTGCTTCCTCTGGCTACACCTGGACTATGAACCTAGACTCAGTCTAGATTAAACCCCTACACCTACACCACATGTATAGACTACATGTAGAACCTATATAGAAATACTAAACCTATACTAAACATTTAATAGACCTTGAAGCTTAGCCCTCTAGACCCTTTCTTGTGGTTTGTGAAAGTTGCATAACCAGATATTATTTGGAATATTCAAACCAATACTATTTTAACTATTTATTCTAAATTTTACTACATTCATTGCTAATCTAGATTTTTTCCCCTTCTTTTTAGTTTACTTGTGGCTAAAACTACCGGAATTGTGGCCTGTTCTGCTTTAAAACAAAAGCACAGAGATACTCTAATATACGGTGATAAAACAAATCAAAATCTCCCAAACTGGTGTAAGGATATCACATTTATTTATTTAAAAGGCACAGAAGAAACAATTAGAAGTAGATTAATTCAAAGAAAAGGTCATTTTATGCCGGCATCCTTGCTGCAGTCCCAACTAGCAACACTTGAGGAACCTACAGAGGCAGAAAACCATATCACAGTTAGCATTGACCAGTCAGTTGATGGAATAGTTAATGATATATTAAGGTACATTCATGAATAAAAGAAATATGTTTTGTGCTATAAATAAAACATTTTAGATACAGGTGTTACATCATTAATCTGTATTTGAAAAACAATCTTAGTTTGTGATTCACAGAATGATACACATCATGTGCAACAATAATTTAAAGTTTTGTAATCTTCATTTTCTATGCTGTTGCGGCTGAGTTTTATTCAATGCACAAAAAGATCTGAGAAAATGTTCAATATTTTATGTGTTCTCATCTTTACACATTACTACAAAACAACCCTCGTCCCCAGCTGCTACTAACTAATAAACCCGTTACAATTCAGCTTTTATACCTGCACTCGACCTGGGGATAACAATACCTAAACACCCCAGGGTTAACTCAACTCACACACATTTCTCTCTACGCTCTAGACTATTCTAGCCTATTCTAATCTAACCTACAACTTACAAGTAACATATACTGTAACTATAATAAATCTAAATATATTAATGCACTTGGCCTAGGCATAATTAGTTATCATAACATATATTATAATTTAATCTTTAATCTAGGTCTCACTAAATGAGCTCGATTTTTTTACTTCCTTATGCTAATGGCTAATTATATAGTTATTTTATGATACTGTGGGGGGGGGGGGGGGGGGATAATTTTCAAATGTGACCTCACATTATTAGCAATTAAAAAGTTTCTCTGTTGAATTGTGGTAGTGTAGCTAGTTTTTAAACACCTTTTTTGTAAATTTTAAATTGACAACTAAATCTAAAATATTTAAGCTAAATCAACCTAGCTAGTAACAATTTATAGGCCACAAGTATCTACACTTATTAAAATCTAGATCCTAATTGTTTTGATTAGAAATATAGAAAACAATATCTTGGGAAGGGATACAACTCAACTAATAATATCGGGAACAATCCTAACTTGGTTTTTCCCCCTTTTTACTGCAGTAATTTGATACTGAAAATACGGGTAAAAGTTGGAAAGGGCTATCTCTATTTCATTCTGCTCCAAGGGGTCGTCAATAAATGACGTCACACTCGTAGGGGGGAGGGGGGTCTGTAATTTTGTGATGAGGGGGGTTAAGATGGTGCGACGTCACACTTTTGCTTTATAGATAAGAAATAAGAAATGTTTTAGAAAACAGTTTTAATAAATTATAATAGGAATTGATTAAAATACTCTATTTTGACATATTTCAGACACGATTTTGGAAAAAATATCGATGTTTAAATAAAAATTCAACTGCAATTTTGAGGGGGGTTGTAGGCTGAGATGTGACGCCATGGGGGGAGGGGAGGTAAAAATCGTCCAAAAAAAGCGTGACGTCATTTATGGATAACTCCCAAGGTCTAATATGAACGGCCTCTGTTTTACCATCTTTATTTATTGTAATTGGTACAACATACTAAGCTACTTCCTCTGGTCATCTTAGTCTCAATTTTTTTTTTTGGCATTTCTTTTCTGAGAAAGTCAGCGCTAGTTAATAATTATTGCAATTCAGTTTCTCAAACAACAATATAAATAAAACATGAAGATTCTCGTAGCTAAGGTAGGCATGTTGATATAGGTGTTGATGAAATAAATGCGTAGTTTAGAATCGTATGATTGAGGTCACACCTTGTTGTTGATCATCTAAAGTCCAGCGGTTGGTTTGATTGACATTTGCCCTGATCAACTCAATAGACCAACTCTGTGTTGCATCAAAAGGGTCCGTCACATCGACTCCGTCAAAAAGGCCAACGAAAAATTGCTCCCGTCATTAGGACTTCCGATAAAAGGGCCCCTGTCAATACTGTTCCTGTTGAGACTACAAGTCTCCCGGCGAAATGGCCACATTTATATGACCCCTGCCAGTAGGACCCCTTCACTTTCAGTACTCTTCAGAATTTGCTTGGCCAACACCCTTAAATAATACCACGTATGCTTGTGGTTGTAGGTTATCAAAATAAAAGTTTGTTTATCCTGTAAACATCATGTAGATCTATATCATAGGCCTACATTCAAACTTCTGAACTCGCTTTTAAATTAGTGGCACTTTGCTGTAAATGGCTGGATTTTTTAAGATGAATTACTGTTGGTTCATGAAGAATTTTTTTTTTTCATTCTGTTTTTAAAAGAGGATATATTGTAGTGTAGAGGTAGAAACTGTGTGTTGTTGGAGCGTTGGACAAAACCTATGCCAAAAGTGGTCATACGATAAGAATTCATTTATCGGGAGCCCATTTGTCGTGAGCAGTGTTTCTTCCAGACTTTTTCTCCGGGGGTGGGGGGGGGGGGAGACACTGGTAAAAGTATGTTTTCTATATAAATTCCATCTCGTCCCCTCCCCCCCCCCCCCCCCCGAAGAGATGCCTGGAAGAAACTCTGGTCGCGAGTTCTTTTGTTGGGAGCCTATATGTCGCAAGTCAGTATGAGGTGAGTCCATTTGACTGGAGCCAATATGTCGGGGCTATTTTGACTGGGGTGTTTGTCGGAGGCCGTTTCAAGGGTTCATCAACCAACTCTCCAACTCTCATTCTGTATATTGTCAGACTGTGCTTCAATGACCTTTTTAAAAAAATCACATGCATTTAGTTTCAATATTAATTTTATTTAGAAATTTTTGTGATCGGACTATTTTACCAAAACATTGGATAATTTACGACTGTAAGAAATCAATTAAAATTGAACACATGGGATGTAGGCTTCGTACAAACTTAGCTTGTATCACAGTATTTACAGCGCTTTAAGTGTAAATATAAGTGTTAAAAGCTAAGCATAACATAAAGCATAAATAATGAAGCAGCTCTAAATACCAAGATATGGCCACTCACGAGTTTGCTACGGTTCTTCCTTACCTTTGTAGTCAATTAGAGCCGAGGCTAATCACTAAATGTGCCATGTAGGGCAAGAAAGAAAATTAGAATAGGCCTGCGCACGTTATTGACATTTTAAATAAAAATACGTTATAGGTATGGCCTAATAATTAGATCTTTATAATATACAACAATAGTGAATGTGAAGTGTTCTGGGTATGAATTCACATATTAACTTTAAATGATTTAGTCGAGGTAAAAATGTCATTTTATGACGAAGAATTATTCTTGTTTAAATACCATATAGCGTGACGTCATTTCCTATTTAAAAAGTCGTATTATGTAACGGCATCTCTTCGGGGGGGGGGGAGTCTTTGCCCCCCCCCCCCCCCCCCCCCCCGAAAACTTTTTACCGCCCCCCCCCCCCCCGAACGAAATGAAATTTATATAGAAAATATATACTTTTAACAGTGTCCGCCCCCCCCCCCCCGAAGGAAGTCTACCGCCCCCCCCCCCCCCCCCCCCCCCCCCCCCCGAAGGAAGTCTACCGCCCCCCCCGAAAATTTCAAGTGCCCCCCCCGGAGAAAAAAGTCTGGAAGAAACACTGGTAACGGCGGTCTTTTAGGTATGTCCTATTGACGTTGTATGTAAGGTTTCCAATACAAAATCTTCTTAAAAAAATTCATAGGCCATCTCAAGACATTTTAGTTGACCCATTAAAAAAAAAATTTGGGGGCAGAAACTGGTAAAAGTAAAAGCATATGTTTTCTATATAGATTACATTTTATTCGGGAAATAATTTTAATGGTACTTTGGTAGGCTCACATCTAAATGTGATGCTCGATAGGGGTCGTCGTAGTGGGGAGGGGGGGGGGGGGGTTCAGATGGTGTGACGTCGAGATCATACTTTTGCATTATAAAAAAGCAATGTTAGAAATCAAATTTTAGCCGTTATTTCGCGTTTTAGAATACTATTTAATAAATTGTAATAGGAATTGGCTAAAATACTCTGTTGACAGAATTCAGACGTATTTCAAGAAAAATTAAACTGCAATTGTAAGGGGGGGGGGGGGGAGCAGAGGCGTAGCGACCTTTCCCGGCGCCCGGGGACAAATTTTCGATTTGCAACCCCCCCCCCCTCAAACCTTCGATTTGCACACCCCCCCCTCAAACTTTCAATTTGTTTTTCAAACCCATTTTGGCGCCCCCTAAGGTCGGCGCCAGGGGACATATGTCCCCTCTCCGCCGCCCCCCACGCTACGCCTCTGGGGGGGGGGGGGGGCTTTTTGTGATGGATGGGGGGGGGGGGGGCGTAAAAATCGTCAAAAAAAGCGTGACATCATTTGTGGATGACCCCATACTGGGGTTCTCCAGTTTTTACCGCCATCGCATACTCCAAAATCTTTCTGTTCACTGCTTCGGAAACTACATAATGCTCTGCATGATTTGATTTAGAAAATCTACGGGAATAATTAAAGTTCAAAGCTGAAACAAATTACTTTAAAAAATAGGTACGAATTAAGTAAAACTTCATCCCCGGCGGGATTCGAACCCGCGACCTCTGGATTAGAAGTCCAGCGCGCTATCCACTGCGCTACGGGGACATACTTCTATACAGAAAAATCCAAACGAATTTGGCCAATTGATTGCCTAGACAAATCAAGATTTGTATAGTTGTTTAAGGAAAACTTACCTAGCCTACATCAAGACATACTATAGGCCGCGTTCACTGTATGTAAAGAACCGCACCCGCGGAAAAGGAAAAATACGTTAAAAAACTTGAACTCTTAGGAATTGAAGATCCTTATACTGTTATTGACAGTTTCGTATAAATAAATATGTGGACAAAATTTCTAAATAAAAATACTGTTAGTAATACTGTTTGCGTTTAGAATTAAAGTAGCCGAATCTGATCAAATGCAGTTCTCGATACTTTGTTTCATGTAAGGACAGTAAAATAATAAACTTCATTTTAATTATAAAAGATAACTATTAATAAAACAAATATGCTCGACCTTCACAAATACTAATAGTAAAAGACAAATTCAAAAGTAATAGGCTAATAAGAATAATAAGATCTAATAGTAGGCCTAATACCTGGCTCCGCTGGGTAGACATAGAATCTAGAATCTACTTCTTTACTTAAATTTAATTACTTTAGATCTACATTCGATTCAAAATACGAGCCGGCCCGCGGCATAACATACGCCGCTATTTAGTTGTTTCTAATTTTCAATAATTCATAATTTGTGAATTCGACAGTACCAACGCTGACACTGAAAATATTTCTTTAAAACACTATAAGTAGCTCGTTAAGGACCATAACCCCCCCCCCCCTTCCTTCCCCCCCCCCCTCCCCCCCCCTACGTTTAAAATCGTTGGCTCTGCTTGTAAACATTTAGAGTGAACACAGCTCACTAAAACCATGTAGGGGTGGGGAGGTAGGGAGAGCGTTTGCAGCTTGTTTTCTAACGGCTCGAAGAAGAGAATTATATATATAGATAGATAGATAAGTAGCTCGTTAAGGACCATAACCCCCCCCCTTCCTTCCCTCCCCCCTCCCCCCCCCCCTACGTTTAAAATCGTTGGCTCTGCTTGTAAACATTTAGAGTGAACACAGCTCACTAAAACCATGTAGGGGTGGGGAGGGGAGAGCGTTTGCAGCTTGTTTTCTAACGGCTCGAAGAAGAGAATTATATATATTATACGAGCCGGCCCGCGGCGTAACATACGCCGCTATTTAGTTGTTTCTATTTTTCAATAATTCATAATTTGTGAATTCGACAGTACCAACGCTGACACTGAAAATATTTCTTTAAAACACTATAAGTAGCTCGTTAAGGACCATAACCCCCCCCCCTTTCCTTCCCCCCCCCCCCTACGTTTAAAATCGTTGGCTCTGCTTGTAAACATTTAGAGTGAACACAGCTCACTAAAACCATGTAGGGGTGGGGAGGTAGGGAGAGCGTTTGCAGCTTGTTTTCTAACGGCTCGAAGAGGAGAATTATATATATAGATATATATAGATTATATAATTAGTACTAAGACAACATTGACTATTTTTAAGTATTTATATTTGATTATTTAAGCTTTTTATTTATAACTATAACTAATTCATTTATCAATCGAGTCTACCACTACTACTTTAAATTTTGCTTAAAAAGGGATTGTTAGGGGGAGGGTTCAGACCTTTTTTGTGACAATTTGCAACGGATGGGGGAGGGGGGGGGGTAGAAAAGTGAAAAAAAGGAAATACCTGGCGTGAAGCATGCACATTTTCATTTGATTAATGCTGCTTTTAGTGGTGCGGTGTGATCTGTTATTTTTTTGTGACGACTTGTGACAATAGTCACTTGAGGAAACTAAGCTAAATAAATTACTTAACTCTTAAAATTCTTTTTTTGTTGTTGTTGTCTGAAGTGTTTTTATCTATATGTCTATGGTTTTTTATAGTTGTTTATAGAGGCCTAAACATTCCGGTTTTTTTTTTACATCTTTCACCGTGGGGGGGGGGGGGGGGGAGCAGTATACTTGAAGCACTGGGAAATGGGGGGGGGGGGGGGCGAGAAGGGAAGGGGCGAACTTGACTGGTAAAAGTAGCCTATATATTTTCTATAGGCCTTCAGAGTATAGGCCTATATTTTATTTCTAGTTCGAGAGAGAGAGAGAGAGAAAGAGAGAGAGAGAGAATATGGGGGGGTGGGGGGGGTGGGGGTGGGGTGGGGGGGGGTGGGGGTGGGGTGGGGTGGGTGGGGTGGGGGGGGGGTGGAGTTTGCATTTTCCTAAGAGATGAAACTGACTACATGTCGGCCCATACCCAAGACTTAGAGGATAATGTGCAGGGGTAGGTATTATTAGAATTAGTGTATTTTTTTTTTAAGTTAAGGTTTTATTTTAAGAAGGTTTAAGCATGTACAATAACATGAAAAATTACTCGTATTATTTGCTCAACTTTCAAACTTTATATATGGGAAATCCTTGAAAATGTTTAATGCGAATTTTAAATTGATTTTTCAAATTATCTAGAGTATAAATGTAAGAAAGTCAATAATTGGAATATATTGTTATGGTAAAAAGTAAAGTAATTCATTTCCGCCGTTATGCCAAATGAGACAAGGGAAGTTATTAGAAGATCATGAGGAAAACACAAGAACTTAACATGAATCCTGCTGAAAATTATGAATTTTTTAGTATTGGTAGTCTTATACGTATTGTAGACTGTCATAATGACACTTATAAAGGAACTGTGAGGTCTTTTGATTATAATACTAAAATTTTATCCATAGGTAATATTTTATTTTAACTTTATATCTTAAATTTTATATTTTCGTGAATCCACTGACCACTGGCGCTCAGCTGAGTGAGAGACTTTTTGGTAATCTATCGTTTTAGGTACGTAAAATCGCCCGCGGCTAGTAATGTACAAAAAGTTACCTCATTGTCAAGGCTTTAATAGAAGTATATTGTGATATATTTGTGTCAAATATTATAGATACATGAATAATAAAAATAAAACTAAATCAGGCGATTTTACGAAGGGGCCTACCCTAAACTAAAACAATAGATTACAGACTTTTTTTAATTGAATGTAAAAAAGCAGAAAAAAAACAAACTTTAGGCCTACACATAATTATATAATTAGAATTATTAGATCTATAGGGCCTATATATAATTTAGTGCTTTAGTTAGTGTGCATACTGATCTCTCAACTGTGACTGATGTCAAGCTCATATTAATATTTAATTATTTCGGCTGAATTTTAAAACCAGTGTCCCGATAATACAATATAGAATATAGAATCTTCCTTAAAAAGGGGTGCTAGGTTACTGGTAGTTAACTAAAATACAACCCTAGTCTTACCATATGCCGAACCCTAATTTCTAACCATTAGGCCTAGTATAGTTAGTTAAGTTAGTTGAGATTACAATACTACTAACAACCTAACACACCTATTTTTGAAGAGTCTATTAGTATTATCGGACATCAGTATCTAAAACTAAAATTATCCCTTATTTCACATGATAAAGTAGCTAGTAGATTAGTGTTATTTTTTTTTTACAAGGGCAGCTATTGACTCACTATAAGTATATATTGACTATTGGTCCGTTATTGGAAATTGACTATTAATTTTAATTTAATATTAATACTAAATAATAGGCCTATTTTAGGGCCTGCCTAGTTATAGTACAGAATACTAGATCTACCTCTAATGATCTAATCACTGTATAGCCTAATCAGTGTTAATACCATTACTGTTTGTTGACAGTGAGTACAGTGTTGCACTCTTAGTCTTAGTGTCTTAAAACTTTTATCAGACTTATCGGATGATTAGGGCCTAATTCCACAATAACATAATAAAAATATTCTTATTATTGATAATAATATTATTTTGTTATAGGCCTAATCAATTCTCGACAGTGGTAGAATTCTTACAGTACATCATTCAATAAATTTTATACTAATTCCATCGTGACTTCATTAAAAAAACAATAATAAATACCTAGACATACTTGGACGATGAAATAAGACTATTGGCAAAATAACTTCAAGCACACTATTAATTAGCTTTATATGATTACATGTTTTTGATGTTGCTTAGCAACCCTGCTTGCTCATAGCTATAGGGTACAGGTCTACATAGATGTTACTAAGATATATTATTTTTATTCTATCAAGTTTCATAAAATAAATATTAAAAAAAAAACAAGAATTTTAAACAACAAATTCAGGCCTAGTTTTCTTATGTGGTGACCTGGAGTTTTCTTCCAGTTAAAATGTCTTGGATTGAAAGTTATAAAATGCTAAAAGGGCTATGAGTTGCATTCTATACAGTAAGATAAGTAGTTGATTTTGGATAGTTTTTCCATTGCAAAGTATTTTTAATAGTCTTTTATCATATTACAACTTTCTATTCAGTAAAAAAAAATTGTCTAATGTTAAAATTTTGAAACAATTTTGAACTGTTTGAGGAACTTTGACTGTATACATTTGATCAGTGTTTTCTAGCATTGGAAAACATGTTCTATTATCTTTTGGATGCCATGCCTATTTAAGTGTGCATTGTTGATTTTATAGCGGTAACTTAATTTAATCTTATTGAAAACTAAAGCTAGAGATCATCATAACATTTGAAATTAATACCTATTAAATATTATTTATAAATATCAGAGACACCATCACCAAGTGTTGCTCAGCTATCTGACATCTACCTTTTTAACTTGGATTATGTATCTGAAATTGAAGTTCTAGAAGAAAAGTCTGGATTGCCTGAGCCATTGCCTTTTATTAATGTCTCCAAGGTATGTGAGCAATTTATTTTCTTGTTTGCAAATGATTGGACTTTCTTGTTTTAAAAATAATTGCATATTTAAAAAGACATTTGTTTAACATTATTAATCTTGCCTGTAGATTTCTCAGCGTCTTATAGAACAAGAAAAGGACAGAATTAAACAAAAAACCTACATTGGAGTTAATGTATCACCTGAGGGGCAAAAGCTAATGAATACAATTTCAAAAACGTAAGATGTCACATATTTCCTTTGAATTTTGTTAGATTAGGCTTAAAAGTTGTATGGTATATTAAAGGCCTGTTCTTTACTCATTCTCTTTTGTGATCTCCATGTTACTACTACTGCTTTCTTTGCAGTTAAAGTTTAAAATAATGTCTTTTAAATTGAAAAAGTTAGTTGTTTTGTTGAATGATATAGTACATAGTTATATAGTGAATTAAATCTCATTACAGTATAAGTGACTGCAGATGGCAAGATCAAGATATTGTTGTATTAGGAGAAGTTACGATCAAACCACCATATGGACCAAAAGATCTCCACTGTATAGAAGGAAGTAAAGCTTTGGCACACATCTCAAAAATTGTATGTAACTAAAATATAATGCTAAGTTAAAATTTAATCTAAATAGAAAATCATCTCACAACAAGCTTAATTATAGGATAGTGATAACTGAAGGGTAATATAGATTTCTTTTTAGTTGAAGTTAAGGATATTATTTTAGGCATTTAAAAATCTTGTTTCATGAGAAACAAATGTCTTTTCTGCAGGTTGAGAAACACCATGAGGAGGAAGCCAAGCAGGCTAAGCAAGGCAGAGGAGCGCAGTCAGTTCGTTAATTTAAAATGGCAACTGTTCATGATTTTGTTATTGGAAAACATTTTATGATATAAATGCAGTTATATAAGCAAGAGAGTGAAATGAATTTATAAAAAATGAAGACGAAAAGTTGATTGGTTGTTCCTTAATTTGGTGGGTAAAATTATCTTTGCTATTTCTTTAGTAATCAAATATATTTTTGTGGTGTATTTCTTTTCAAAATTGTTTTAATGACTGAATAAAAGTGATAATTTATACTTATAAGTTATATCAAATAAACAAAATTAGATCTTGCTTTATGCAACTAATAAGTTTGAATGCTATGTTTGATAGGATATTCTGTATGCAAATCCAGCAATTTATGTGACTATTTTAAAAGGTGGTTTAAATACTGTTTGTCTTTAATGGTTACAATTAAAGAAATGCTTGACAACAATATTTCTAAAAGTTTAATTTTATTTAATAAAACATTTTTGGTTACTTTCTAATGCATGGCATTACTTTTAATGAACATTCAATTATTTTTAAAAAAAAAGGACAATACTAATAACTTTGAAAATTGTTGCTGATGTTCATAATGTAATTTTAAAATGGTTGAAACATAAATGTGCATACATGACATAAACAACTACATGTCATCTAATCTAAGTCTCTGGGTCTTAAAAAGACTAACAAAAAGCATTATGGTATTGAAGTAAAAATTCATAAAGCAAGTTTGTTGTAGATTTTTAAAAAGAATAGTTTAAAAATTTGATATACATTTATAAAAAAAGTGTACAGATCAACAAATATTTAACAGGTCCCATTTACACTTACTCATTGTATTAACATAATACAGTATTATTACACTTATAAAAAATGATGTACCACATTTTAAATACATTATTGCATTATTAACAAATGTACACAACTGATATATTGGCTGTAGTACTAAGGTAACTACAGGTAACTTTGTCAACAATGGAAGAAGAGTATTCATATGCATGAACAATCACAAAGCTTTTACAAAATAAACAGTTTAAACCATGGGCCATTTAAGAAAGTTGTTAGCCATAACAGACCGACTTAATATTTTCTGAAAAGACATATAAAAATTAAATTTATAAAATGTACTGTCACAACCACACTTCACTGAGATTCTATTTATTTTTGCACCCTATAATGGGCATAGAAAGATGAGCGACTGTGTTCCAGGAATTTTCATCTTAAATTAATGAATTTAACAATAAATACATGGTTGTTTAGACAAAGAAATTATCTTGAATGCATGTATTCTTAGCAAGGCACCACTGGTAGGTTATATTGCTTATGTTAAGATGCATTTCTGATTCCTTTATAAACACATTGTAAAAATGTTTTGGAATGGTTGGAAGTAAAAATTATCTTCAAATAATTATCAAGTTATCACAAGAGTAAAAAGCATAAGAGGGTCATCACTACATTTCTCTGTTTTAATTAAAGCTCCAGGCTCAATTCCCATGGCCTTCAAACACAAAGATGTGCCAAAATTCATTAGTTGATGCTTGTTGCCCTATGAAAAAATGTAAACACTTTAACAATCTTATATTTAAAAAACATTTGTAAACATATACAAAAGCAAAACTAATAATGTATTTGATTGATAAAAAGATTACCTTCCTCGACCAGATCCAAGTCTGAGCATTTGACCCTTTACATTTCATAAGTCTTGCATAAGGCCCTTCATCCTTGTTTAGATCCAAGCATAATACATTACCAAGTCGAAGGTCTTTTTGTTCTGTTTCAAACCATAGCTGTTGAAAAAACGTTTTATAACAAATGAGAAGCCCATTATTGTAAAACAATACTAAACTACAGTAACAAACAAAGTTTTTATAATGTACCTGATCCTTGTCTCCAGGCTTGCATATGTCTAAATGAACCAGCGCTCGTTTGTCATATATAGTTTTCTCAGATGTTACACATAAACCAGAGCTCGCATGTTTAAACTGTTAATTTAAAAAGTTAGTTTTTAGAATATACAATTAACCGAATAAATTTTGATTTGAACTATTCGTTTTCTAGTTGACATTGACAGTCTTTAGTATTCTCAAAACTTACCAAACCTCTTGACCGTACAATAACTTTTGAAGCTATCACATCTTTATTGCCTTGGTTTTGTGCATTCAATTGTTTATTTAAATCAGGTAGTTTCTGAAAAATTAAAAAAAAAATCCTATCAGTTTCAGAGGTATGTGTACAATTTTTAGGTTACTCATTAGTTCATAATTTTTTTTTTTTATTTCCCAATAACGATAACAATGTAGAATAACAGTTTATGTTTTTAGAAATTCAGTGATTAGAAGATGGCCCAGTTTATATTGGGAAAGCGGTCTGTCTGCAGCACCATGAAGTCCCAACACCTACCCCAACATCCTAATACATGCAATTCCCCACCCCCTCTCCATATGATACCCACCATCGCCTCTCCTGAACACACTCTTTATCAAACAAACTTATGTTCACAAGTTGATGTCATGGTACTGTCAAAATACTTTAGTCAATAAACTATTAATAATAACTGTTTCAATAACTTTATTAAGTAAAAAATACTTTTATTGCAAAAATAACCCAGTTTGTTTTCTGGACATGAGTGCTAGGATGTCCCTGAGTCTACTCATCACAATCTGGTAGTAGTGGTAGGCCTACCAACCTAAGTCAGGGTCAGTGGGCTGGGGTTAGAACTGTCCATAGCATTGCTTTGAGATCACAGAAAAAGATGAACTCTCCTTTATACTCTTTCTTAGCTGTTACATGTTAGCAGTTACAACTGGTCAACAGTTGAGAATATTGAAGATTATTTAATACTACAAAGACCAAGAAATACAACTTACACTTAGCTGCTCTGGATAAATATTTTCTAAATACCAATGAAATGATTTGCAATTAAGTTTTTTGCGGAGTTCAAGTCTTTCATTTATGTTACCAAACTCCATATCTTCTGCTCGTGAATTGATATGAAAATAATAACGCTGTAAAAAGATAATACATAAGTGGTAGTTTTAATATAGTATAGTTAAATTAGTATTAGATTTAAATTGATCTGTAAATAACTCGTGTTATATATTCAGTTTTATTGATTTCTAGTGGACCCCATAAATAAACGGGCCAAGTTAAGATAATTTCATGAACACATGCAATACTACACTAGCCCTATCCTGGAAATTTTTATGTTTGAAGTTTCAAGTCAATACCTTGTAATCATCCAACCATACATGTACCATTCTTAGTGTATTTTTGGTGAAGCTATCTTGAACTGGTGACCCATAAGGCCTTCTTTTTCGAAAAATATGCCCCACACGTGAGCAAGGTACAATAACCAAACGTCCTCCACATTGCCATATCTAAAAAAATGATGTTTCTCAATTAATTAATTATTGATTTTTTAGAAAATATGCTTACATTTTTTGGCACCTGCAATTACTCCAAATGTTTTTTTAACCTTGTAAAAAAAATTAAGACTCACCCTAAAAGATAACTCTAAATTTTCACCTCCCCACACATTCATTCCCTTGTCATACTCTCCAAGCTGATGGAAATATTGTCTGTTCATGGCAAACAAACCCCCAGCCATTGTTGGAGAGCTAGAAAAAAATAGTACAATATTTTTAAGAAAAAAAAGTAATTTGTTAATATAACAAATTTTATTATTTTACTAAATCTAAAAGGAAGTTTATTTGATAATATACACCACTGAACAGACTTACTCATATGGATCTGGTTTTTCAAATATTTTCTTGGCTAAATCAGGAGTCAGAGGTTCCCACTGGTAATGCATTCCCCAGTTAAAGCCACCTTTTACTAAATCTGATGCTGCATAGAAAAAGGTGTCAGCATCAATAATATCCATTATAGGAACAGAAACTGTGAGGGAATCCTGATGAATTGGGGCCAACAGTGGTTCTAGCCATCCAATATTCACTTCACAATGGCTGTCTAGAAACAGCAATATCTGGGGATAAAAGTATTATAACATTAGTCTAGTAATTTAAGATGCTTTTTTCTTAATGCTAATTAAATGAAGTCCAAGTATTTTATAGTGGACAGCTACAATTTTAATATAAAAATCACAATTTTTCAGGGGACAAAAAAATATTTTTCTAGGAATTTTAATCAATATTTACAAAGCAGATGTAATAAATAAAAATAACAAGAGAAGTTAGTACTTTACCTCAGCTGTAGCCTGCTTTGCTCCATACATTCTAGCTCGAATCAGGCCTAGACGCTCTGTAGTGTGAAACAGTTTAACTTTTGGGAGAAAACTTCTTATATATTCTTCAAGGTCTGTCTTCAGATGAGCTTTTTTTTTTAGAATAATAAAAATATTGACAAGAAATTAAATTACATACAATAAAGCTTAAAATTGCATAAATTAAATGTTTATATGAAAAATTTCTTGTGAAGATAGGTTTTAATTGCTTTAATGAAAATTAGTTTTGCTTTTTACTAAAACTATCTAATCATCAACTTTTCTCAACAACTTAAACAAATGAAGCTAAGAATTTGTAGCTTTATTTTAGAAATATTTTTCACTAAATATTAATTTTACTTCTAACTTAATACAGATCCTTTTTACACATCATTCTACTCTCTAGTAACAAAGATATACTTTAGATAGACTTATGGATTTTATAAAATAAAACCTAATTTACTGGTAATTTCATAAAACAATATATAATTCCCACAAACACATAAGTAATTATCATATTTTAATCTCCAACCTGAAAAAAAAATATAAACATTTTTCTAGATATAAAGGGTCTACTACAAACCAAAGTCACTGTTATCATCAACAAGAATTATTTCATGAATGAGATGAGCAGGTGAACGCAACAAAACTGTATGCACTGTGCGCAGTAGGGCTGACATTGCTTCATTGTAGAAACAAATTATGACACTCACACTCGGTAAGTCCTCTGAGTATTTCATATCTTTACACCTAAAGGCACAACAAAACATAGTTATCTAAAAAGTTACTTATATAATCAGAAATGAACTTAGATTGATTTTTAAAATGATTATATAGTTTTACCTTTGATTCCGAAAATCCGGTAGTGGTCTGGTATAACTTAATCTATCACTTAACATCTGGTTGAAAGCGTGTGCATGGTATCCTGTTGATTAAAAGAATCTACATGTTCGTAACTATATTATGTCTTTATATATAAATACATAAGGTACAGATAGAGGTTGTTATGACTGTCATTTGTTCGAAAGTTAAATGCTCACCTGCATCATACTTTCTCTGGTCATCCGCTGTTTTCACTGTTGCAAGATTTGCTAAATACAGTTCACTATAGATATCAATTTCATTGATTTGTTCTTGGTGAGCCCTTAAACTCTTATGGTAAGCATAGAAGCTTGTTAAGTTCCAATACAAGAAAAACCAAAAGACTGCACTAAATATCACTAATGCAAGTACAAGCCTTTTTTGCTTTATTCTTAACATATTTTTTACAAGGTTTCAGGTTATCATAACCACCGGCCAGAGTTTAAGTATTTTCTCCTTCAAAGGCTGCCAACAGTTAGGCTGAAAAAAAGAATGTGTGAAATTATTCTAGCTTTTAGTTAATTTATTTATTTATATAGGATTCAAGGTTTACAGAATAATAAGGTAGAATAATTTTAGAAAGGGACTTACTGCTTTATATACTTTACTTGGACAAAAAATTGTAAAAGTGGAAAGATTACAATTTTTAATGTAAAATATTTCTCTTTTAAGGCCCAGTTTAGGGGGAACATGGGAAGGCGGGGTCAGAGGTAGAGCAGATAGATGCTAACATCAAAGACTTGAGTTCATTCTGTATGATGTTTCTGAGCACACTCAGCTCTGATGGATATCTTACTCATGTTTGGGAACATAAAGGCAGCTGGGCATAATGTTGACTACACTATCACTTTATTTATGTCAAGGTCAGAGAAACAGGTGCAATTCTACCTCATCTGCCCCACAGATTTCAAGGTCCAAAAGGGTAACTAAAGTTAGGTTAAAAAATGGATCCCTCCCACCCCCCTGCCTCCTCCACAACAAAATCATGAATACCACTGGGCCTTATGTATACAAGATAGCAACAGTGTTTCTTCGAGACTTTTTTCTCCGGGGGGGCACTTGAAATTTTCGGGGGGGGGGGGGCGCAGTAAACTTTCTTCGGGGGGGGGGGGGGGGGGGGGCGGACACTGTTAAAAGTATATATTCTCTATATAAATTATATAAATTTCATTCCGTTTGGGGGGGGGGGGTAAAAATTTTTGCGGGGGGGGGCTTTGCCCCCCCGAAGAGATGCCTGGAAGAAACTCTGGATAGCAATAGCACTGTCAAGAAACATTGATTTTCTAGTTTCACCTAGATATTAATTGTTATTAGATAGGTGAGGAGGAAACAGAAAGGTGGGTGATTAAAATGTATTATGCCATTTATGGATTATCTTTTAAGTCCCCAACAAAAAAACATCAATACAAATTCATAATACTTAATACAAATGCAAAAATAAAAATTATTTAAAATATTTTTTTCACATGCTGTAAGAATTTCAGATACACCTCCACACTTTACCAGTATTATAGCCTATCAAAGGGTGTCCAGTAGATGCAAGACAAAAACTTTATACTTTCTTTATAGTACAAATACATAGTTAAAAAAATTATACTTACCGTAACTTACCTACTGCTATAGCATCATACATAATTTTATAAATTAGCAAATAAATTAATTAACTAATTAAATATATCTAATGATAATTAATAATTAAGGGAGATAGTTTATTTTGGTTAAGGCACGACACACAACACTGTGCGTGCCTGGTATGTGGCCTGACCTACTGAAAGGAGATTGTTTATAATATATTATTGTTTTGAGTTTATATTTCTCAATGCAACAAGCCCGCCGGTTGGTTGAGGCCACAACGGGGGGACATTCTGACCGGGATTCAAAGGGATGACTCAAAATATCATCCTAATTTTTTATTATTTCTATGGTCAAAATCTAAAAAGCACGTTTTTATTCCATGTCAACAACATGACGGAAGGATTCTCGTCAACTCACTAGCCTCCATTTGGCATTTACATTTGATCATTTAGAATTATTAGGCGGCATTTAATAACTGATATGTACTTAGTAGTGTAGAGTGTAGACTATATAAATAATATCAATTAGTCAATTACACTTATAGAATTATTAGAATCTATGTATTTTAAAATTATAAGTGTCATCTTGTGACAAGTCAGCGATTAGGCATACCAGAATGATGATTGATATGTTGACAAACCATAATAATACACGGGTTGACAACATAGAATCTTGATCATGATCTGAAGTCTAATGCTTAGCAGTTTTAAATTCAGTCTTGTTGAGCTCGCTTCATTTTTGGTCTTGCCATACAAGCGCTTACTTCCAGAGGACGGTTTAGTAAGCAAGGTACAGAGCTGTAACTGTAAGACTTCAGACATTTTAATGACTGGCCTGATTTCTAATCCTTTTATTACAGAAAAGAAAAATATCATTATGATTTTTACTAAATTATATTTTTACTAAATCTAAACTGTAGATTCTAGTTCTTATTCCAATTACCTATTTACCTAGTTTTCAGATTCTATTTTTACTTTATTTTCAAAGTTTTGATCTGGCAAGCTTAATCATATTTGTTATCCCCACTGCTTCATTGAAGTTTATTCATAACTACGCTAGCTAACGTCATTAAAAAATATAGTTTATTTATGCAAAGTAAAAAAAAAATTTAAAAAAAAAAATCTGTATATAAAGATAAGCTCTCTTCTTTTAAGTCTGAGAATCGTCATATGCTCTGTATCTTTCTTATCTATTTACCTGACCTTAATGAAGTTAGTTGAGCGGCGCTTCAGAATTCAGAAAGAAACCATCTAAAATCTAAATTAATAATAATTTTCAATTTTGATTAAAGTAGAGTAAGTAGAGATATAAATATATTTAAATATAAGATCTATTGAAACTTGCAAAATTGTATTGTCTTAAGTTAATGCTCATCGAGTTTTTTTTAATCTTCTGAAATACTAAAGTATTAGTATAGGTCACTAGAGGTAGGCCTGTTGGCCTGTTATAATTATTTTAACAAAGATAAATGTTTTATTACTAGATCTAAGTCTATTATTTTATAATTTATACGTTATACTATACTATACTATGCCCCTATTTTATATTTAAAAATAAATTTATTATTATTGCAGCCACACTGTGATGGAGCATGTTTAATTCAAGATAAATGGTTTTGAGGAGCAGCATAAAATAACAATTTTCTTACCTAGAATTTTTAATAACTAAACAATTCGTAAATACTAATAATATTACTATTAGTAATATGGAACAAGTCAGTGGCAAGTGGTCATTGGTTTTAGCTGTTATATTTTTATTAGTTTCTATTGCAACTTATTACAAAGTAAACTATTTGACAACCTTAAACCTGAATATATGCCTAGTGCCTTTCATGGAAAGAATTTTACCATCATGCAGAATAAATTCTATATTACCTAATTATTCAGAAATTGAAACATATAATTTATGTATGCTACAAAATCAAAAAGAGGAAGCTAGAAAATTAGAAGGTAAGTTATTATAGTTATGTTACTGCTATTTTATAGTTAGGTTTCTGCCTTTTATGCTGTTATGTACTGTAAAACTTTAATCATGGGTAGTAATTTTAAAAGCATAACAAATCATTAATATTGTTTCTATTACTTGGAATGTAATGTAAAATGTTTTTTATGTACTATCAAGGTTTTTTTCAACATGGATTTAATGAGTATGTGAGTGAAAAAATTGGTTTGGTTCGCGCTGTTCCTAATGTTAAACATCCAGCGTGAGTAACATGTGTAAATAATTTACAATTAAATTTACAATTTAAAGTACCACTTAGTGTAGCATATAGTTTCTCATTTAACAAATGGTAATGTGACTCTCTTATCTTTTCCTCAAATAAAATTTAGCCTTACCTATAAGAACTTCATTTACCCAAAGCCTGTACTTATAACACACTTTGAAGCAATAGTAAATTTAAAAATTATGAATAATTAATTATTAATATTTTTTAAAAGTCATTTTCCTTCAAAATAAATATTTTTAAATGAGGAGTATGAAAAATATTAAAATCACCTTATATTTTTGCAGCTGTTTTAAAAAAGTTTACTCAGAGACACTACCTACTGCAAGTATTGTAATGTGTTTCTACAATGAAGCTTGGTCAACACTACTGCGTAGTGTTCACAGTGTTATTTCACAAACTCCTTCAAGACTTTTAAAAGAAATTATTCTTGTTGATGATAATAGCTCTTTAGGTAAATATTTTATAATGATGTTGCAGCAGTATGTTGCTTGATATTTTAATAATCAATCGCTATCTAGGCTAAAGGAGTCTTTTTATTTTTATGCATAAACTAGCTAAATATAATTTAAAAAGAAATTCCCTTGGGCTACAGATCAAGTTCCTATTATTGCTTTGCAGTGGGGTTTGCTTTATTTTTGGCTTTAGATTTAATAGCGTTAGTACTTCTCACATTGCATTAGATACATATAATTCCACCTACATTTAAGCTAAAAAAATGGTATGAAATTAAGTGCTTCTTATCGTGCACATTTATTTACACATTTCAAACCAGATCATCTTAAGGAAGACCTAGAAGCATACATAGATCAGAATTTTACCAATGTAAAGTTGATTAGAAGCAAAGAACGACTTGGATTGATTCGAGCTAGAATGGAAGGAGCAAAACATGCAACTGGTGAGGTAGGCATTATAAAAAAAATATTCTTGTCCTCAAAATAAATAAAAAAATATGTATTATAATCATAAAAGTTACTGTCATACTACTGTAATATTTATATTTCCACTTTGAAACTTGTATATGGCAGCCAATGAACAGTTATTGTATAAAATAGCCCATAGTCGAAGAAGAGCACATTTTTATTTTTAAAAACGTTTATTCTCTTTTGATTCTAGTCTATCTTATTGAGCATAATGCTATAACTCATATTCTGATGTTTCAGATTCTAGTCTTTCTTGACAGTCACATAGAGGCAGGGGATGGGTGGCTTGAACCTTTGTTGGATAGAATAGCTAAAGACAGAACAACTGTTGTTGTTCCTGTAGTGGACACTATAGAGGCAGAGACCATGATCTACAGAAGTGCTGACATCATGAGAGGAGGCTTTACCTGGTCTCTGATGCACAACTGGGAACCTCTACCACTTAAAGATTCATTGGATGTTCAAAAAAATGCCAATCCTTTTCTGTTGGTTTTTTTATCATTTTACTTTTGACTTTAAAAAAAAATTAATTTGTGTTAATTAACCTATAGCTAAATATGCGACTTTACTTTAATTTTACATTTAATACTGTTATGTTCAGTTTAAAAAAAAATATTTACAGCTCTCCAACAATGCCAGGTGGGCTGTTTGCCATGGAAAGAAATTATTTTTATGAGTTAGGTGAATATGACTCTGAGATGGAGATCTGGGGTGGTGAAAATATGGAGATATCATTCAGGGTAAAATTTGAAAGATTATTAAACACAAAAACTAACTTAAATGATTGATAAGCAGTGTTTTATTTGTTTTTTTTTTATTTGCTTTAAACTGACTTATTTTGAAGATAAATTGTTTTTATGTATAGATTTGGCAGTGTGGTGGAAGACTTGAGATTGTACCTTGTTCAAGAGTAGCCCATGTATTTCGGCAGTTTCGTCCTTATGCTGCTCCAGATGGGAAGGACACTGCCACAGTAAACTCTGCAAGAGTTGCTGAAGTTTGGTTAGATGAGTACAAGGTCATTTTGGTTTGCTAATGTTTAATAAAAGAATATTTTCCCCAACTGCACAATTCATAATTAATAAAAATTTACTGGAAAAATTATATGGATTTCAAAACATGTATTTTGAATTAGTTCAAAAACATAAAGCTTGCATTGTTTGTTTATTTCTCATGTTGGTATCATTCTATTTGTGTGTTAACAGAAACATTTTTATGATCTGCGTCCTTTGGCTAAAAGCATGGATATTGGGAATATTGATAGCCGTGTAGAACTGAGGAAAAGATTGAATTGTAAATCATTTAAATGGTTTTTAGAAAATATTCACCCTGAACAGGTATTTATTTGTTTATCATTTATAAATATTAAATTATTATATTTACCTGTACTTTTTAAATAACCTATCAGTAATATATATATAATATCCTATTACTAATCATTTTTGTAGGCAAACGAAGATAATCAAATTTTCACTTTACTGAACTAATCAATTTAATACAATCTTCATTACAACATTGTTTCTCTTTTTAATGTACACAATATTTTATCCTCAGCTTCTCTTCCTCTAAACATATTGTTCAGCATTTAATTGTATTAGACACAATTATAGATTAAATATAGTTAACTACCTGTATATGTCAATTTCCTTAGGATATTATTCATTTTGTCAAGAAAACACCTCACCATTTAAAAAAAGTTTTATTTTGTATTAAAATGTATTTTTACAGCTTGTTTTTACTTTATTTTAGTTTGTTCCAGGAGAAAAAGCTAAAGTTCCTAACACTTTAGGACTTAAAAAAGATCTTCCTGAAAGTAAAGTTAAACTCCAAGGAGATGTAAGTAAACTCATTTTGTATATCACATTTAAAATTACTTAAGTGGGTGTTAGCTAAATTACACTCTACATTTTCAGCTGATACACACGCCATCAGGACTTTGTATCAGGCCACAGTCAGATCCACCTGCCAAGGAAGATTTTTTGCTTTTAACATCATGTCACAATATTAAAAAATTGGTACCAGTATGTTATTTTTATGCAGTCACTTTTACTATTCTTATTTAAACCCTAATATTTATTGTTTGAAACTACATGTGAAATTTAGTTTGGACTTCTGTCCTGGATGTTCAGTGATCATTAAAATTAATGAGATTCATTAACAATAAATTTATTAATATTTATTGTTCAGGTATCTTTAATAAGTATGAATTTGGTTTCCTAGGATTTTCTAGTAACTGAAGATTATCAAATCAAGCTGCGAGGAACAAGGTTTTGTTTAGAGACAAAAGAAACCAAAACTGAGTCCACTTCCGTGAATGTCATGAAGTGCCATTCCAGTGGTGGAGCACAGACCTGGATACAGAAACAGGATCCAAACAACACTGTGAGTCTATTTTTTGTTGTATAATGTATTTTTCTAACCATCCACTATTTTTTCATTCTTTTACTTTTAAAACAAATTGCTTCTTGTGATGTGTTAAAATTAACAAAAAGAACTAAAGTATATTTGGTGTTTTTCTTATTACTAAGGTTATTAAAAAGTAAAGTTTCCTTTTCGAACCTGACGATTCTAGGGGCAACTGAAGTATAGTTCACCTCAGCACTATGCCCAGCCACTTTTACTTTCCTTTAAGTTTGTTAGGTACCCATCATAGCTGGGTGGACTCAGGGACCTTCAACTGGCTTGAATCTGGATTAAAACTTGAGACTTTCGGTTAGCAGTCTAGAGCTATACCATCCGATATTAATTAGGTTATAAAGAAAAAAATAATTGAAACATGAATGTTGTTCAATGCAGCAATGTATATTGTGCTATATTATTTCAGGAATCTTTTCTTCTCTTTAACCCTGCTAGTGGAAAGTGTTTATCTGCACCTATTGCGCAAAAAGAAGAGAGGCTAAAAATGAAACTTTGCTCTTATACAAGTGCACAGTTATTTACAGTTCAATCTAGATAAATATTATAACATAACAATATGCAGGCTGCCAAAGAAATGCAACCATATATTGTTGGTTAAACAATGTTATGTTAAGTCTTGAGAAGTTTATTTAATTTCTTTTGTCAAGTTTTGATTTTTTTAAAGAATAAAATATTAAAATTGTTTTTGTAAAAAAGAGCACTATTCGTAGAATATTTCACCTAAATTAAATCTGGATAATTTTTTCAAGAAGTTGTATATCATTATTTTAAATAATTTATACATTTTAAAACTATTATTTTTAATGTTTTTATCATTATACTTAACTTATGACATTCCTAACTACATTTTGAACTACATTAGTCTGACTGATCTTAGATTTCATTTGTTGTTTTTGTAGATTAATTTAAATCCCCAACATCTCTTTTCTCTATACAAAAAGAAAGCTTAAGTGTTTTTTAGACTGTAGGTTGCTAATATAATACTTTATTATTGACAACAGGTATGCATGGTAAATTTAAATAATGTGTTTTTATACCTATCACTTTATTTTTGTGTTTTATTTAAATACTTTATATTGTAAGAACATTATGCTAGCCACTTTAGAAAAAGTGCTGCTGTGTGATATATACCTAGTGATGGAATAAGATTTGATCACCAGTTATTGTGGGGTTCTGATTTCCCTGTAGAATGTTAAGTTCACAATTATAATATAACTTATTTTATTTTTTTTTATGCTTGACTTTCTTTGGGTGTTAATTTACCCATTGCTTATGAACCTTCTTTTTAGTTTTTTTTTATAATTGATGGAGCAGTTTTTATTTTATGGTAGTAAAAGGAGATGAACTAAAGTTCATTGGGTTTAGGGACTAAACACAAATCCAAATAATGTTAAAATTTTGTTTGGGAGTTTACGTGAGAGGGCAAGAATTACATGGCAGGGTTGGTTACATTATGCTGGTTGTTACGTGGCATGATTATAATGTGGCTGTTAAACCTCTTAGGTGGTGTGACTGAAATAAGCAATGGTGATAAATACTTATTTAGTGTTGTTTTTTTGCAAACTTATGAGATTAATTTAATGTTCTGTAAGTATACAATCAAAAGCTATCGACCATTTATACAATGTTGCCTCAAACTTAACACTTTTATATAATTGCTAATAGTTAAATTTAATTTAACAAATATGTAAACTTGCAGATGAATAGATCTGCTGAAATGTAAAAAAAATGTTTTCTAACAGTTTGTACATTATTTCTGTTAGTTATCTAATGGCTCAGAGTTACACTTTCAAGCATTATATTAAAAAAATGATTACCATTGTGATATGTTCGAAAAAGATTATTTTGATATTTGTTATACTTCATAATAATTTAAAAATGGAACTGCATTTGAATGAAAGCTTTAATGTGTAATTAAATTTTTGACTGTTTTTTAAATTTCTTTTCATTTAAAGCAATTTAAAAAAATTTAATAGTTTGAGAGACTTTTGTAAATTATTTGACCAGAAAATATTCTTCCATTAAAAAAATGTAATCATTATACTTAAAACAATACATTTTATATTTTATGAACACATTTTAGCAAATAAAATATTTATGAATTTGTTTTTTACTTGGCCTGATACATTATTTGGTAGAATTTTCAATGAATTTGAATTGTCAAAATACACATATTAAATGTATTATTTGATTATATTAATACATCAAGCTCATTTACTGTGTAAAAAATTTTCATTAATTTTTTTAAAGGCAATAAACATTTTTCTAGTCATTGTTTAGCTTTACAATTTAGTAAAAGCATTATACATATTGTTATTGTACAATGTATTTAATACAGTTTATATTATTATATTTAATGGTTTACTAGCACACCAGGGTATTGACATTAAAAAATGATCTTTTCACTGTGCTTTTGTTAACAAGTACATACATTTTTTAAAACTGTTAATTTAATTTTTTTAAAATCATTTTGGTTATATATTTATATTTTTGATTTTTGCATAGACTTTCAAAATATTTCTTATTGTGCATAAGTATATGTTAAATTAAATAAATTAATTCACTTCTTATCCCTACATTCTCACATCAATTCCCCTATTTCAGAAATAACTACCACCACAACTCTCTTTTGATAGTCTTTTGATGTGTCTCTTGAGTTTAGTCAGATAAGTCGAGGGTGGTTGGCCATTTTGCTAACCAGTCTATTCATTTACAGCATTAGTTTTAGAAAAAGCCAAACTCTCATCAGCATTGTTTACTTTTATAATTGAATAATGGAACATTTTGTTTCTGATAAGGATGTATGATGATGATGATGATGAGTACTTGTTTATTTAACTATTTTGGGGTGTGGTATTTTATAATCACTATTTGATTTGATGAAAATGTATAATAAACAATCTTTTAATACATTTCTTCTTTTCTAATTCATGTATCTCACCGTATGTAAGTCTGTTATATTTTATTGTTAGAATTTTTCCACAGAGTTAACCCTAAAAATAAAGTATGAGAAGCAATATTTTTCTACTAGTGTTATGCTATGGTCAAGGTTAGCTTAGCAATGATAGCACAATAGTTTGGATGAGTTTTCACATAAGCCATAATGTGTATTTTCTAATGGTGCAGACTAGTTAACTAATTATGATCCATAAATGATGTCACTCTATTATACCTTTATCAGGGGGGTGAAGCATACATGTGTGCACATGTAGACCTATAGGTCTACACATATTTAAAATGTATACTTAAACTGTAGTATAGATTATTGCCAATGAATTGCCTTTGTGTGTGCAAATATGTAGGCAAAAAAAATTGAACCTTCCACCACCTACCCCATCCATGAAAAATGATCTTAGGTCATTAAATATATGGAAAATGAGAGCATTGAAAGCCACACAAGACTAGCCTAGCAGATGAAAGAAAGTCATACAAGAGCCTACAAAAAGTATGTGCAGAGTGTTTTCAAGGCACCTCTTGAGGGGGGCACTGCCACACCCCTCCCCCCCCACCTAACGAACAAAGTAGAATTTATATAGAAAATAAATAGTATTAAATACTAAATAGGCCTATTTTAATCAATGCCCCCCCCCTCCCCCCAGCACCCAGCAATAAAATTTTTGAAATAAATACTGAGTGTGTTACTACATGAGGAAAGGGAACCTACACGATAAGATTGTATACGCGATGAGTATTTTATATTAACTATATAAAAATAATGCTGCACACCTTTATAAAATCAAATATATCTAATATCTAGATCTATGCGCCTGAAATCTAAAATCTATGTCTAGGTATTTAGTATCTAAGGTCAAATTTTTCGAAAACATTATACATGCGCGCACGCGTAAAGCCAGTAAAGGAGCAGGGGAAGCAAATGAAATTTACTGTCGTCAAGGAGTTCAAAATGTCCGACCAGCCTAAACATGGACCTCCCCATGGGATGGAAAAACATGATTTAGGTGGACATGATGATCTTGGTGGTTTAAGTCATGCTCAGCAAGCGGACCTTAATCAATTTAAGGTTTAGAAATTTAAAAAAATAATAATATTTACTTTTGTTTCTATATTAATGATGGATAATTTTAATTTAGATCTACTCTAGTAGTAGACAGTCTCACTCAGTCTAGTGACTCTAGTGTCTAGATTTAAACTAGATTGATCCAGCTCTCTTCTTGTTCTTGACTTCTGAGTTCTCTCAGTCTCCTGTTTGTTAGTACTTACTTAGTAATACTTAGATCTAGATTTTCTAGTAATTAATCTAGATCTAGTATTTGTAATTAGAATATAGACTAAAATACTAGATACTAAATCCACCAATGATAATGTTACGTAGATCTAGTCTCTAGCTAGAGCTAGATTTGTGACTTCCTCAGACTTAGTGATTAAATTTTTAAAATCTAGATTTCTAGAAAAATGAAAATGTAGCAGGTTTGGATTGATCTAGAATATGAGAGAAGATCTAGAAAAATATTCTCTGAAACTGTAGTTGTAGTCTTGTAAGCAATTTAAGAACTAGATCTATAAGAAGTTAGTAGACTAGAATCTAGATCTACCACTTTACAAAATATGAGTGATTAACAAAAAATTAACAGTGATGTGAAATCTCTGTTCTCCTCTGACCTCTACGGTTCTGAGACATTGAGGGTAATGCAATCTATTAACAACAAACATAGACTTTCATTAACGAATGCCTCCGCAGCATATTGAACAATGCTGAGCTGTGGTGAAAAACTGGGCTAGACCCTATTGGCAAAGAAATACAAAAGCGCAAATACCGAAATAGGGATGGATTGAGCTCAATCAGCTACATAATAAAACAATATGCTGAATGGGAGTCTCCCATCTATATCACCTTTGTAGATTTTGAAAAAGCTTTTGACAGAGAATCTATTTTGTCAGCAATGACACAATGGAATCCCAACCAAAGTAATCACAGTCATCAAAAACTTCTATGAGGACTTTCCTGTTGGCTTTGAGTGGGGTCACAAAAGAAGCATATTAAAATCTAAGCTGAAAGAATTTTATACGTTTCGTTGAATCTTCCAACAACCAGGCAAAATCCTTAGCAAAATCCCTAACTGTTATCTTCCTTATTGCTTTGGTTATTTTCGTCACACTGCAGCTGATCCATAATAATTATTTAATATTTTACTTACATGTTTTTTTTTAAAGGTAAAAACAAGAATTGGCAATGAAAAATATTTAAGAGATCACCCTGAAGTAGAGTGTTTGATTGCTGGATTTTTAAGGTAATATAAAAAGTTAGCTTTTTCAAATGTGAAACTACCCTGAGACATAATTATCAAGTACCCAAATTTCATGCCGAATTCAACTATGTAAAACTGACTAAATTAAAAAAGTGTGTTTGCAAATTATACATTGGACTTTTTAATTCAATTTAAACTTCCATCCCCATTTTTTGGTTTACATTTAAATAAAGCAAAATCCAGTAACAAGATCTTACTGATCCTGTATTTAAATTATAAGGTAAATATATAATTTTTGTCCGATTGGGGAAATATATGTTTGTTACCCTCAACAGTTTTCAGATCTATATCATAGTAAAAGAGCAATAGCTTTACTTAAATTAGATGCATTTAGAAATGTAACTGGAAGTTACTTTGATATTAAAATAGGTGGCATCCTTAAAAGATGTCAAGCTTTTTAAAACACTTTTTGTCTCTCCCCCTCTCCTTCCCCTTACCACCATAGTCACAAAAATTGCTGTTTTTTTAAAACAGTGATTTTTTAAATAAAATATTGACTGAGTTCTTTCAACATTGAACATATTGATCAAATTGATCAATTTTCTTTTTATAACTTACAAAAATAAAAGTCTTTTAAAACTAAATAATGGTTAAAATTGATTTCTAATATTACTTTTTAAAATGCAAAACTGTGCAGTCACACTTTCTGACTCAAATCCCATCACTCACACATCATTTTTGAAAATACCATATAGTGATGTTCTCTCAACTGATAGCAATGTGTATAACTTGAATTTTTTTTTTTTAGTGATGTCCTCACAAAGCGACCAGAAAGCATTAGAGAATTTGCTGCAGGTGAGTAGTCAATATTTAATTTTGAAATCAAATACAATGACTAACTATATCTTATAATTTGTGTGTTGATGTAATTGGATATTAAAACAAAATGGCTGAACTTTCAAGGGTTAAATAATTAATTTTTAACAGGCTCTACAAATCTGTATCTGCAGCATGGATACATTTTAAAATATGAATGTATTTGTGTTCAATTTGACATGTAAATCAGACAAACATGTAATTTTTTAAAGAAAAAATTTGAGTTAAAACATGGAATGATCTTATAATTTATAGTAAGAAAATATTGGTTAAAAATGCTCTGAAATATTAATCATATAGATTTAGCTAATAATTGTTAGTATTGTTAGGCAAAAAATAGTTTGCCTATTATTCGAAATTACTTGAAAAAGAATTTTATTCATAGAAATCATTTATTTTACTCAACTGATAACAATAAACTATACTTTCAGAATATTTTACCAACCCAGGACTTGCTGACAAAGTGGAGAGCCAACTGGCTGGTCGTCAAGAAACACTGAAACAAAACCGTGTCATTCAAAGCTTGACTTAAAATGTATTTTAGTCATTTTTATAGAGATTTTTCTTGAATAAAAAGTACATGTAACAAGAAATAATTATTATATTTTAGAATAAGGTTTTTTTAATCAGCCAGAATGTCACATTTTCAGTGGTACCTAAAAAATAAAATAAATAAAAAAAATAACTAATGTTTCAATGTTACGAGCAAGTAAAGTCTTATTGTTTACATTTCTTTACAGAAGTTAAATAAGGTTGATATAATTTCACTTACAGTTACACTGAAAGCATAAAATATGAATGATCATAAAAAAAACATTTAGCCTACTAAAAAGTAAATTGTTATTGTTAGTGTGTTGTAGGTAGGTGTTAAGATTTTTATTTCTGTGATAACAACTGATTTTATATCTGCATAATATTTTTTCCTATTACTATTACAATAGGCCAGGTATATTTAATGTGTTACACTGGTGAGTGAGACAGACTCCACAGAATCTCATGTTATTGACTTGAAAAATTTTGCTTCTGTGCATTGAATGTCATTTATATCTATTGTATACTTTTATTTGTTAGGTGATGGTGTTTAAGTGACTGCTTCTCTCTCTTCTTCCCCTATGAGCCATAAAAAAATTAATTTAAGTTTGTTTTAAGTACTGGTATAAAAATACTTTTACTTTGAAAAGTCTTATAATTCCTTACAATAAGGACATCCTAATTTATTCTTCACATTAGCATAGTAACTTTTAGCTCATTCATTCATAATTTTATTATCATCTTTATTTGTTATTGAATGTTGTCTTTATTTAAGATAATGCATTGATAATGACAAAAATATTTTTTGTGTTAAACATTAAACACTTAAAATCTAACTCTGAAGTTGTCCTTACTTAAAAATACAGTCTGTTGGAAGAAAGACTTTATGCACTATTTTAAAAGTAATAAAAATAAGGTTAAAATGTCTACAACTACTATGCCATTAGCATGCTGTGTTGCTTTTACTTTAAATTAAAGTTTAATAAAAGTTTAGTTCCCTTCTTTGACCCTGATGGTCCATGGGGTAAGTGAAGTAGATTTCACCTGTTACTGTGACCTCAACAAATGAAGAGATAGTGTGGTCAGCACTCTGCTTACTTAATCCTCATCACTCCCTGTGGAGTATAGGGCAGCAACAAATCTCCGCCATTCCACCCTGTCCTGGGCGAGCCACTTTAGTACATGCCAGGTTTTGCCAGTAGCCTGTACTTCTTCTTCCATCTCCCTCCTCCATGTTCCCAGTGGTCTTCCTCTATTTCTCTTTCCGGGTGGGTTCCACTTCAGCGCCATGTTGGGGAGTCTTTTTTATTTTTTATTTTATTTTTTTATCTTAGCCGCCTTTATTTTCCCTAAAATTAGTTAGTTAGGCCACCTGTCAGAGCTTTTTGGACTCAGGGACGTTCTACTTACTTCAACCCGGGTTTGATCTCTATTTTACTTTAATACACTAATAAAATAATTTGTTCTGATTATTGTCCTGAATGTTATGGCCCACATTTCCAGTTATCTACAATATCTGTTAGATGCAGATGGTTTGAATAATTATAACTACCTATTGTGTAAAAATCTCTGTTCAATTGTTTGGGTAAATTTGAACTAGAAATGTTATCCTAGTATTCCTGATGAAAAACTACTGAACTCCAAGCTGTTTATCATAATAAATGACCACCCTAGTTATAACAAATGAATGTAGGTTTGTATGGAAAATTTAATATAGATAGACTCTAGTTTGGATGCTTTAGAGTATAACTTTTAAAAAAATATTCTGTTTTTTTTTCAAGAATTGCATATTGGAATATTTAATTGACTCCCACCACTAAAATAAAAAACCTTCCAAATTTTAATCAATGGATGAAAATTCTTTCATAAGACCTCAGAGTAAGAGTAATAATAAGGTTCATTACCATATAATTTATATAATGTATGGCGATGTAGCATGCTGGAGGAGGTCAAAAGGATAGAAAGGAATTGGAAACAGCTGAAAAGAGTGGCAGGAGACCTAGAAGAGTAGAAGGTTTTGACAAATGCTCGATGCTCTCCGCAAGGAACTTAAAGAAAAAATGATGATGATATAATGTACTGCATCAATATAATATTATATATAAAATCATCACAGCGGGCCGAAATAAAGCGAAAAGAAAAAAATGTGTTGGTTAAAGGAGATATCGTATGCTTACTTAAAATTATAATATTATACAAAACGAAGTAAAGAAAATTTCGAAATAATTTTTAGTTGATAAGGGGCGTGACTCCAGACAGAAAACATTCAGAGTTATCACGTGATTCGCAAAATGGCTGATGGAGTGGAACCTCCCCCATTCGACAATGATGAAGATGAAGTCAAAGAAGATGATGATTTGTTTTCTGATGCCAAGGAGGTATAAATTTCACTTAGTTAAGATTCAAAGATAATTTTGGTGTTTCAAATGCATATTTACCCATCACAATAAGACCCATAATTTATATAAACACAGCTCCAGTTTATGTTATGCTTCCGGCATTTAAAAGAAAAAATTGCACAAACTAAAATTAGTAAAATTATTAAAATAGCACGGATTTCTTTTTTGTCACAATAATATATTATTAATTATTGCTAGATTTAGTCAGTAATAGTTTAACCCTTTATTTGATTAATTTACCTGTTTAATAGTTAGAGCCTACAAAAAAGTAAGCTTGAGTTTGTTCTTTTAGCTAAACTAAAGCAAAAAACATTCTCTGACTGTTGCAATTAAATAAAAATTGTTAGGTTGTTATATTGTTATATGTAAATTGAAAGCGGGTGGGTAGGTTACAATAACTCAATGCAAGTTGGGTACACCAACCGGATGATATTTAGAATCGACCCTTTGAATCCCGGTCAGATCGTCCCCCCGGCGTGGCCTCAACCAACCGGCGGGCTCGTTGCATTGAGTTAAATATAAACTCAAAACAATAATATAAACAATCTCCTTTCGGTCGGTCAGGCCACATACCACGCACGCATAGTGTTGTGTGTCGTGCCTTAACCAAAATAAACTATCTCCCTTCATTATCATTAGACTTAATTAATTAATTAATTTGCTAATTATAAAATTATGTATGATGCTATAGAAGTAGGTAAGTATAATTTTTTACTTTGTATTTGTACTATTAAACATATTAAAGAACATCGTTGTTTCAATACCACCCTCTCCCCTTCTTGAGCTCAAAGGTAAACTTTTAACCCTTTTTTAAAGACTAGCGGTATTCTGTAAGGCGGCGGGTGGGTAGGGTATATACTCATTGGAAAAAAAAAATCCTCCGTGGTTCGTGTTATTGGCCTTGGGTGACCGTTGTTGGCGCTTGCTGTGAGGGGGAGAGGGGGGTGTGTTATACTCGTTGAAAAAAAAAATGCTCCGTGGTATTGGTCTATGATGACGTCGTCGGCGCAAGCGTGAAAGGGGGGGGAGACTTTTTTTTTTAAACCAAGAACTAGGCGTTTCGAGGCAGTAATGAAAATAATCAAGGACTGGTATAGCCATGTTGTCGAATTTAACGAGTGATGCTTGCTGGGTCTATCATCATACGATTGCTTGGCGATGGGAGTCTCGTCAAGCTCAGTTTACATTATTAACCAGTGAACTATTGGGATGCTGTCATGCACAAAGTAACAGCTACCGAATGTAGCACTTAAAACATCGAGTGCATCCCGCTCATTATAAATCTTTGAAATACAAGTTATGGATAGTCCAATAACTACTAATACTTGAAGGACGGACTGCCAGAATATATGCATTGTATTATAAAATTAATCCTTACGATATAACTAAAATGTGCATCCAAATATGTTTAGGCTAATGGGATCTGCATTTAAATAAACAAAGTCAAATACCTACCCTATTCAGTAGAAATATTAGGCTACTTTTGCATGGTAGCACAACCACATTTTTTTAGATTTCGTAATGAGTAGCCTAGTCGTGCATTAAACTAGAATAAAGGGTTGTACTCAATAGCAATGACAATAATGAAATGCCGGCTTCAAATGCCGGCTTCCCCGTATTCTTCGACTAGAAATATAGCTCCGTCGTTTAAATGACACCACCCTCCACCTTTTGCCTAGTTGAATATAAAGTTACACTTTCAACCCCGTTAGGATGCGTGAGCTACTGGTGACCTAACTATTGAAAAAAAAATCTAATTCCCCTCCCCTACTCCCAGCATTTAACTTTGGGGCCATACACAGCATCAGGAAGGTCTAGGTCGGTGTTTTATCTCGTGCAAGTTTACTCACAACACGACTACACACTATGGTTCTATCCAGGATTAAAGCTGCGACACTTACTTAGAGTGGGATTTATTCGTTAGATCATTGTGCTTCAAATTTTGTTTCATTTTAGGATTAGAGTGATAGAATGTTGGAATTCAGTTAGTTTGTTAATTAATATATTGATCTAAATCTCGTGTACCATCAGAAACTAAATTTGTTGGCAAGGCACATGTGTAGGCTAAAGAATGACCTCTAGATCGAGCCAAAGATGGCTGGTTAAGGTTGACATACTGTGGTTTTCAAATTTCATGGTGATGCTTTTCTAACGGATTTTATTTTGTGCTTTCTTTGGGATTATTTTGTGTGATGTGAATATTCAAAAGTAATTTGTAAGTAGTATGCTTTTCACATTCAACAAATTTAACAGTTTGCGGTCGATCTGCGGCCGGCTGATTAATTTACATTTAGCGAAACTGCACACTACACGGCGCCCTAAGGCCGTTGTTTCAGCATGCCCTACTAGTCAATTATAGTTATTATAGACAACTTTAGAATCAACACATGTAACCAATACATCGATTTTTATTTAATAATCTTCAAAAGCCATTCCTCTAGGGTCGTTATTTTCACGAAATTGTTGTTTTCCAATTTGTTGTCAAGAAACTGGTATTTAGTTAACGAGAACGTACGAAAACCACTCATGCGTGACCGAAATAGTCGATCGGGTGCCTTCACGTGGTTTGACACGTGTTGACATGGGCCTTTGTTTACATCGAAACATAGCTCAAAACGGCCCTTTTTTAAATAAATTCTTCGAAAAAATGGCTATGTCCATTTCTAAAAAGTGTCATTTTCGGGCCCATTTTAAAAAACGTAAAAAAATCCGAACTACACGTAGAAAAAATGGCTTTTTCGGCCCTTTTTAGCTCCAAAAACGCCGTGTTTACGGGTCGCGTGACGTCATCGTGACGTCAGCCGCCAACCAAAACGCGTTGAAAGCGCGTGTTTGATTGGTTGGCGGCGGATACTATGAAATATCAAGGGTTTTCTCTAAATTTTTACCCACCAACCTTGGCAAACCAAACACTAAACTAGCTAACCAAATGAAAAATAATAATTTTAGAGGGTGTAATATGTAAGGTACAGTTTATCTGTATCATTGACCTCAGAATATGAAGGTATAGTGTGATAGTTCTATTTCTTGCTACCTATATTTTTGGTTGCCTAATAGAACTAAATTGAATGCTCTCTTCCTCACCCGCCCATCTGAAATTGCAAGACTGGGTTAAAATTTGCTATTTTTGTTTATATGTGCATAATGAAATAAATAAATGTTTTCAAGAAATTATACTTTTATTTTCATCAACTTCTTAGAAACCATCCTCTCCAGAAACAGAGAAATCCCCAGAACATGTCTATAGTAGACCACCTGTGATTGATAAATCTTCTGATGATGAAGATAAAGATGAGGATGAAGATCTTTTTAAAGGTATATATATAATATTTTTGTTACTACTCATGTTGTTTAAAATTACAAATACAATTGTTAATAAAAACTAATAAAATAAAATATGATTAGGCCTATGTGTGTATATATATATATATATATATATATATATATATATATATATATATATATATATATATATATATATATATATATATATATATATATATATATATATATATATATATATATATATATATATATATATATATATATATATATATATATATATATATATATATATACACATTTAATTATGTTTAGGTGGTAGTTCTGAAATTAAGTTAGACTCTGATGAAGATGCTGAAGAAGAGAACATTACAAAGAAAACGCCAGAGCCTAAGCCTAATGCTGCAGTTGGAGCCACTGCTAAAGAATCGACACCACAGATTCCTATCTCACAGGCAGTAACAGCAAAGACAAAAGTAGCAGCTCCTTCTTTGAAGAATGATGATGTAATTGCATTTTACTCTTTTGTATTTGTATTGTAAAATATGTTTTAAACATGATTATTTTGTTTTCTTTGTCATGTTAAAATTTGCTTTTTTATAACAATGAGAATAGATTCTCAGTAGGATTTTTAAAAATGTTATACCTATACCCTTGTGGTTCTGTCGTATACAATTCCAATTATTTTGTTGAATATTTTGTTTTTTTAGGTAGCAGAAAGTTCTGATGACAAGGAAGTTTATGAGATTGATATTAAAATAACTGAAACATTGAAAATGGGAGATGGAATGTCAGCCTACATAGTGTATAAAATAGTCAGTAAGGTAAGATGATTTTGTGAACTAGTTCTCTGAAAATTTAGTTCTCTGAAGCTTGGGTGCTATTAGTCCCATTTTAAAATGTTATTGAAGAACATTTTTTAAAATTTTCAGACCACTAACCCAAATTACAGACGTCCTGAAAATGCAGTTCTTCGACGTTTTAGTGACTTTTTGGGCATGCATGCCAAATTGGCTGATAAACATGTGCCTTTGGGAATTATTGTGCCACCTGCTCCAGAAAAAAGTGTTATTGGTGAGACAGTTCTGATGCCAAATTTTTTCATATATGTGTGGTTTATCTAAAGAAAAACTAGATTTATCCTTCATTTTTTAAAAATTAAGTAAATAATAAAAGTATTGTTTAACTGATTATGAATGAGAATTTAGTTATTTTTTTTTAGTCACTTATTGAGATTTAGTGGTTAAAAATCTGAATTATATTCAGGTATGACAAAAGTTAAGATGTCCAAAGAGGAATCAGGTTCATCAGATTTTGTAGAAAGACGTCGAGCTGCGCTTGAAAGGTGAAATATTTTTATTTATGAATTAAAAATAAGAAAATTTCAACATCTTGTTTATTAAACTTGTATTTATATTGAGAACTTTGTTACTAAATATTTTTTTTTTTATTGTAGATTTCTTATTCGCACTGCAGCACACCCAACACTGGCTAGTGATCCAGATTTTATTGAATTTCTTGCAAAAGATGGGGACCTTCCAAAGTCTACTAGCACTTCTGCTTTGAGTGGAGCTGGTGTCATGAGATTGTTTCATAAAGTCGGAGAGTCCTTTGAGAAAATTACCTTGAAGGTTGACGAGAGTGATGAGGTTGGTTAATATTTTATTTACGGTTAGGTGTGAATTTAGGTTTTTTTCTTATCCATAAACCACAACCTAATGCTTCAACATGTTATTTAAACCATAGACCACAGGTAACAACTTAATGAAAATTTTAATTTAAACCATAGTGACAATTTGGGTAACATTTTCTCAGCTTGCCAAGATTTCATGATTATCACTATGAAGACTTGCAAATCAAAATCTCTGTACAGATATGTTCCATAAATGGAAATATATTTTTATTACTGTGTGTAACATTTATGTAAAGCTTTTAAATTTTAATTCAAGAGATCAGCTTTAACTGGTTTACTAAATATTTTGTAAATTTTGTTAGTTGATTACATTTTTAGCATTTTAACATCTGTTTATGAAGTCTCTTTCTCCCTATACTGAGCTTCTTTTGTGTACATGAAATATGTATAGACTTGCAGTCGTATTAGATCTAACCTTACTTTTGAATTTTAACCTCATTTATATGTCAGTGAACGATTAATTTAAAAGATTTTCTTTAAAAAAATGAGTTTGAACAGTTTTAATGCTGTGTCTGATGGCGTTGTACACAAATGTTTTCACTTTGAAGAAGATAATTTCAAGGGGTAAAATTGTGTAGGGTAATTATATATAGCCATGAACTGAAAGGCTTTGAAATTGCTCGTAATATTTTTAATTCAACATAAGCATTTTGTAATAATTAACTAAACTTGATAATCCGTATGTTAGATAAATATTAACTTTAAGGGTTCATTTTAAAAATACGATGCTTATTAAATATATATATATATAATATTTTATATTATATACTTACATAAAACCCTCATTAGAACAAAGCTAGAATTTAATCCTCTTTTTAAAAAATAAAACCCTTTTTCCAAATAGCTACAGCAGCAAATGCTAATAGTATTTTCCTGACTGCCCATAGCATTAATACAATATTAGTTCATTTGTACTTGTGTCATGGAATTAAAAAGTATAATACAGAATTTAAAGCAAATAGAAAGAAAACCCAACCTTATTCCCTCCCTTGTCTATCACTGTCTCCCCTGAACCACCCATCAAATCTGCAGTCATGGGGTTTATATCTCCATAACTATTTTTGCTCAATCATCCCACGATCTCCCTCGGGCCAGTGGAATCAAGAGGTGGAGGTAACAAATATTCACTATTTTTGTGTGTTTTTAATCACATTTCTTAATTAATTAGTGATGTTCGTTGGATTGTTTTTTCATGTTTTAGCTTGCATAATCCAAAATTTATTTGCCTCCCCCATTATAATTGTATTTATTTTATATATTGTGGTTCAGATTCATCTGTTCTCTTTCTAATCTTCCATTTTGCATGACTGCATCCTTAATGTGGATTATTGTGGCACTTAAGCATTCTTTTTAGATTGTGCATATTTGTTTGCATTTAACTTCAAAAAACCATATTAATGAATGTAAAAAACTCTTTTATGTCATGCTGTCGATTATTTTTTTTACATTTCCTTTAAAATTTTGTTAATAACATACATTATGTTGTAAATATATTTCAATATATTTTGTTTTTTAGTCTAATTATTTGATAGTTTTCTGTCATTACATTTTGTTAATCTTTAATGTTTTTTATTTAAAGCATGTGAAAGCATTTATATATAAACTTAAAGGCATTGATCATCTGAAAACTTTAAAATTATGAAACAGAGTTCATTAGTAATATGAGAAGCCATAATTGTCGATTAACTCTGGCTTGTGCTAAGCTTTGAATATTAGTATACTGTGTTTAGGTATTGTTTAATTGTTGCCTGTAGAAATTTCCCATGAAAACATTTGTGTACCAATGTCTAGAGCTTTCTTTATATTGTATTGATTGTTATTGGAGCAAAATATGATATACACATCCGTGACATAATAGATATAAAAAAAATGTTAATTACTTTGAACATTAAATGATTAAGGGGGTTGTCCATATATGAAATCACTTTGCTGGGGTTACTTATAAGTAGATGAGGGGGGAGGGGTGAGGAAGTGTGATATCACATTTATATATTTTACAAAGGTTTTTTTAAGTGGGGTTTTGTAAATTGTTATAAAAATTGATAGTTGCATCAATATTGAAACAAAGTTGCTAAAATTTTCGGTATTAATAGTGTTATTATTAGTGACGTTTTTGGTTAATCATCACATACCTGGCAAAAAATTAACAATGTATTCTTGCAAAGGTTAACTATTTTCAGTAAAATTGAAATAACTTTATTTATATTTCCTTATGGAAATAAAACCAGAAAGTATGGAGTTGTAGGCAAAAGTTTGAAATCAGTTTAAGTGAAGGAGTATTGGGTAAAAATTTGGAGAAAAATATGACATCATTTATGGTCACCCCTTATTGTATTTTACAAAATTTACTGTTAACATTAAAAATATTAGTAGTTTTTTTTTTTTTTTTTGACAACTTGAAAATTTAATTTGAAAAACAAAAGTTGACTGAGTAAGCAATACTTTGAAAATGAAAGATTCTTGTTCATTTATTCTGATTAAAGTAAATGAAAAATGTATTTTTTATTCTAGTGGTTTGAAGAGAAACAACAGCAAGTTGAGGCATTAGATATACAGCTGAGAAAACTTCATACCAATATAGAGACTCTCTCACAGCATCGTAAAGGTAGAAGATATATCACATTTATTAAAGATATTATTTACTCTCTGGAACATTCATTGTTATATTTTTACTTTTTGATAGTTTTTTTAAAGCAATTTTTAAGTTAAAAAAAGAATAAAGTTTCTAATATACAGTATAATTTAACAATTTTAACAGAGTTGAGTCAAAGCACTGCAGTATTTGCCAAAAGTGCAGCGATGCTTGGGAATGTAGAAGAACATACTGCACTCTCACGGGCATTGTCGCAACTGGCTGAGACCGAAGAAAAAATTGAGCAGATGCACAAAGAGCAGGCAGAGGCAGATTTCTTTGTAATGGCAGAGTTGATGAAGGACTATGTCGCTCTTATGGGGGCTGTCAAAGTAATTTATTCTTTGCTACTATCCATGATTAAATACTTACTATTTGCCCAGTTGTTGTCCTTTAAAATAAACAATGTTGTATTTACCTTTGTATTTGATAAACTATATATAATTTTTAAAATTATTTTAAAAAATCTGTAATAAATTTGACAGGCTGAGAAATAAGTCAATAATATGATCCTTACAAATGATAATTGTATGTTACAGGATGTTTTCCATGAGAGAATCAAGACATACAAACTTTGGAAAGATGCAGAAGCCACTCTGGGCAAGAAGAGAGAGAACAAGGCCAAGCTAGAGATGCAAAACAAAACTGATAAAATATCACAAGCTAAAGCTGAGATTGAAGAGGTTTGTTTCTGTATTTAACTTTCCCATTAGAAACATCTTTTAACTCTGTTGTAGTTTTTATTGAGTATATTGTTTGAAAGCCAGATGTCCCCATGGTTCTAAAGGTGTTCCTGATCTCTAAGTGTCCAAGCCATTTTCATCAGTGACTGCATTCAGTATCACTTAAGTCTTTGTTCAACATCTAGTCCTCATCTCCTAGAAATCTTACCTTTTGACATATTTTTGTCAGTTGTAATCTGCTAAAGGTTTAACTTATTGTTAAAAGAATTTTGTTTACTTTTATATTTTTACAGTGGGAGCAAAAGGTTGAAAAGGGACAAGAAGACTTTGAAACTATTTCTAAAAACATAAAAAAAGAGATGGTGAGGTTTGAAAAACTTCGAGTCAATGATTTTAAAGAAAGTGTGATTAAATATCTTGAAGTACTTATGGACAACCAAGAAAAGGTTAGACTAACTTTATTTAGTAATATATTTTTTCTTTAAAAATTGACTAGCTTTATTTAGTAATACATTTTTTTCTTTAAAAATTGACTAATCAGTTTAGCTGCGCGATTCTTTAATATAATTTGTGGCTTATCAAATATGGCATAGGATATAATTGAGAGATATACAATTTTTATATCTGTTTGCAAAAATATGTGGTAAATGATAGAAAACTTAGAGTTCAATTAAAGTTTATGAAATTATTGTGTAGCATGCATTCATTATCTGCCTAAACATTTAATGTCATGGATATGGGAGGAATGAAGGCTAAACTAAACAAAAGCTGTTTGAAGTTGATTTTTTAACTTGATAGAAATTTGTATTGGCTGACTTATCTCATTCATTTGTTTCAGCTCATAAAATACTGGGAAACCTTCCTGCCAGAGGCCAAAGCAATAGCCTAGACCCCGAATGTTTTTTAGCTTTGATAAATAAATGTTTGAAAATGTGAGTGTAAACTGTAATCTGTGCGGTATGAAAGTGGATGGGAGGGCCGTTTTAAGCTCTCGTTTGAAATTTAATTTCCAAATTAAAAAAACAATTTTGTATAAATCTCCATTCACTGCATTTGTAGTATTTAGATGAAGAATTTATCATAGTTCAAAAGTTTGGGACCATAGGTAATGAGTGTTTGGATTTATGCTAAAAAAAATAGCATAATTACTGTAATGTGCAGTTTATTAAATGGTGTTAAATATTCCATAAAAAATGTATTAGTTGTGCTGTTTCAATTGTACTGTTATTTTTCCACCATTATTTATTTTCCAAACAATTTACAATGATTATATAAATAAATGAAAATGTTAATGTGAATTTTCTTGGATGTTTTAATGATTCAAATTAAGTTATTATTTTTGTTATACATTGGGATTTATTTTTTTTTAATGATTGGTGAACACTGTCAGTGTATTTTCAAACTTAATTAAAACCATACATTAACTGTTTAATAATTTACTTTTAAATGGGTCTCAGTCAAATTTCTGTAGTAGTTGCTTAACAAACACTTTTCTCAAAAAATATTTATGCTTTATTTTATTTAAAATAGGGATACTAAATTCAAAAGTAAAAAAAAAAAAAAGAAATCAGTACTTATTTAAAGAAATTTTTTTTTAACTTCTGTATCAAAAAATTAATTTATTTGTACATGCTTAGCAGTTGTTTTTACAATGTATATTCTTTAAATGTTTTCACTGTGTATGTTCATTTACCAGCATAAAGCATACATCAATATATATTTGTATTGTGATACATTTTGTGCAAGAGATATTAGAACACTGAAACCTGGATGTTTTAGCTTCATTAGAATAACAACTTGTGGTACTCTATAAGCAAATCAATTGTGTTAACAGAACATTTCTTTATTTCCTACTGTGTGTCAGCTTGATATTCAAACTGGGCTGTACACGCTTCGCAGTTGCACATTCGTTTTTCATTTTATTGCTGTTTTCTTTTTCATTGAAAAATTTTACACAATTTATTTTAACATTGTTTTATTAAGAATTAAAAGTGTTTGAAGACGTTTCTAAATAAGTTGTTCATTTGGTGTACATACCCCAGCTTACCCCATTTGTTCAGCACTAATCCCAATCTATCCCATTGGTGCAGCACACACCCCCGTCTATTACATTAGTACAGGCATAATGCCAGCTTATCCCATTGGTACAGCACTAATCCCTGTCTATCACATTACGGGTCGTCCATAAATGTCACACTCGTAAAGGGGGGGGGGGGGGGGGGTGTCCGTAATTGTGTGACGTGTGTGATGAGGGGAGGGGGTGGGGGGTTCAGATGGTGTGACGTCACACTTTTGCAGCATAAAAAAGCATTGTTAGAAAACGTATTTTAGCTGTTATTTCGCGTTTTAGTAAACTTTTATTAAATTGTAATAGGAATTGATTAAAATACTATATGTTGACAGAGTTCAAACACGATTTTGGACAAAATATCGATGTTTAAAAAAAAATTCAACTGCAATTTTGATAGGGGTTGTATGCTGAGGTGTGTCGTCATTTTAGGGTGCGGTCTGGCTTTTTGTGAAGGAGGCGAGGTTAAAATGGTAAAAAAAAAAGCGTGACGTCATTTAAGGATGACCCATTGGTACATGATTAATGCCAGCCTATCTGATTTGTACAGCACTCACGTACTTGGGGACTTGTTGATACAAACGGTGCTAGCGTAGGTACTAGTGATTCAAATGAGAGGTATGCAGAGTTTCTTCGCCCCCACCCCTCCGAAGAAAGTCCCCCGCCCTCCCCCCCTCGAAAATTTCAAGTGCCCCCTTCCCTTAGAAAAAAGTCTGAAAGAAACACTGGTGGTAACTGGTATGGCTAATCGACCGAGCCGTATTTCTAAACAGATGTCATCCATAGCTGACTACGCATTTTTCACAATTCTGCCCACCCTCCATTCGCCCATTGTCTTGTCACAAAACGTTAGGCACCCCCCCCCCCCCCCAAATATGTAAAGCCGCAAAAATGACGTCATATTTCAGCCTCTTCTCCCCTCCCCCAAAGAACAAATTGCTATTTTTCTTTTTTGAAGCAAAAATTTCGTTCTAAAATATGAATACAGCTGGGTTGGGATAAGATAGGCCTGTATCATACTGTTTATCAGTATAGAACTCATAACATTCAAAAAAAATTAAACTGACAGATGTAAAACAACTGCAAAAATTCACTTTTAAAAATTAATTCTGTTATTAAATAATTTATGGCCACCGAAGGTCGCGCTTGCCCGGATTCTAAACTTTTGCTACGTTGTACTAATCATACTAATGTAGTGTGTGGCAAGATCGATCAATGGTGCGCTTTACGAGCCTTAGCAACAGCCATTTGTTTACATCACGACGTTTAGATTTCAGCGATTCAAAAACTGTTAATTTCTAAATACTAAATACCTTTTTATATTATAAATTATCTTTTATTATATTTATTAAAAAATTGACGTCTTACGCATTGAAATCTAGATAAATAAAAATAGTTACGCTTACTTACATTATTTATAATCGTTTTAAAAATTACAAGACAAGTAGAGTAGTTGTAGCCTAATTCTTTTTATTAATATTATCCTCTACTAAATTATTAAACTAGATAATTTGTAAATTCATTAATAATAGGCAGTTAGGCAAAGTAAATTTTCTAGAATTCCTAGCACTCTGCGCATTTTCATTATTTAAAAATATATATAGACGTCTATCTATATTGAAAGGAGCAACTTCACTAAATCATAGAAATACAGTAGATCTAGATATCTAGATCTAGTAGCAGTTAATAATACATAGAAATACAGTAGATCTAGATATCTAGATCTAGTAGCAGTTAATAATACCTAGATCTAGGTCATTGCAATACAAATTTGGAACCCTCGTCTGAATCCCCCCCCCCTCCCCTCATGGGGTAACACAACGACCTAGCTAGTGTGTAGTCTTTCAAAAGTATTCATTATTTGTTCATGGTTAACCAACACGAGTAAAGGAGTAGGACTACACACAATTTAATACGTAGCATAGGCTATTGTTATTTATTGTTGAAATAAATTGTTATAAATGATGTCCGTTTAAAACGAGTAACTCACTAAACTAAAACAGTTGCAGGATTCTACACAGATAATTATGTCAAAAACTAAAGGAAAGGTAAATTTAGTTTTGTAACATACTCTTTAATTAATAATTGACCTAGAGTCTACTAGTAAAAAGTAAATATAGGTTTACTTTAGTACTTATTACTGAACTTTAAAAAAAAAGTGGAAACACATTTTTCTGCGTTTATTATATTAGCCCATATCCTTCCAAACTTACACTTGCAAGGCAAAAAAAATTTATTGAGGTGAGGGGAGAGATACTTTAATTTTTTTTAGCTTGTTATTTGATTAATTTTGTATTTGTTCGTGACGAAATTTTTAAATAAAGAAATAATACGCGTTTGAAATAGATCTAATTGATTTCAGACACAGAAATCACGAGAAGGATTATCCAAAGACAATCAGGTGAGTATAAAATTATAAGATTCAGAAATTATCCCCCCTCACACATGGTCTTGTTTTTTTAGTTTTAAGAGTTAAAATTATTCATGTTACCATAGTTACGATGGCGTCTCAGAGTTCTAAAAATAGGCAAGGCAGTTTAACAAAACCCAGCATCCCAATGAATAGTAGGCAACTGAAAGGAAAACCTAAAACACCGTCTCATATAAATGAAGACGTGTCAGCCTTAGGTGTACAGAGTCAAAAATCTTTGAACCATATAAACGTAAAACCATGTTACAAGTTAAATTATTTTAATAAATTAACTTTAATTAACTATATAAAATTATATATAATATATTATAATATATATATATTATATAGGGACCTATAGCCCTATATATATGTATATAAGTAATACTTATATAGGGCTATACTTATTAAGTATATATATTAATAATTGAATTTATACCTATATTATATAATATATTATATATATATATATATATATATATATATATATATATATATATATATATATATATATTAGGCTATATATAGGCCTATGGCCTATCTATACTATATACTATATACTATAGTAATACTATACTATATAGTATATAGTATAGGCCTACCTATACCATATAAAATATAAAATATATGACACTATCTATAGAATACTATACTATAGAATACTATAGAAGATCTATATGCTAATTATTGCTGCTACTAAACATTGGCTACTATTTATACATTAGAGACCTATAATTTAATAATACTATAGTATAGTACTAGTAGTACTATAGTTATAGTATAGGGCAGTATACTTAACTAGTATAGGCCCTCTGGGGAGTCTATACTCAATACTATAGTAACTATAGACTATAGGCCTAATAATACCTAATATTATTATAAAATTATAAATTATTAATTAACAATAGGGCCTATAAATATTATTTATTCATAAAAAAAGCCTATATCAATAGATTGTTGTAGATCTATAAATTTAATGTAGACTTACATTAATACATATATACCAGGGGTTGGCAACCTTTTGAGTCGGAAGAGCCAAAAGTTAAATTTTACAAAATCTCCAAGTTTTTAAAGAGCCACTGAATTTTTTTTTTTAATAATATGGTATTGATTAGAATTAGGTAAATACATTTAAAATAAATGGGTTTTAGTATGAAATAATATTTATCCATATAAAACATACACACATGCTTCGCACAAAACAGAATAAAGTATTGTAGCTAGGATAATCAAATCAAATTATATAGCCTAACTATCACACTATCCCTACCCAACTTAGAAGCTAATAACTAAAACAAACTATGTTACTCAAGTCAAATGATAGCACCCTGACACATTAAAAAATGCCTTCTGAATAAAAAAATTACTATTTAAAATGTTCGGGAAAAAATGTGCACTTCGGTAGTGGAAAGCATGGAGCCACTGTCACAGTTGTGGGGCTAGGCCTTGTGCCTAAGCAGCTGTCTGTATACGATGTACTCCACCTATTCTTAGTGTTTTTATCATGTTTAAATTTGTTTTACAGTATAATATTTTTATGTGTTATGAAAATAAAATAATATAATTTTTATGGAACTGGTGAGCAGCATCCTGAAATCAAAAGAGCCGCATGCGTCTCGTGAGCCGCAGGTTGCCGACCCCTGATATATACATATTAAAATCATCAGTAGTATAGATAGAGTACTTGTAGCTTTAGAGGTGTTTCTTTCTGGCATCTTTTCACACCCACAAAATAAAAAATTTAGAAAATGTTTATAGAAAATATATCCTTTAAATGTTCCTCCCCCCCTGAAGTTTCAAGTGCCACCCACCAAGAGGACTGAAAGAAACTTTGAGCATTACTCATACAATCGTAGATATGTGTTATGTATAAGTAATAGATCTAATTTTAATTAATTAGTTATTTTTTAAAGTCTGATAATAAAAATAAAATTATGTTTTTCTGTTTTTCAAATAAAAACCAGGATGATGAGTCTCAGCACAAAAAATCCATTGTCCCATTTTCCATATTGCCTGATGGATTAAGTGACCAACTTTTAAAACTGGGAGTAGAAGACATTGAAAAGTATGCAGGGCCTATTTGATTCTCTTATAAAAAGATCTTCACTTTGTGAGGGATTATGCACATTGCTTATAACATCAAAGGTTTAGGGGTGGTTTATTATATTGTTATTTTGTTTTATGCTGTAGGTGAAGGCATAACACTGCTTTTGGTTCTATTTATTCTTATTTTAGCAAAGTTTGTTTTCGCTAATCAGAGTAAAGGGATAAGTGACAACTGTTTTGCACATTTTTTTAAAACAAAAATAATTCTCCTAATAAAGTTAGATGTGTTGAGTTCACAATGTCTAACTTTTTTCATTGTGTACAGTCCCTATGTACAAGAGCTTTTGAATTGAAGAAATGCCTTCTTATAATAATAGTAGTAAAAACTCAGATAATTATATTTTAAATAAAAGAAATGTTCAATTTACTTTTAAAAAAACATATTTAGTTAATTGTTCTGCACTAAAGTGCAACAACTTTACCTAAATAACTTTGAACAATTTAAACTAAATATATTTATAAAATTTACTCAAATCTGCTACAGTTAAAAAGGTTGGAAAATTGTACAGATCTGTTAAATTTAATTTCTTAAATGCATTCATTAATAAGTTATGAACATTTTTGATAGATTGAGGCAATGAACATTTTTTTTTAATCAGACAAATAGAGAAGCTGTTTGAGCTGAAACCAGAGCTAGACCTAAAAGATGCAGCAATTCTTGATTATTATGTTGGTGCAGCATACTGGGCAAAACAACAGGGATTTGACTCTCTACAGCTCTCAGGTTTTTTTACAGTAGCTCATCAACTTTTATATAAAATCAAAGGTGAGGCTGCTTAACTTGTGCTTTCTAATTTATATATTTAGGTGGGCTAACTCATACTAGTGATTATTATTGTATTATATGGTCGTGCTTTGCTACAAGATTTTTAAAAATTATTGCACATTTTAAATGATTTCATTGTCGGAAAATTAATTGAAGTAGACTTCTTTTGAAAAAAGTGTTTCATTGTTCTTAATTTTGTTTTAAATATTATAAATAATATAAAATGGACCAAACATTTCTATGCATGCTCACTCTCACTAAGCAGATGAAAAATTAAAGATGTTTCAAGCACTTCTAAATATTTGTTTTTTTCAAAGTGGGGCGTAATATTAGAATCACAAAAAATGTACATTCAAAAATAAATAATTAAACTCTCATTGATGTACCTCTATTTTCTTTAGATGAGAAAAGCTCACTGGTTGGTCTGTTTAAAGAGCTGCATCACAGAATGATTGGTGTAGGATCCGAGTATGGAGAAATGGTTACTGGATTAGAAAGTTTTAATGTTTCACATGCAAAGCAAATTACAGACTATATTTATTCTAGGTTTGTGGCATATGTATATATAAAATTTTATATATAAATTTAAAAAAAAATAATGTAAGTTAAAATTATTAAAAAAAAAATTCTAAAAAAAAAATAATTCTAGTTTTTGAGCAACAGTCATTGAAGCCATGTAGGATGGAGACTGGGAAAGATTTGTTTTTGTGAAAATCAATTAGGCCTAATTTATTTCTAGTAGTAAAATATTATTTTATTTTGTTTACAGCTTATTTCAACATTTTAAACTATACCAATTTATGTTCCTTAAAGAACAGTTGGAAGAAGTCATAGGATGTGAGGTGAGCATGTTAACTCTAAACATACAGATAAAAACATGTTTTATTTCTTATATTATGCTTAAACAAAATACTGCTATAAATTTAACTTAATGAGAGGCTTATTATTTATTTTTCATAGACGTATTTTGAGTTAATTCTTCTGCCCCGGTTATTAATCTTAAGATTCTTAAAGATATGTTAACAATGTACTTGTTAACTTTTATTCACCATTTTACAAGAATTTTGATGCAGTTAAAACTTGGACACAATGTGACTAATTTCAAGCTGTGTGTACAAAAATAAAATGTGAATGTCTAATCTACTTGACTAAATCAGCCTAATTGATGCAGCAACAAAATAATAGTTGCAGCACTTAAATTGAATTAACTGAACTGACACTAGTGTAGTTTGATTTTTAGTTGGTTTTTCAACCTTTCTAATTGTGTAGTATATGGTTTTATTATCCTTTCTGCATGAACTTACTCAATGCAATGTGACAATCTGAAGATAAAGACATGCTGACATAACTTTTTTGACCAGAGAATAATTTTGTGACTAGTGAATTTTATCTCAGATTTTAAAACGATTCTTTCCAGTTGTTGGTAGAGGTCCCACTGCCTTCTTCTACACCATTCCCACCACCATTAGATGAAGCTTTGATGGAACCTATCTACAAAGAATATCTTTTGATGCCCATACAAACAGTGGGTACCAACTCATGTTTATAAGTAGATTTCAGTTGTGTTCTCTTTGGTGCAATTAAATTTGGAATAATTTCATGCAGTTATGAAAAAGACAATTTTTTCTTTCTAAAATTGTAATTTTAAGTACAATGATGTTATATTTATGTCATTATCAAATACATTTTTATAGCCCTATATTACATGTTATGGATATTATTGATCATAGAATGTTTAAAACTTTAATTTTAACAAGACAATATTTGATAAAATTGCTGAACATAAGCTGGCAAACTACCCTAAAGTTTTCTTGCATATTAGTCAGTGATAATAAAAACACCTAGGGGTCATATTTTTACACAAAAAGTAGTGTGGTTTTATGGTAATTATTGCCAGATTTTTAAATCTTCTAAACAATTTTTTTTCCAGTTTTTAAATCTTAAGAAACAATTTCTATTTCAGGTTTAAAAGTCGTAAGAAACAATTTGCATTTCAGATTTTAAAATCTTAAGAAACAATTTCTATTTCAGATTTTAAAATCTTAAGAAACAATGTCTATTTTAGGTTTTAAAATCGTAAGAAATGATTTCCAATTCAGGTTTTGAAATCTTAAGAAACAAATCCATTTCAGGAAAAAGAACAAGAAGGAATTGAGCCTCCCGTGTCACCTCCAGGGGAAGTAAGTCTTCCAGATAATGTGGAGGATATTTTTGCTAAACTTTCACCAGAAGATGTGCAAGCAATAATTGAAGAAATGGCTCAGGAAGTTTTGCAGACTCTACATGTGAGTTCTGCCACCTTGTTATTTTCTCAACAAACAGTGTTTGAAAACCTTAAGACTACTTAATGTCGATTTTTTAAAAAGCTCTAAAATTTGGTTTATGAATTTTTCTAAATAGATGTTGAATATTGGAGCAGTTGTATTATATGACTAAATTATTATAAAGGGTCCACCTAAATTTATAAACAGTTTTTCTTAAATAATTAGCATGTTATGCTATGTATATTATTGAATAACAATTTCAGGCTGGAATAGAGAACAAAATTAAGATTCAAGAAACAACAGCCCTGGCAAAAATTAACAAAATCCACAACGTACTACAGCAAGAAAGCAAAGTTGAGACCAGTGAACCATAGAGTTCAAGCTCATCAAAAAAATTCTTTGAAAATTTTATCTCGTTGTTTTAAAATGTACAAAATGAACTTATTAGATCTGTATATAATTTATTATTATAACTGATTTTTAAAAGCTATACTTATAATGTTTACATGGATTTTTACTGATGATAAATACTGAATCAGGACAATAAAGATTCATGTTATTTTATTATAGAGAATTAATTTTTGTTGAATTATATAACCAGTCGCCATGTTTTTATATAATGCTAAGCTCCAGAAATTAGAATTGACATTAAATTAGGGTAAACGTATTACTCTTGCAAAATATAATTATTCCAACTTTGCTAAGTTTATTCTAATATACCTAACATTAGTTTACTAATTTTAGCAGACTTATGAGAAAAATAAAAACTTAATATGATGTTAGAGATATATTTTTTTTTGAAAATCCTATGAACCTTGAAAATTAGTTAAATATGCATTTCAACAAATTCAATTTTGTTAAATTCCTTAAAAGTTGATTACAAATGTTCAGATGAATTGGTTTAGGTATCAAAATCAACTGTAAATAGATGAAAACACATTTTTTTATTGAATTCACAAATTTATTAAATATAGTTTAACAAAAACATAAACAATGAACATTTTGTTTACCAATAACAATGACAACCAGCATTTTATTTCATTAAAATTTGATTATGTGAATTTTTTATGTACATACAATACAATGCTAAAGGATATATCATTATTGAAATTCATCAAATGACAATTAAGGACAGTTCATTATTTAAAGGTGTAGATGACCAGTTTCAAAAATAAACTTTGGTCATCTGCATTTCAAGGCATTTATTAGCAAAAACTTTCATTAAATATTCATGTGTAACTGATATGGAAAATCTAAAATTGAGAATTGAAAACAACTTTCAGTAATTTATTAATGGTATAAGAAGCACATGATCATTTTTTACTGCTTCAATAGCAGCACTTTGTTTAGGTAAAGTGCTATAAATAAGGCTAGATTTAAGTATTGAGGTTAGCACTATTGTGACATTTGTATTTAATATTACAAAATTATAGGAAATGCAATAATACACTCAAGTAACCTAAGCAGCTTAAATACAAAGTCAAGGACTATGGTATGCTACTTTTCAGTAACATAATACACTGGACAGCTTTTTGAATCTAGTAAGAGAAAAAGCAGTATGGTTAAGAGATTAAGGGTAGCTTTCAAGGTGATCACAGTTTGGAATAAATAAGATTCTTTTATACATATTTTTATATACCCATTTTAAGGCTTGACTTCAACCAATATGAGTATAGACCTTTAAGTTTTAACTATTTTTGTTTAAGTTGTATTTGGTAAAAACCAAATGAACTAAATCATTAAAGTAAAAACAAATATTTTCCAAATACATAAGCCCAGATTAAAATATGTTGTGCGTTTTCTACTTGTATGATGCTGACATCATTTACAGACACTTTTTCAACCCAGCTTCAATAATTGTAACCAGTCAAGTTGTTTTTGGCAGTCTTGTGTTATTCAGTAACTTTGATGACCTGTGGTCAACTGGCCCATGGTTAGCTAGTGCTAGTCACTATGTGTCAGCTATTCATGAAGTCATCTAGTGGAGTCCCCAAGTGAAGTCAACAAATATCAGGTGACAGATATTTTCATGCAAACTAGTTTATTCCATTAGAGAAATGGATTGTTTGTTTAATATTTTGAAACTTGCACATTTATTAAGTTTAGGTGTCTAGAAAGCTAGAAAATTTTGTTACATAGAATTACGTACACAAAACAAGTCAGTTTGGCTGTCATTTGATGCTGTCATGATATAGAGCTTACATGAGTCTTGGATGATATCTCATGAATAATGTCACACAACTCTACATGAGCAGACATATCAGCAATACTTGTTATACATATTGAAAAGATATGCGATTTTAAAACTATCTTACAAAAGCTCATTGGTACTCTATACAACGATAGCATGCTTTAGCTGTGTTTTAAAGGAGAAACATTCAGACTTAGGCTTTCTAGGCATTAAATAGAAAGACTGGTCTTGTAGTAAGTAAAATTTGTAAATTTCCCTTTCAGACCAGATGGTCTGAGGAGGTAGAGGAAGTAGAATTCGTCTGTCTCTATATCATATGAATGGATAGTGTGGTCAACACTATACCAGGCCACCTTTACTTTACAGACTCAAGGATATCTCATGTACTTTGTCATTTGTGGCTTGATCATGTCATCCTAGCTTGGTACTAAAGGCTGAAGGAAATACCATTTTAACTCCAGCAAAAGGGATAGTTGTAATAGTTATGGCTGTTGTTCCCTATTAGCATAAACTCTATATAGGTTTCACAAGTATGTTTGTTATGGTAATGGAGGTAAATTCTCATTGACCTTCTCATGCAGGTCTTTTAAAGAGCAAGTATATAAAAAAATGGATTTTTACATTATGGATAATGCCAAATGGTGAAGAAAAGGCAATCAATTGTTTAAAAATAAAAATGATGTTCTAATAATGAGCAGATATAATTTCTACACTTTGAAGCAGTGATGGAAGTAAATAAGGAAAAAAACAAAAGGACTGCACAAAAAAAACATGATCTAAAGAGTTATTTATCCTTATTCAATGCGCTCTGTTATGTCAACATGGATTAAAAAATTATTACAGTCAAAACTGCTAAACACAATAGAACTAAGGTCTGGAAAAACCAAAGGCTGTGGTCAAGGTCGAATTTTTAAAAATACAACTTGCAATGCTTTTTAACTGAAAATAAAGGCAAGAACTCAATATATTGTTATATTTCATTACTTCACAAGAATCATAATTTTAAAGTAAATCTCCATATTTTTGTGAAGAGCTTCGCTTAAAATAGTTCCGCAGCGCTCCGATGTTACATAGCAAATGTTGCAGGTATGTCCAGTGAAATAGAATTGAGTCCATTCAAGTAGACGTTACTTAAAACAGGTTAAACATAACTGTTTTTCTTGCTGGTGTATATGATAGGTCTTGCATCATTAGGTGTTGGACCCTGGGCACGGTAGTATCTCATGGGCTGGATATAAATTCTTAGTTTTTGAGTCTCGAGGCAGAGGTTGTGGTCGGATCCACTGGAGGAGTTCAATTCTCTGCTAAGTCAGAAATTAAAATAAAAACTTACTAAAAAAAGTTAAAAATAGAATCATTAAGTAAAAATAATAATATTTATGAAAAAGCATGAAACAAATCTTCATGGGCAATTGGAGTTAATGAATTTAGAGCAACCATTCAGCAAAAGTTCACTAAAGCAAAAAAAAACAAAACATTTTTGTGACAAAGCTTTGTAAAAATTAATAATTTTAAATTATAGTTACAAATTCCAAACTTATAAAAAGGCTATCAGTAAAATCAAGGATAGTTAAGTAATGATCTTTTCATATATTTTATAATTTAAATTTATCATTATAAAATAAGGTTAGAAAAAAAAAATTTAAAATTTACATTTTCAAAAGAATTCAAAACAATATTGATATAAGCACTACATATGAAGGTGGCCGTGAATACAGACTAAAAATAGCTCTGGCACATGAGGAAACAGTGGGGGCAGTGACAATATAGCATATCTCTAACCTGAACCGCTCTCAATTCACAGACTCCAAATTGCCCTACCAACTTGCACCAAATTATCACTGGCTGTCGTGTTGATCTGAAAAAACATTTGGCCCTATGTGAAATCTTTTGGAAAACCTGACCACCCTAATACTTTCCTAGCACAGTCTCCTGAAAACCTGACATCCCATGTAGAATCTATATTCTTTCTATACAACTTCTTGAAAAATATACGAGATTTTTCTACTATTTAAAGTTCATCTTTTAAATTTGATTGACAACAGACTGATGTCAGCCTGCTGACCTCTGTAAAGCCAGCGAGTTAATTTTGATTAGGTTTCGCTCAATGTTTACATTACCTTGAGTCATGCTTGGGTGAGCAGGATGGACATGTCCTTGGGCGGACTTGCGAGCTGGCAGTTGCCACGTATTTGTTTTGAAACTTTCTTGAGTTGACCCGTAGTTTATGACGTATGTAACGTTTTCTTATCTCAGTCTGAACCTGGTAGAATCAATATGAGTCAAAGTTGCTTTATGTCCACAGGAAGTTGGGAAAAAAAAAATTGCTCAGAAACAAGTGGGAAGTTATTAGTCTAATCATGAATTTGAAATTAAAAATAAGCTCGTCAAATGAAGAGTTGGGTTGTTGTGACAAAAATTTACAAGTCATTTTTAAAAACTTGTCATTATGCTAAAATTGCATGAGATCATTCATAAACGACACCTATGATGGTAGAAATACTTTAAAGCTCATCACTAAAAAAAAGGTGTTTAATAAATAAAGCAGTGAGATAAGTCTAGATTGTAAAATTAAGTTATGTATAGTCTCCCAAACTCATTAGTAGGAGTCTGCATTCTGCTCATCTATAAAAACTGTAATTGGGTATCATGTACAACTATCATAACAGTAACAGACTGTACATGATTATATATGCTATGGCCCTTACCTCTCCGTTCATGAAGCAAAAAAGGCAGGCTATTAACAGACCCTGTGGAAATGATTAATATATAATTATATATAAGTAAATAAACAAATAAATAAATAAATATATATATATATTTGTATATATATATATATATATATATATATATATATATATATATATATATATATATATATATATATATATATATATATATATACACACATATATACATGTGTGTGTGTGTTAATATGTATATGATATTATTAAGTGTACATGTATATTTATAAAACAGTGTAACATATTGTAAAAAAGATTATAATAGTATAAATATCATACCTGGAAAGAATTAAAAAACATTTCAAAATAGAGCAAAACAGTCTCAATAATAATGTTGGTGCTGTAGATGTCGTAGGATATCCCAACAGTCACCAGGTAATGGACCTCAAAGATGGGGATCAAAACTAGAGTAGACTTGCCAAGGCGTCTGAAGAACCAAATATCATTCAGATAGTCAACAGGAATATTAATAAATTAATATAAGTAAATAATACATGGATTCAATTTATTGTACTATATACTATATAGGATACTAAATTGAATAAAAAACCAACACAGATAAAGTATGCACAAAAAAAAAGTGGATGATGTCACATTTTCTAAACACAGTTATGGTGTGTCGTTGGTTAGCAGATCAAGATCTAGATTTCTAGATCTAACCTAAATAAAAAAAAATCTAGGCCTAGAATCTAGATCTAGATATTCAGAGAGAGAGAATGTGAACCCTCAGAATGTACCTGTATCTGTATTTTCTTGCCCTTGGTGGAGCTGACCGGACCAGTTTGGTAAAAAGGACCCGGACAATATTCATGAAAAAGATAAAGTTGACCTGTGGAAGAATTTATATGGCCATTAGAAACCGGTTATGAAACATCAAATTATATTAAATATTAAGGGATAGACTATTTCATTTTCATTACCTGCAAGCTATATCAACGGGAGATGAACGTTAAATCTTGTTAGCTTAAAATTACTAGAGTAGCTTCCCTTATTTCAGAAATTAATCTTCCAAAATTTAAGAAAATACGACAAAACAGAAATTTTAATCAATTAATTTTTGCATCATTTCTAAAAGATTATATATCTACGATACAAAAGTTTGTTTGGCATAGATGTCAAATGTTTTTGTCTGTGATAAAGAAGTGGATCTAACAAACCTCTTTCTACTTTAAAAAAAAATACAGACTGTAATTTTTTTTCTCTCCCAACCCAGACAGCACTTGTTCAAAATTTGTTTCGTTTCTAGATCTAGTTCAAATGTGTGGGGCAACATTCTAAAAACTCCAATGTCTCATAAATTTAACAACCTCGCTGCCATCCTACACTATTTGGAGACAGCCCTTCATTGTTTTATTGTTCAAATAAAAAATATATTAAAAATTGGTGATCTGTAAGCAGAGGCGTATCCAGGTTTTCGTTGTAGGGGGAGCGAAAAGAGCAAAAATAGGCGCCGAATTTTCAACACGTTCTTAATACATGTATTATATATATATATATATATATATATATATATATATATATATATATATATATATATATATATATATATCAATCATTAATTCTCTATGATGTAAAATAAATTGAAAGTAGCACTCTGAAGAAATAAGAAAAAACACGCAATGTTGGCCGACAAAACAAAAATTGTATCAATCTAAACAATATATATATATATATATATATATATATATATATATATATATATATATATATATATATATATATATATATATATATATATATATATATACACTACAACCAAAAACAATGATCGTAACACAATCTGTTTTGTAATTCTTGTAAACAAAATTTCTTACATAATAATTCCTGGGAAATTATTTAAGACAAGAGAAATAGGGGAAATAATCACTCTCTTAATATAAATATGTATATATCTACACATTTACTTATAAATGTCAAAATAAATAAATAATTACTTAAAAATATAATGAAATTGTTTAAGACTATTCGTGTTTACAAAATGATTTTGTCTATAATAAGAATTTAATATATCGTCATCATAAATGCTAAAGTATTACAGCATAATGAAAGTTTTTATAATCAGAGTTGGTATAACAGCACGCTTTTCGATATATAAGAAAACACGTTCAGAATAGCAGCCTACAAATATCTAAATATCGGTCTTTCAGTTCAATACACATTTTAATTAACTACTGCTTCCTTGTGTTCTTTACAGATAATTTTGTTTTAACATAGTGATAGGTATGGATTAGATCACTGTATTGATCACACACCTTTTTACTGTTAATTTCAAAAACAATATTCACAGAGTTTTACGTTTAAAAAGCTAATTTTCTGGCGGCATGGTACTATGGTACATCATTACGCGTTCTCTACATGTACTTAACAGATCAGTTCGGGGTGGGTTGGGGGGGGGGGAAATGGGTTCAACTTCATTCACCACTGTCCGTTCACTTTAGGTCAATTATCCAACCCAGTGTATACCTAGGTGTGACATTAATGTCGTTCTACACAATTGTGGTGGTGAGGTGTGTGTGTGGGGGGTGGGGGGGGAGATAACCAACTCAGAGTGAACATAGCGTCAGTTTTTAGATGACTGTTCTAAACATACATATATATTACACAAATATATATTACACAAATATATATTACAGAAATAGATTTAAATAAGTAGCACTGGTATTTTGACAATATTTTTTTTACAGAAGGGTCCATGGGCGTGGGAGGGGGGGGGGGGGTTGTAACTGTTTCATATAATTTGTAATCGTAATCACTATCGCCCAAACTTTTTCTGTATTGCAATTTTTTTAAAATTAATCACACGATTCAAACTGTATATATAAAGTAATTATGTGTGAAGTTTTATGTATAACATTTTCTAATTCAATTATTCGTAAGCAAATACATTATACAGTTGCCTTAAACTTAACACCCCTCTTGCCAAGTGGTACTACCGTAGAGGTATTTTAAACATTGCAATACATCGTAATGGTTATTTTTAGAATGGCAAACTGATGCAGCTGTTAATACGTGTTGTAAACGTAGACACTACTAGACTATAACAATAAAGCTTAATTGCTGCATGAAAAGAAATCTTGTGATTTACATAGATGTGCCGACCAAAAATATTTTTTTTAACAAATATCATTGTTTAAAACTTTCAATTTAAAAAGTTTCCAAAAAGGCGCCACTTTGCTGGAAATGGCCAGAGGGGGAGCGGCCGCTCCCCCTGCTCCCCCCCTGCGTACGCTACTGTCTGTAAGCCTGCACGTGTTGCACAGAATTATAAAATAAAAACCTTTGTTTCTTAAACTGTCACTGGAATACGCTACGAAGAGTTCGTTTATTTTGTAAGGAATACAAAACGTATGCAACGTCAAAATTCTCCCCACCCACATTTATCTGCTGTTCACACAAGTTGTATAGAACCAGGGGCGTAGTGATCTATTCCGATCTATCCCCCCAATTTATCTGCAGTTCACACAAGCTGTATAGAACCAGGGGCGTAGTGATCTATTCCGATCTATCCCCCCCCCCAATTTATCTACAGTTCACACAAGCTGTATAGAACCAGGGGCGTAGTGATCTATTCCGATCTATCCCCCCCCCCCCCAATTTATCTGCAGTTCACACAAGCTGTATAGAACCAGGGGCGTAGTGATCTATTCTCAATTAGGAAATCACGGGTCTCATTTCACCAATTACTTTCTCTTTTTATTTTGGTGTCACAGAATCAATGTAGAAAACAGTTAAATAAGTCCGTAACGCCAAGTAGCAGTCTATTTTCTGAAATTCGACTGTGTATAATTCAGTAATGCAGTCCAGAATAAGTTCTCCCCCCCTATCGTTCGACGACCCACTTAGAATAGACCCCCACTCGCCCTCCCTTACGTACGCCTCTGACGGAACCCTTTGTCTAACTAGACAGACGTCATAATTTCAATAATGGACGACTCATGATATAGGCTATTAAAAGCAACCCTCCATTACAGCTGAACTATTCAAGCATACACCTGACTTCAACTCGGCCATGTTTTCATGTTTTTACACGTGAAATAAAAACAACATAAAAATATACCTCGGCTGAAATTCACTAAGTTCTAAGAATGGTTCTTTTGATGCTCGGCATAAAACTTGTAATCAAATATTTAGTATCATCAATAATGCTGCTTCGATATTCTAGCTGTAAACATAAATAAGAATCTTGCGCAGACATAATCTTAGTTTAACCCATAAACATTAAAGCAATAGAACGGTCTAACTCGTTGTGCTACTTAGGGTTAAAAAATGACCAATATTTGATGATCCCTTTACCAAAACAAAAGCCGGCTACATAGGCCACCTTTTAAATATCAGGCAAACTTAAAAACTTTCAAAATATAAAATTAGACTAGTTTGAAACGAGACAAATATTTTAAAGACGTAAATGTGAAATCTAAATAAAACATTATCAGTTAATACACGCACTTCTACATGTTAAAAAAAAGTTATCTTTTCAAAAAATTAAAACACCCCTTCCCCGAAGGCTTAACCTTATCTCCATAAAGTTTAAATACCACACCACCCCCCACCCCCACCACACGCTTAAAAACTAATCCTTCAAATGATATTAATAAACAGTTATAAGAAACTGCAGAGGGGTAGCCGTACCCCCTCCCTCCCACCCCCACAGGTGGAAACTACCTGAGCTCCCGGTACCTCACACGCCTGAAGTAACACAGCCAGAAACAAATGTTTACTTTCCCCAGGTGGAAAGTTCGATGGGAGAAGGTGGGGAGAGGGGAGGGGTGGAAGAAGGGGGGACTTTTGGAGGGGTGGCGCCTAGTTTTTCCGGAAAAAAGTGGAAGATATTTACACCATGTGTGTCGTACTAAAACACATGTCTGAGGTATGTCCTACAAAACATGTTTGAGGTATGTATTAAAAAACACAAATGTCTGAGGTATGTCCTAAAAACACGTGTGAGGTATGTCCTACAAAACCCATGTCTATGAAATGTCCTATAAAACACATGTCTGAGATATGTCCTACAAAACATGCTTGAGTTATATATTAAAAACACAAGTCGCCCTAAAACACATGTCTGATGTATGTCCTAAAAAAACATGTCTGAGGTATGTCCTAAAAAACGCACATCTGGGAAAGGAAATATCATACAACACACATGTTTTATGTATGTCCTACAAGACACGTCTAGAAAATGGCATATAGAAACAATTCTGAGGTATGTCCTACAAAAACAAGCCTGGGAAATGTCCTACAAAACACATCTGTGAGGTCCTACACAACACATGTATGGAAAATGTCCGAAAAACACAGTTTGGTGATGTCCTACAAAAACACAGGTTTGTGATGTCCTACACAACATACGTATGGAAAATGTCCTAAAAACACAGGTTTGTGATGTCTTACAAAAACACAGGTTTGTGATGTCCTACAAAAACACAGGTTTGTGATGTCTTACAAAAACACAGGTTTGTGATGTCCTACAAAAACACAGGTTTGTGATGTCCTACAAAAACACAGGTTTGTGATGTCCTACAAAAACAGAGGTTTGTGATGTCCTACTTACTACAGCAGCGGCCACCTGAGGTCCCTTGAGTATCCAGAAATATCCTTGTGTGGGATGTGTGTTCCAACACCTGGGGGACATACAAGTCATTTTAGCTGACACACAAGTCATTTTAGCTGACATACAAGTCATATTAGCTGACATACAAGTCATTTTAGCTGACATACAAGTCATTTTAGCTGAAATACAAGTCATTTTAGCTGACATACAAGTCATTTTAGCTGACATACAAGTCATTTTAGCTGACATACAATTCATTTTAGCTGAGATACAAGTCATATTAGCTGACATACAAGTCATTTTAGCTGACATACAAGTCATTTTAGCTGACATACAAGTCATTTTAGCTGACATACAAGTCATTTTAGCTGACATACAAGTCATTTTAGCTGAAATACAAGTCATTTTAGCTGACAAACAAGTCATTTTAGCTGACAAACAAGTCATTTTAGCTGACATACAAGTCATTTTAGCTGACATACAATTCATTTTAGCTGACATACAAGTCATATTAGCTGACATACAATTCATTTTAGCTGACAAACAAGTCATTTTAGCTGACAAACAAGTCATATTAACAGACATACAAGTAATGAAGATGTAAATTGAACCAGCTTGTCTGACCTCTGTTTTTCTCTCTGTCTCCCAGAACGACCATCTGATCCCTTCAAGTTTTTACCGCCCTATTTTTAATCCACCACGCCCAAAATAACCCAAAGTTTCTAGCGCCCCATTGAACCCTTCCAGCGTCCACATAAGGCGATGTTGCCTACTTTAGGAATTACCGGATTAGAATAACGTTGCATCATATTTGAAACAAACTTTGATTTCACCCCCATAGGGTGTCACCCGATGCGGGCCGCACCCCTCCCCCCCCCACCCAAATATGTGACATGTCTACTACGTTACTGGGGAGTAGTTTAGTGCGAGTTGGGGAGGTCGGGGGTGAGAACTGATGTAGTTCAGGTCAAATAATTGGATCGATTGTGTGACTGAGTGGTTGACGTCATTTAATTAATGAATTGACGTCATTCACTCAAGCGTGACGGATGAGTTACTCACAGTTCGTCTTCAAGTGTGGCTCGAACAATAATCCAAGGCACCAGGAACAGCAGGGGACCAGCTGTAGGACATACATGGTTTCATGTTAGGACAGTAGAGGACCAAATGTAGGACAGACATGGTTTAATGTTAGGGCAGTAGAGGACTAGATGTAGGACATACATGGTTTAATGTTAGGACAGTAGAGGACCAGATGTAGGACATACATGGTTTTATGTTAGGACAGTAGAGGACCAGCTGTAGGACATACATGGTTTTATGTTAGGACAGTAGAGGACCAGATGAAGGACATTTATGTTAGGACAGTAGAGGACCAGCTGTAGGACATACATGGTTTTATGTTAGGACAGTAGAGGACCAGCTGTAGGACATACATGGTTTAATGTTAGGACAGTAGAGGACCAGATGTAGGACATACATGGTTTTATGTTAGGACAGTAGAGGACCAGCTGTAGGACATACATGGTTTAATGTTAGGACAGTAGAGGACAAGATGTAGGACATACATGGTTTTATGTTAGGACAGTATAGGACCAGATGTAGGACATACATGGTTTAATGTTAGGACAGTAGAGGACCAAATGTAGGACAGACATGGTTTAATGTTAGGGCAGTAGAGGACTAGATGTAGGACATACATGGTTTAATGTTAGGACAGTAGAGGACCAGATGTAGGACATACATGGTTTTATGTTAGGACAGTAGAGGACCAGCTGTAGGACATACATGGTTTTATGTTAGGACAGTAGAGGACCAGATGAAGGACATTTATGTTAGGACAGTAGAGGACCAGCTGTAGGACATACATGGTTTAATGTTAGGACAGTAGAGGACCAGATGTAGGACATACATGGTTTTATGTTAGGACAGTAGAGGACCAGCTGTAGGACATACATGGTTTAATGTTAGGACAGTAGAGGACAAGATGTAGGACATACATGGTTTTATGTTAGGACAGTATAGGACCAGATGTAGGACATACATGGTTTAATGTTAGGACAGTAGAGGACCAAATGTAGGACAGACATGGTTTAATGTTAGGGCAGTAGAGGACTAGATGTAGGACATACATGGTTTAATGTTAGGACAGTAGAGGACCAGATGTAGGACATACATGGTTTTATGTTAGGACAGTAGAGGACCAGCTGTAGGACATACATGGTTTTATGTTAGGACAGTAGAGGACCAGATGAAGGACATTTATGTTAGGACAGTAGAGGACCAGCTGTAGGACATACATGGTTTTATGTTAGGACAGTAGAGGACCAGCTGTAGGACATACATGGTTTTATGTTAGGACAGTAGAGGACCAGATGAAGGACATACATGGTTTTATGTTAGGACAGTAGAGGACCAGCTGTAGGACATACATGGTTTTATGTTAGGACAGTAGAGGACCAGATGAAGGACATTTATGTTATGACAGTAGAGGACCAGCTGTAGGACATACATGGTTTTATGTTAGGACAGTAGAGGACCAGCTGTAGGACATACATGGTTTAATGTTAGGACAGTAGAGGACCAGATGTAGGACATACATGGTTTTATGTTAGGACAGTAGAGGACCAGCTGTAGGACATACATGGTTTAATGTTAGGACAGTAGAGGACAAGATGTAGGACATACATGGTTTTATGTTAGGACAGTAGAGGACCAGCTGTAGGACATACATGGTTTAATGTTAGGACAGTAGAGGACAAGATGTAGGACATACATGGTTTTATGTTAGGACAGTATAGGACCAGATGTAGGACATACATGGTTTAATGTTAGGACAGTAGAGGACCAAATGTAGGACAGACATGGTTTAATGTTAGGGCAGTAGAGGACTAGATGTAGGACATACATGGTTTAATGTTAGGACAGTAGAGGACCAGATGTAGGACATACATGGTTTTATGTTAGGACAGTAGAGGACCAGCTGTAGGACATACATGGTTTTATGTTAGGACAGTAGAGGACCAGATGAAGGACATTTATGTTAGGACAGTAGAGGACCAGCTGTAGGACATACATGGTTTTATGTTAGGACAGTAGAGGACCAGCTGTAGGACATACATGGTTTTATGTTAGGACAGTAGAGGACCAGATGAAGGACATACATGGTTTTATGTTAGGACAGTAGAGTACCAGATGAAGGACATTTATGTTAGGACAGTAGAGGACCAGCTGTAGGACATACATTGTTTAATGTTAGGACAGTAGAGGACCAGATGTAGGACATACATGGTTTTATGTTAGGACAGTAGAGGACCAGCTGTAGGACATACATGGTTTAATGTTAGGACAGTAGAGGACAAGATGTAGGACATACATGGTTTTATGTTAGGACAGTATAGGACCAGCTGTAGGACATACATGGTTTTATGTTAGGACAGTAGAGGACCAGATGAAGGACATACATGGTTTTATGTTAGGACAGTAGAGGACCAGATGAAGGACATTTATGTTAGGACAGTAGAGGACCAGCTGTAGGACATACATGGTTTTATGTTAGGACAGTAGAGGACCAGATGAAGGACATTTATGTTAGGACAGTAGAGGACCAGTTATAGGACAGACATGGTTTAACTTACCCCAGCCCTCTACACCTGTGTCAACTTACCCCAGCCCAGCACCGTGCACCATCTGATGTAGCGGCGCTCCGAGAAGATGGTGATGGTGACCAGGATGTACAGGTAGAGACCCTCCATGAACACCCAGGTGGTGCTGGTCAGCATGACGTAGTGGAATGTCGTGTAGACAACTTTACACTGCCAGTGCTGGATGGGGCGGGGAGGAGGGGGTAATAACATGACGTCATTATTTCGTTAACATTGAAACATAAAAACATAAACAAGATTAACAAGTTACACAACATTTACTAGTGCTTTTGGCTACCAAATCTACTAGATAAGCACATCCACCAGACTACACATTAAACAAACACATACATCACTACAATCACTTCAATATATCCACTAAAATAAGAGAACCACATTATTGACGTATCTTCCAAATTAAAACATCCAAACAAACAGATCCACAAAAGTAATATTTTCATTAAAGTAATACAATAATGTAAAATATCCATCAAATTATTCTAGCACATCCACTCCACCACCAGCACATCCACAACACCAGCACATCTATTTCACCACCACACGCCCTCCACCAACACACCCCCTCCACCAACACATCCACTCCATCAGCACATCCACCATGCTAAATTCACTCCACCGGCACATCCACTCCACCACCACACCCCCTCCATCAGCACATCCACTCCACCAGCACATCCACCATGCCACCCCCTCCACCAGCACATTCATTCCACCAGCATATTCACTCCACCAGTACATTCATTCCACCAGCACATTCACTCCACCAGCACATTCATTCCACCAGCATATTCACTCCACCAGCATATTCATTCCACCAGCACATTCACTCCACCAGCACATTCATTCCACCAGCACATCCACTCCACCATCACATCCACTCCACCAGCACATCCACTCCACCATCACATCCACTCCACCAGCACATTCACTCCACCAGCACATGCACTCCACCATCACATCCACTCCACCAGCATATTCACTCCACCATCACATCTACTCCACCAGTTGCACATCCACTCCACCAGCACATCCATTCCACCATTCCACCCCCTCCACCACCACACCCCTCCACCACCACACCCCTCCACCATCCCCCCTTCCATCATGCCACCCCCTCCACCACCACACCCCTCCACCATCACACCCCCTCCACCAAGCCACCCCTCCACTACCAGATCCACTCACAGCGCCCCTGTCAATGAAGTTGGGCCTATGCTGCTGCCAGTGTACGATGTCCTCTATGTCCTCCGTCAACCCGTGGTTGATGTCAAACAGGCTGTCCTTCAGGAAGGAGAAGACGGCCCTCAGGACAAAGGACATGAAGAGATTCAGGTGGATGGTGTTACGTGGGCAGTGCAGGCGTCTGGAAGTAAAGTGGGGGGGGGGAGGTTGATGAATGTCACATAGAATTCATTCATTTCATGTACGGTAGATAATTTAATCATTCTTTTATTACATTGAGAAATCCGACTCAACGTTTGAAACAGGTTTTAACAAGGATTGAAGTTATTGAATTACTCCCCCTACCCACTCATAGACACTAATAAGTAAGAACATTTAAGACACCCTTTGCCTCAAGCCCTTATGCCGCTAATATGATTGACGGATGAAAGAGTTTAATTTGCACGAATAAAATACATCTGACAAGTGACTATAAAAGCTATGGTATTCTTTTTTTTCTGGATAGTGTAATTTAATTTAAAAAAAAAAGTTTTAACACATTTCACTTGAGGTGTTGAGTTAGTACTAGTGTTAGCGGTATTGATACTCCACTTAATATTGAAATGTTTTGCTCGTTTGTAACTAGCATTCCCCCCCCCCCACCCACACCCAATCTACATAGCTCAACTTTCTGTTTGTGCAGTGAGAAGAGATTTGAGGTCGGTTTTCTGCAGACAACGACACAGTTCGTCGTCTGCCAGTAATGGAAACTCCGTCTGCAGAAGACGGCTGTGCTGGGTGATTTATACAGACGTTTACACACGTAAACATTCGCACTTGGCGCGGCAGGGAAATCACACTGTTTGAAGATTAACTCGAATCGTGAAAAAGTTTTTTTTGTTGGTTTAAATAACATGCTTTTCATTTTCCACGCTTGAAAAAATACAACAGAAAAACAACTTCAGTTGACTTTGAAAAGTGGAGAAAATACATTTGTGATGCAATGAATTCTGAGTGTGGAAATTTAAGAGTGAGTACGCTGTAGAAAAAGTGGTGTGCACGGAGATGCAGTGGACGGGCCGACCGATGGGGGGGGGGGGGGTCACGACCCCTGTCAATTATTTTATTGTTTAATCAGTGTTTTAATTTTTTACGTGGACAACAGGTGAGGAGAAAAAAAAATTATTTGAGATGACAACAAATACTTACCGGAAGTAGATCATGATAAAAATAGCAGCGGCCAGCGCAACAAGGGAGACACCATAGCCGATACTGTACATGACTTTAATACGGTCCAGGTGGTCCTGTAGGATATGGTTTGATAAAAGTAAACAAACGTTAGTAGAGCTAGGATAATGTAGGACTTTACATGACTTTAATACGGTCCAGGTGATCCTGTAGGATATGGTTTGATGAAAGTAAACAAACGTTAGTAGAGCTAGGATAATGTAGGACTTTACATGACTTTAATACGGTCCAGGTGATCCTGTAGGATATGGTTTGATGAAAGTAAACAAACGTTAGTAGAGCTAGGATAATGTAGGACTTTACATGACTTTAATACGGTCCAGGTGGTCCTGTAGGATATGGTTTGATAAAAGTAAACAAACGTTAGTAGAGCTAGGATAATGTAGGACTTTACATGACTTTAATACGGTCCAGGTGATCCTGTAGAATATGGTTTGATGAAAGTAAAAGTTAGTATAGCTAGGATAATGTAGGACTTTACATGACTTTAATACGGTCCAGGTGGTCCTTTAGGATATGGTTTGATGAAAGTAAACAAACGTTAGTAGAGCTAGGATAATGTAGGACTTTACATGACTTTAATACGGTCCAGGTGGTCCTGTAAGATATGGTTTGATAAAAGTAAACAAACGTTAGTATAGCTAGGATAATGTAGGACTTTACATGACTTTAATACGGTCCAGGTGGTCCTGTAGGATATGGTTTGATAAAAGTAGAAGTTAGTAGAGGTAGGTTAATGTAGGACTTTACATGACTTTAATACGGTCCAGGTGATCCTGAAAAAACATTATTTGAAAGTAAACAAACAGTAGGGCTAGGTTATTACACAGATTTTTATACTTTGGTGATGCTTTTGTTTTTAAGGGGGGGGGGGGGGTGGTCCATGAATGACGTCATCTCCTTTAACGGTAATTACAAACTGCTCTTTAACCCATAAATATTTCTAATTATAGCGGATATCAGAACGATTTTCATTTTTTAAAGAAATAAAAAAATGGCAACATTACTTGTGAAGTTGTGACGTCATTAAAAAAACAAACCCTTTACCGCGGAGTACTTAGATTAACAGTAATGTAGATCCAATACTGATCAGCACTGTGCTGTTTCATATTGCCATAATCATTTTTTACCCCAAATAGGCAACACAATAGGTGCAGCAATGAGGATGATACAAAAATCAAACTTCTTGACAGGGAGACAATCAGGCACAAATGAACCCTGAAAGGGGGATAACTCCTGTATAATCAACGTAATTTAGAGTCGCATTTTTTAATCAACTTGAAGCGCATTAACGCAAATTGTGCGTTAAGATTCTTTAAAAAATATTTTAAAAGCTTTAACGGAGAGGAACGATTTACGCAAACCAGCTTTTTGTATGCCCCGAACAGTTTTGGAATAAAATGTATACAAATATCTCTCTGTCCACTGGAGTTTTGTTCTTCTTGAATCATTTAGAAAATTGTCGTACTTTTAACAGCTATAGAGCTGATTATCTATTTATAGACCTTAACAAGGTCACGCCTGTTGCCCCACCAAACGTCTGCCCAGAAATCACACGAGACCAGAATCCCCATTTATTTTGGCGGCAGCAGCGAGCGCCAGTCGACATCCAACCTTGACCTTGTATTAAATCACCATTCAGCATCTTAGTTTTGCTGAGCTTCTTAAAGGGCGAACATTTTTTTTTTAATCCGGTTCTCAAGGTCGTGCGGCATCCGGCAACTGGCACAAATGTCGGTCTTGGCACTGACGTACCACTCTGTGCCGCAGTCTGGTGGCGCTGTTAAAAAAATATATATACCTAAAGCCTTAATTAGCCTTATCTAAAGTCTCGAGAACTTGGCCAGTTACCCGTCTAAATTCAATCAAAAATATAGTACTAGTTTTAAATTAAGCTGAAAGGGAAATCTAATCAATGTCATAATCGCGAACCCTTTTTTTTAGTACAATTTGATACTGAATGTAATTTTTACAAAATTCCAACCTTAAACTTAACTCCTGAACCAAATCCTTAACCAACAGCAAACGTTGCGACAAAATCTTGACTCCAATAACAATGACCTAACTAGAGAACGACAAAATCTTGACACCAATGACAAAGACCTAACTAGCGAACGACAAAATCTTGACACCAATAACAAAGACCTAACTAGAGAACGACAAAATATTGACACCAATAACAATGACCTAACTAGTGAACGACAAAATCTTGACACCAATAACAAGGACCTAACTAGTGAACGACAAAATCTTGACACCAATAACAAGGACCTCACTAGAGAACGACAAAATATTGACACCAATAACAATGACCTAACTAGAGAACGACAAAATCTTGACACCAATAACAATGACCTAACTAGAGAACGACAAAATCTTGACACCAGTAGCACTGATCTAACTAGAGAACGACAAAATCTTGACACCAGTAGCACTGACCTAACTAGAGAACGACAAAATCTTGACGCTAATCGCACTGATCTAACTAGAGAACGACAAAATCTTGACACCAATAACAATGGCCTAACTAGAGAACGACAAAATCTTGACACCAATAACAATGACCTAACTAGAGAACGACAAAATATTGACACCTATAACAATGACCTAACTAGAGAACGACAAAATCTTAACACATATGACAATGACCTAACTAGACCTAATCAAGCAAGCATCGCAGCTGATATTACTGTTTGATACGAAACCAACATATTTATTTGACTCTAACCAAACTTTTATCTAAATGACTTACGTTAGTCTATTTCCTGTGAGGTTTTGTTTTTTTGTGTATAGGAAGAGAGAAGGTGGGGGTGTTGATCCCAACGTCCATTACACGAAGACGGCACAAGTCTTTCGAGAACTTTCTCAAAATATTAGAAAAACTCCATGTGATTTCCAAATAAAATTGTTAACATTAGATTGTATAATAAACACGGTCGGCTAGTAATTTCATGGATCAAAGAGAGGCCAGCATGGGGCCGTCTCATATGGGATAAACAAGAGAGGGGGGCATTGTGGGAATGTGGGGGTACAGTGGGAGGAAGGCTGGGGGAGGGGAGCGTGAGGGTCAGAAAACAAAAGTGCCATAGTTGGGATGGTTTCAGCTAAAAATAGCAGATGATACTTAAAAATATGTTCAAGAAAGAACAAAATGGTGGAGAATCGTGACCAGCTGTCCTGGTGGAGTTACATCCCTTTGTTCGCTGGGGTGTAGGTTAAACACCGAGTGAATAATTGATTACACAAATACTTCCAGGACAAGTTAAATAGATTCGTAGACTTCACTTACAGAGAGGAGATTCACATGTAACAGTAGGAGAAGTGCAGGTTAGGAGAAACAACTGACAGGAGAATTACATGCTGAGGTAGAGTGACATGTGCTAAAATAATAACAAGCAAGGATAATGACTTTTAATTAAAATTAACTGTGTCAGGCTAATTACTTGTGACATGCTAATTACATGTGACAGGACAATGAGGGGTCATCTATAAACAACATCGCGCTTTTTTAAAACGATTTTATCCCCCCCCCCCCCATCCCATCGTCACACATCGTCACAAAAAGACACATTTCTCTCCCTAAAACAACGTCACACATCGACACAAAAAGACAAATTTCTCTCTCTAGAACAACGTCATACATCGTCACAAAAAGACACATTTTTCTCTCTAAAACAACGTCACACATCGTCACAAAAAGACACATTTCTCTCTCTAAAACAACGTCACACATCGTCACAAAAAGACACATTTCTCTCTCTAAAACAACGTCACACGTCGTCACAAAAAGACACATTTCTCTCTCTAAAACAACGTCACACGTCGTCACAAAAAGACACATTTCTCTCTCTAAAACAACGTCACACATCGACACAAAAAGACAAATTTCTCTCTCTAAAACAACGTCATACATCGTCACAAAAAGACACATTTCTCTCTCTAAAACAACGTCACACATCGTCACAAAAAGACACATTTCTCTCTCTAAAACAACGTCACACATCGTCACAAAAAGACACATTTCTCTCTCTAAAACAACGTCACACGTCGTCACAAAAAGACACATTTCTCTCTCTAAAACAACGTCACACGTCGTCACAAAAAGACACATTTCTCTCTCTAAAACAACGTCACACATCGACACAAAAAGACAAATTTCTCTCTCTAAAACAACGTCATACATCGTCACAAAAAGACACATTTCTCTCTCTAAAACAACGTCACACATCGTCACAAAAAGACACATTTCTCTCTCTAAAACAACGTCACACATCGTCACAAAAAGACACATTTCTCTCTCTAAAACAACGTCGCACATCGTCACAAAAAAGACACATTTCTCTCTCTAAAAAAACGTCATACATCGTCACAAAAAGACACATTTCTCTCTCTAAAACAACGTCACACATCGTCACAAAAAGACACATTTCTCTCTCTAAAACAACGTCACACATCGTCACAAAAAGACACATTTCTCTCTCTAAAACAACGTCATACATCGTCACAAAAAGACAAATTTCTCTCTCTAAAACAACGTCATACATCGTCACAAAAAGACAAATTTTTCTCTCTAATACAACGTCATACTTCGTCACAAAAGACATATTTCTCTCTCTAAAAGAACGTCACACATCGTCACAAAAAGACACACTTCTCTCTCTAAAACAACGTCATACATCGTCACAAAAAGACACATTTCTCTCTCTAAAACAACGTCACACATCGTCACAAAAAGACACATTTCTCTCTCTAAAACAACGTCACACATCGTCACAAAAAGACACATTTCTCTCTCTAAAACAACGTCACACATCGTCACAAAAAGACACATTTCTCTCTCTAAAACAACGACATACATCGACACAAAAAGACAAATTTTTCTCTCTAATACAACGTCATACATCGTCACAAAAGACACATTTCTCTCTCTAAAACAACGTCACACGTCGTCACAAAAAGACACATTTCTCTCTCTAAAACAACGTCACACGTCCTCACAAAAAGACACATTTCTCTCTCTAAAACAACGTCACACGTCGTCACAAAAAGACACATT